GACGAGACGATTCTTGTCAACATGAGTAGCAATCAATCCAAAGCCTCTTGCGACGGCGACCTATCAAACGTAACAAGAGGAATCTTGTTGACATGGGTACCTGGGGTGATGAGGATAGCCCCATCAGGTCGTAAATACGGCCTGATGCGCCACCAATTGTTTTGGACTGCCAGGGGCAGCGGTTTTAAAAAAACACCACCAGAGGAGATGAAGAAGAATCCCAATATGGGTCAAGTGGGAGGATATCTTGCTTGCCTCGGCGGGTGAGCAGCGTTTCTGCTCGGACACTGACACTGCAGACTCCAGAGCCAGAAGTGAGTTTTATCAGACGGCCTCACCATACAAGAGTCTCAGGATCAGGTTCCTCTGCTGTCCGAACACGCCCGATCGCCAAGCGCTAGGGAGGGAGACGGTCTCCCCACCGGCCTACCGTTTGGCAATATGGCGATAGCGCGACGGGCGACGGGCGATCGGAGACGTTAACAGGCTTTTTATGAGTGCGTTCATTCACGGCCGGTCTATTTGAATTGTACAGGGTGGGCCACCAACAGTTTTGTTGACCATATTCCACATTTTAACCATAATTTTTTTCCGAATCAATTAGAACTATTTGTGCATGTGCATCAACTGATATACTGCGACCTACCAGATAATGTAAGGGCTGATTGAATTGCAATACTTCGTTACATACAGGGTATGTCACGACGAGCCCTACATGTTGGTACCATGGGTATATCGAGAACCTCATACGAAAATCATGAAACTATGTACTGCGCTTATGTTTTGTTTGCGATGACGCTCATTTTATTTAAAATATTTTCGATAATGCACTTTTGCCACTTCAACTATAAAGTAGTATATACCTACTATTTAACTGTATATAATATATATTATATTGTATATATTGTATTGTATATATTGTAACCCCTCACTTTAGCTGCCGAAGCAACCCTCATAAGCCCTCGAAGGGCTTGTCCGAGTTAAAGTGACGAAGAACCTACAGTTTATAGTGGATTCCGAACCACTGGTACCAATGGGACACCTTATCCTATTTTATTACATTTTTCGATTCTCCTGATGAGTTGATTTCGTCGATCCATCAAGCTCGAGATATAGAGTGTGAAAAACCGACACACGGCTTATATGTCCCTATCCTAACTTTCAATTCACTAATACTGTCATTTAATTTAAAGAAATACAGGGTGGTTCAGATTTCAGAATTCTATAGAAGAAGTTAAACTATATATGCCTACTGAAATATATATATATATATTTTCAACTCAAACAAAACAAATATATTCCTTCCAAATAACATAAGAAATAAAATTAAAATTGTATCACATAGGTACACTGGATGTACTAAAAAAAATACATATTCAACAAAAAACAAAGAAAACAAAAAAATATATATAAAACAAAGGAGACCATAGAAAGAATATTTAAAATAAAAAAGACTAGAAAAAAATATATAAACATAGAAGACTAAAAAATTAGTGCCGCAAGGTCCAATATCTTCGTTGCTATGGGATTTAGAAGAAAACTTCAAATTACAAAAATAAACATACTTGCATGCAATATTTCAAAATCATTTTGGAATATACTTGATGACCTAAAAATGCAGAGCGCACCAAATATTCATGTTTTTTTTCAACGGAACACCCTGTATTCCATTTCATTTTCAGATACTCCCGGAGAGCTGATTTCATTGATACATCACTCTTGGGGTCTAGCAGAGAAATAGGGTGTGAAAAATCGAAATTTTTTACCTTTAGGAATTTTTTGTGTCGAAACTATTCATTTTTGGTCAAAACGGCTTGCATGTCCCTGTCTTAACTTTTAATCTACTATCTACTGACATTTAGTTGAAACAAATACAGGGTGGTGCAGAATTCAGAATTCTGTTCTGTTTTATCATTCGCAAAACGTACTGCATGTTGTGAAACCTCAAATACAATCATCAAATAACACATTTTTTCAGTCGTATACGCGGTGTGTCAAATACAGGGTAACTCACGGTCGATGGTACGTTAGACGTTTATGGAGAACGCAATGCAGGATTTTTCTGAAAATTTCGCACATCACATCTTATGACCTGTTCTATCGATCGAAAATATTTTCGAAATTGCGACGTTGCCGTTTCTATCTAAAAGTATCAACAACTTTGTTATTTCAAACGGAATACCCTGTATTTCATTGCATTTTTAGATTCTCCCTGAAGAGCTGATTTCATCAATACATCACACTTGGGGTCTAGCAGAAATTATTACAGAGATATAAGGTGTTAAAAATCGAGAATTTTCAACTTTACGATTTTTTTCTGTCGAAACTAATCATTAGTGGTCAATATGGCTTACATGTCCCTATCTTAACTTTTGATTCTCTATCTACTGACATTCAATTGGAACAAATACAGGGTGGTTCAAGATTCAGAATTCAGATCACCCTGTATCTGTTCCAATTAAATGTCAGTGAAATACAGGGTATTCCGTTTGAAATAACAAAGTTGTTGATACTTTTAGATAGAAACGGCAACGTCGCAATTTCGAAAATATTTTAGATCGATAGAACAGGTCATAAAATGTAATGTGCGAAATTTTCAGAAAAATCCTGCGTTGCGTTCTCCATAAACGTCTAACGTACCATCGACCGTGAGTTACCCTGTATAAATAATACACTTTACTCTTGATGGGTACAATTCACTTTTTGTGACGCACCGTGTATACGACTGGAAAAATTTGATATCGGATGATTGTATTTCAGGTTTCAGAACATGAAGAAGTTTTTATGAAGAATAACTTTTTTTCTGTGACGGGAAAAAAGTTTGGCATTTCATCTCTGTTGGCAGGTTATAAAATGTCACTTTTCATAAATTACTTTTTTCCCGTGGGAAAAAAGTGAGTACTTTTTTCCCGGATATATATCACATATATATACTCTGTTAATGGCTTTTGTTGTGCTATAGTTCCGAAAAATGAGTCAATAATACCGTCTCCGAGAAAGAACTGCAAGTCCTTTTATCTTCCATTCGACTTCGCGGTTTCGTGTATTACTAAACAACTACTGAATTCGCAATTTTTCAAAATCAAATCACAGAATTGAACTGACAGAAAGTGACATCAGATATTTGATTACTTCAAAAGAATGATAAAGATGTCTATAAGACGTAGGTGTCCCTACTGTTAAAAACTTGAAATTTCACGTCGATAATTTTCAGATTTCGAAATAATGTAATATCTTCTCAATATTGATTCGTCCTTCCTTCTGTCACAGAAAAAAATAGTGTATTATACACGGGAAAAATATTAGATTTTAGCTCACGGTTTTTTGTCTCCCTCCGCTACGCGTCGGGAGACAACACAACCTGGAGCTAAAATCTACTACTTTTTTCCCTTGTATAATAAATAACTATTTTTCCTAAAATGAATAATAAAAAAATTGTTTTCTATACGGTCCCAACTTAGTGAGACATACTGTATACTAAATTAGGTACTGAATTTTGATTTTAACGGTTCATCAATGATTGCATTTATTTAGTAGAATTTAACTAACGCATTTCTCTTCTCCGCTAGTGCATCCTCTTTTCGGATTTAAAAAATCTTCAGTTTTGAAAGTAGTTGCTTACCTATCCTATGAACCACACGACAAAAACGGCACATCAACTCATGCATGCACACATATATATATTATTCATCCTTCTCTGCTTGACGGCTTGGCGATCGGGCGTGTTCGGACAGCAGAGGAACCTGATCCTGAGACTCTTGTCCTCACCATTGGTATAATAAAATGGTAGCAGGAGAACATGCCGTCACATAACGGAGATGGCTCTAGCGCGCTGATTTGGCGTATTCAAATCCTCCATTTCTTCCGGGGTGCTGTCGATAGATAGGTGACCGGCAGTTATCCCCTATGGGAGTCTTGTGAGAGGGGGGTGGGAGTTTGTCCCACCCGGTTGCTACCCCGCCAACATTGATTGATGATGCAGGGAGCACCACAGGGCTGGACTAACCCCTTCTCCCGTCACTCGTAGGAAAAGGAAAACTTTTGACGTTCTCAGGGATCGGAAGAGTAATCTTCAGGAACCTGAACGAAAAGGGTCTTTCATATTGAAGTGGCATGTGGGTAAGATACAATGGGCCACTAGGCCTAAGTGTCGACGGAGACATCAGTCAGACGAGCCAATACCTGAAGTAAGGGGTTTCCCACACTGTCAAATGAGGGATAAGACCCAAATGATATCCATAAAGGATTTCAATCACATTGACAAAAAATATCCTCTTCCTGAGAAACTCATCAGATAATTCAATCTATTTTTGATCCTGATTACATTTTTTGTTTCGTTAATTAATGATTTCGAATTCATTCAATCAAATAATGAAATAATAATGGATGCCACTGGCGAAAAACTATCAAATTGAAGTCCACTAGGGTCCCTTGATGCAAACTGACGTATTTGTAACTATAGAGTCCACTAGAAATTACTGAACAAAAAATCAAAGTACTTCATCACCCGTTCTGGACTGATTTTATACCAGAGCTGCATCTTGTTATCACCCGAGGTTGCTAAAGTGCTACTTTAACTCCGGTCGTGAAATACTCTGAATTCGAGTCTCATTGAAAATATGCTAGGAGTCGGGGAAATAATAGTCTCTCCTCACCTATTTATTTACCTCAATTCCCTAACTGCTTAAAAAATGGCTTTTTTGTACCATGTGGTATGGTATACCTAATATAGTATCTCTATTTTTTTTCTACAAAATTGAGAGTTCTCGAAAACTAATCCTCTTAAAATAAAGTTTCATTTAAAAACGTCTAAAAAATCATTGTTTCATTTTTCTCCCTGCAGGCGCAAATACGTGAGCGAATGGATACAATGTGATTTACCTATTATTTGGTGTGTTGTTTTTGATGATTTTAGATGATATAGTTTTGAAGTGCCACCTGCGCTGCTATATTTCTGCTCCTGCACCTAATTTCCTAAAAGATATTGTCAATCTCAGATAATAATGATAACCAATATATAATAAAAGGTTCATGAAAAACACTTCAGTCAAATCTCAGTGGTATTGATGACTTTGCATAAGGTAAGTGAAACGAATCTCAGAATGCTTTTGTCCACTTGATAAATATCCAACTTACGAAATATTGCAGTTGGTTTCAAATTATTCCAGATCAGTTTACTAATAAGGATTGCTGATGTACTTGAATTCACCACATAATAATCAAAATATACAGGGTGTCTCAGGTTTATATTGAAATATCAGATACGTACTTTTTTGTTTTGTCGTGGAGACACTTGTTCTCATTATACGGGATGTTGAAGTTCGCATAAGCATTTGATCTATGAACAACCCGGATAAAAAGAAGTTAAGTTTCGCTAACATGTCGATATTTTCGACAGTGCAACAATATTCAACAATGTCCAAAGCACACCATGATAACATTGTTCAATAATGCCAATCGACTATGGGAACTGAGAAAGATATTGACGCAAATGAAAAACAAAAAGTGAGGTGAAGGAATGAAATCTGATGGGTGCCATGTCAGAGGGCTCGAAAACGAATAACACCCCCTTTATTAAGAAGGATTGTTTATATTGCCTATAGAAAAGTGCCCACCGAATTCCAAATCCGTATGTTTTGATTCAGAATAAATAAAAAATAAAAACCAAAAATGTAAGCGAACTTTAACACCCCGATAATGAATACAAGTTTCTCCACGATGAAACAAAAAAATACGTGTATAATATTTCAACTTTTGCTATCGATTGTCTGAGGATGCAAAGTAACAAATATGTTTTGAAATTGTCTTTCGAAGACCTTGATTTATCTTTACAATAAAATAATAATGGAAGAGTGTGCTGGGCATGACGAGCCAAAAGAAATCGAATCTATAGTTAACAGTCATATATTCCCTGTATATCTATCAACTTTTGATAGAAATGAAATACTTCTGATTCATTTTGGATATTTTCTTGAAACATCCTATAATAAATATGCTAATCTGATGATAGACGATGTGACCTTGTGAAATTCAGATAACGTTGATATAATATCAAGTGGGCATTATTCGATTGTTTGACAGCATAATGTACTTGTATGCATTATGAAGCACTATACAAAGTCGTTTTCACTGATTTTTTCTATACATAATATGCTCATAAAACCAAAGTTTCTCAAAATAATACACCATCTTCTTCCATTCAAGTCTTATAAAATAGTTACTTTGTAATCAATACATCCTCCATCCGACCTTAATTAACTGTCAGAACTGTCAATATTTTCATTCCTATATTAGGGATGACTTTCGTTATGTAGAAGTTTTGTCTAAATTTGCACCAATTGATCATTTATTCAACATGCCTATAACCTGCTAAAATATCGGCTAAACTCATGAGCATCAAACATTGGCTAATCTATAAAAATGTATGAACGGGCGAAAAGTAGCAGCACTTTACCGCCCGGTGTCGCGGCGTAAAGTGGCACTGTACCGCCCGCGAACAATTTGCTTAAGTTTTTTTGTGCTCCGTTTTTTGGCCGGTGAGTGCTGTATATGCTAAGGGCAACTTGATTATTCCAGGCATTATTCATAATGCCCGATCAGTTTATAAAGTGCCCAACACCATCGGGCAATTTAATAATTTTATTTCTGACAGTGACATTATAAACTTATATCGTCATAGTTACGATATCTATAATGAGGTTCATAACTCCATGTTATAGATGCTATAATTCCCTCTAGCTAAAATTAAATAAGAAATGCATAGCAACAACCACGCAATAACGTAGCAATAAGGAATCTCCTATTCGCGGTAGTCAAGATCATCATCTGACGTTCTGATGACATTGAAACTATACGGAAAAACATGTCTAACTTCCAATCGGGAAGGTATCTAATGAATGAAATCAGTCAGAAATAAAATTATCTATGTATCACGGGAATTATATAGAGCCTTTAATAACCTCTGGCAATTGCTGTCCCTCGGGCCAGAGGCCCTCGGGACGCAAACTTTGCCATCGGTAATTAAGGCCCTCATAATTCCCTTAATACATAAATAACTATTGTATTTCTCTACTAAAATTTATCACATCGCCCGGTCATTATGAATACTGCTATTATTTTCTGGGCACTTTGATTAAGTAACAGCATTCATTTTTGATGAAGATTCATTTATGCCGAGTAAGGGTAGTTGGTTCAAGAAAAGTAGTGTCCTTTCTTATGCAGGAGTGATATTTTCCTTCCTCCTCCCTGAAAAAAGTACTGTAAATATGCTCAAATTCACCTGTCCTGGAATACTAGCTGTTCCCATATTTGGAGTGCAGCACCCTGAAACTTTTGGATTCTATTAAAAAAATAGGAATTCGTCTCGTGGCTGATGCCTCGCTCACAAACTCACTCACTTCTCTGGAACACCGTAGAAAAGTTGGCGATATGGCTCTTTTTTATAGATATTTTAATGGACGATGCTCTTCTGAAATATCAACAATTGTTCCTCCCTTGGCAGTCCCCGCGAGAGTAACCCGTCAAGTTGAGGCTTCGCACCCCTTCGTGGTCACTTTGGAGACCTGCGGAACATCTCTCTCCAAAGACTCGTTCATCCAACGAACAGCGAGGATCTGGAACAGATTGTCAAGGGAGGTGTTCCCGAGGCATACGACCTCCAGAAATTTAAGAAGAACACCAATTCCTACCTTTTTTTCACTTGGTTCTCACTATGTTCTCTGAACATTACAGGATATCCCTTTGTGGGAACCAGAAAAAAAATGCTTCTTACAACAATAATTGTCGTAATATATTGAAATTCAATGTTGACCATGTGAATGGAAGTTATTGAAAACATACTTCTCTCGATGAATGAATTTGATAATTATTTGAATAATGATTTTACGTACTTCGATTACAGTCTAGATAAAATATTTTTTAAATAGAAACAATCCACTTTTATATGAATTTCTCAGATACCTATCACATATCATTGACTGAAAAAAATCCCCACATTGTTTTATCTGTACATACCAGGTGAAAGATTCACAGTAATTCAATTTTGATAATGAAATATGAAGTTATTTCGCATGTATACCATATCACGATTAGCATAATTTTGGATAATTACATGATAATGTATCAAAGGATATAGCTACACCAGAATACCTTAAAATATCTTATCTTATATACTAAAATTGATCTAAAATTGATCTATCCGTCATTCGGTTGCCCCCTTACGAGCAACCCTAAGAAGTCTTCGAGAGTCTTGTGCGAGCAATAAGGAATGACAGGGGCCTTACCTTTTAACGTGTGATCCCAAACACTTTCTTAAGCCATCAGAAAAATTTCTGCAGTCGATGGGAATCGAACCCACGACCGGCAAGCGAATGCGATTTAGAATATTGACACTCTGTCCGCACGGCTACCTGGCCCTACAATGAACCTGATGAAGCTACTGTGTTAGCGAAACATGTCGTGTGTATGACAATTTTGTGAAAATCTTATCGTTTGCGAAGTTTTTACATTATTCTCCATGGATTTTTTACATCAAGTAACGGCCAGGTAATAAGAAAGCTTAAATTCTTTCATGATGGAAAATAGTGACAGTGAACTATCAAACACACCTCCTGATATAGCAAGAAGTGCAAACAATTCAACGTTGAATCTCTTCCTGGAGAAATCAAGGAAGAGATATGAATTACAATATGATACATTTTATGAATTGGTGCCACTCCAAGAAGGTGCATAAGTATTCAGAAAAAGGTTTTACAGGTTTGATTTGGTGAAAAATCAGAGACATTGAAGTCATCAACTCTTTGGTCTATTTATTCGATGATACGTACACTCGTCTTCAGTGAACATGTCGCGGTTGGACGGTATGAGCGCTCTTAATGCATCGGTGATTAAGAGAGCTGACAACGTCTATGTGCGACATGTTCTCTGGAGACGACTGTACATGCTTGAATGTTAAAAATCATATATCAATAAGTTTTCTCACGTTGCCGCATTTCTGATGAAATGGATATAAAGCGAAAATATCCAAAACATTCACCACTGAAGATATCAACAAATTTCTGTCAATGCATTTTTTTTTTCAGAAATGATTGTCTTATCATTCATCGGCCACTTTTCAGTGGGGTTATTAACTCTTCTTGTGCTGCTCATCGCTTACTACAAATGGAGTTTCTTGTACTGGAAAAAGAAGAACATCCCGTACATCGAGCCGACCATTCCATTCGGAAATCTAATGAATATGGTGACGAGAAAAATATCTAGAATCGAGGAATTGACGATGCTGTATAATAATCTCAAAGCAAAGGGTGAGCTGTCAGAAAATAACCAAATATTTATTATCTCTTTATATTCAAGTACTTTATTGAAACAAGTGTCGAGCATAGACACATTTTTTTCTGATGAATTTTGCATAACTGATCTCGAGAGGAGACATCTCAAGAAGCGATGGCATGCTATAAATTGAAAAAAATTAAAATATTTCCTCTCAGTAGGCCACTGGAATAAGCAAGCTCATTCTATTACTTAAAATGCACTTTGAAAGTTTCAAGGGAATCGGAAAGTTAACCACATATTTCAATAAAAAGTGTACGCTTTTTTATTGTTGTCCACGAGGATCTTGGGACTGATACAGAAATCTCAGAAATCTGAATAGATCGAATTCTCTTCCAGAATTTTCATTTCTTCCCAGGAAACTAAGAACTCCCAACGAAGGCACGCCACCAAAACTCAAGCCTGTATTTTCTCTAGAAAAGCGCAACTGAGTATGCCTGATATAACAATGTCTGGTGCCATTATTCCCACCAAGTCCACTTTATCTATGCTCGGTATCTTCATCAGCAATACTCTTTCATGGAAAAGTCATGTCAGATCGATCGCGGAAGCTGCTTCCTAAAAACTCGGATTTTTAGTCAGTGCGAAAATCTACTTCATACCTCAACAGCTTCTCATGATCTACAAAGTACAGAATAGAATACTGTTCCCGCATTATGGGGTTTAGCGCCCAAAACATACGCTGATGCTCTTAGATTCCATCCAGAGCCATTCGCCTCAGTATTCTCTGCTATCATTTCATCACAAGCAATACCAGTCCGACAAAATCGACAAACTCAATCAGCACAACTTTCCGTTGCCAACCTTGAAATATGTCAAAATACACTGTTCCAAAAGTCTATATGTCGGCATCAATCAGTGAAATCCATCATTCTCTGGAATGCCTTATGATGTCATTTCACGTATTGCCGGCAAACAGCGTAACTCTCGTACACCGTACAACAAAGAAGGTTCATTTAGGCCAAGTCAGCTTAGGTTGTTTAGAAGCAGTATAGTCTCTTCTGTTCTCTCAGGTAATTTTCTGAAAAATATACTTTCTAGGAAGAAGGTTCATTTAGGCGGAGTTTGGTTATATTCTGTATAGGAAAAATAGTCTCCCTTCTTATGCATATGCAGAAAGGATATTTTCCTTCCACAACACTCCGGCAAATAGAGTAACGGCTGAAAATTGATGTTTCGCTGTTACGCTGTTTGCCGACAATACGTAAAATGACTAGGCCCTTCAGGGAATGGCGGATTTCACTAATTGACGCCGACATATATACCTAGAACAGCAGGAGCTTTGGGATTCTTTGCCAATGGAAGTATTCTCAAGAACATATAATCTCCAAAGGTTCTGAAAAAAAAAAATTGCAATACCCACCTCCTCTCCCTATCCTCCCAAGACACACACGAACACTATACGGATTCCTTTCGTGTGCTCCAAAGGTTGAAAAAAATCCCTAGTGTCATTTTGTGATTCAACATTCCACAATTATTGTATTAAAAGGTTTCACGATTCTTGAGGGTGTTGTATATCAGCTCATCAGCAACCAATTAGTTACATATAGTTGCAAATTGCTTATAAGTTATACTGGTATGAAAATACGAAATTATTGATCGCACAACAAGATTATGGACTACCAACATTCGATATCAGGAAAACGTTCTTATCGTGCACCTGTATTACATTTATCTGAATTTATTACTCAATTCGATTGCATTATTTTGAATATAATTAATGATTATCCCAATTATTATCAGATTTGTATACACATTGACAAGTTTCAGCTTTATTATTGCAGTGCGAGAACACTGCTGATATCTATAGGAAAAATATACTAAGACGTTCATCAGAAAAGGCACAAAGAATTTTATTTATATACTTACCTCTGTTATAACAGTTTGTTTCTTACGTTTACTTTTTAATTTGTTTTGTATTTTTGTTCATTCTCACTATTATTCTTTTCTGTTTGGTACATAAATAACTATTTTTGCGCTCTTAATACATAAATAACTATTATTTTCTATTTTTTACTTTGGCCATGCCAATCTATGCTTTGGCTATCTATAAAAACGTGTTTTTGAATTTTTTTCAAACTACCTACTATTTATTTTTTTGTTCCAGGCTACAAGCATTGTGGAATATGGCAGTTGGCAGCACCAACTTATTTTGTGTTAGATCTGGATCTGCTCAAGAACATTCTCATCAAAGATTTCGATCATTTTGTTGATAGAGGTTTTTACTGCAATGAAAAGGATGATCCAATTGGTTGTCACCTTTTCGGTAAGCATTCAACAATGAGTTTCTGATTCTGATTTCTGCTATCTGTATAGGTACAGGGTGTTATTCTAGTATGTGGCCAAAGGGGTGATCATCCGGGTGATTCTAAGACGAAAGTTCATTCTAACATTGGTCCAAAAATGCTTCGTTTTCAAGATAAAAAATGTTTTTTTCGCCAACCGTCCGGGAAGTGCTCACTCCCGGACGCCTTTTCTTTGAAAAAATAGCATTTTTCGGCCTAGTCCGGGAAGTACGTACAGGGTAATCATGAAAAACAACAATCAATACTTCCAACTCCAATACCCTGTTTCTTGAAAACGAAGCATTTCAGAACCTATGTTTATACGAACTTCTCGTCTTAGAATCCCCCTAATAATCGCCCCTTGAAGTTTGTCACCTACGTAAATAACACCCTGTATACTCTCACTTTTACTTACGCATAACTATAGAGTATTATAATATAGCATATAGCATCTTCAAGACTTCAAGTACCTACTTACCAATTCAACAAAAAAAAATTTCAGCAATTGAAGGAGATAGATGGAAGAAAATGAGGAAGCAAGCATCGACCATTTTTACAGCAACTAAACTCAAGGGAATGTTCCAAATTCTACAGGAATGTGGGAATAACATGCAGAATTACATTGACAATCTCATAGAGAATGGTGATCAGCCGGTGAATATGAAAGACATTGCATGTAAGTGAACATTTTCAAGTGTAAATAAGGGTGATCTATATAAGAAGTATGCGAAGTTAGTGGCTTGTTTCCATCAAATATAGATCAATAATTCTCAATTCAGGCGACATTCGCAAAAATTAGGAATCAAAGTACCTTTTACTTTGAGTAAAAAAGTCAATCGGAGCAGCTCCAGCAAAAAAACATAGGCAATGCGCTAAAATCGAGGGGTTAGAAGTGAATCTTTGGTTTCAGTCAAAAAATATATTGTATTTCTGCAGATCACAACATACCATAACAGCAAAACTACTATACAGTTCTCAATAAACTAAGTACACTATACCGTTGATTGATATATTAAGCGTAATATATCAATCAACGACTATACTAAGAATTTGACTCATATTAGGCAACCTGTATTTTCTGAAGGAGTAGGAACAATTCACTTGCGGTGTTTGTGGTATATATTATTCATCTTTTGTTACTATACAGTGTGATTTAAAATGGGCAATATCTGAACTACAAATTCTGAACACCAAAATGTGAAGATTCAACCCAACATGCCTCATGAAAATGTTGCAGATACAGGGTGTTGAGGAAAAAAAATATTTTAAATTTCTCCATAACTTTCGTCGAACATTTACTTTGAATAATCTTTGGAAGAAGTCTATGGTAACTCAAAAAGTGAAGTGGTGTAGTTTATTAATGAAAACCCAAAGTCATCTCCACAACTGTTACCTATCAGAATGATCAAAGACCAATCGTAACGGAACATATTATGTTTCAGGCTTATATATAAACCCATCATCAGCCAATAGAAAGTATCATAGTTCTAGAAAAATCGGTATTGATTCAGGATATTGATGCAATAATTACTCAGTATTCACACGGAAATGAAAAAAGTAGACATACATAGTTGCTAATAACAGGGCATCAAACAGGGAAATTTGCTCCATGATCTGGAAAACAATATGGGTTTAAGAAATAGTAAGGAACAAAGTGAAAAAATACTGTCTCTGTAAAATGATGTGAATTTATTATAATACTTATTTGAAAAGGTTAAGGGTCGGATTCATAATATAGCGATGAGATTGCTCATTCTCAATGAATCACCCTGTATATTACCGGAAGAATTTTTATTTTCGAATTTTATGTTTCTTGGTTTCAAGAGAACATATTTTCAATTTCTTGTTCAGTTTTTATTTTATTTATTTCATTAGCAAGCATTTTCCCGTAATGAAAAAGCACAAAAATAAATATATGACATTGCATTCTAAAAAGGAAACTATTGTTGTCCAGGGGAGTAAATAATTGTAGGCAGTAATACGTATAATAAAATATACTTATTAAAACAATCAACATACATTAAAAGCATCAAAAATAGAATATTTTTTAAATTCACATTTCTTGGAGTGAATTATATCAGAAATGAAAAAATATTTTAAGTATAAAAGAATTAAACCACATATCAAAATTGTATATACTTCATCTAACCATATATAATATGCATAATTCAAACCATAATGGTTCATACTTTAGCTGGCAATGAGCAAGTTCATAACATATCACAAAACCGCAACTTGGCCTCAATAAAAACCTAATAGTTTTTGAGTATTAGATATTAGAAAAGCTATATAAAAAATTGAATTAGTTTCCAGAATTATTCTTCCAAGGAAATGGGGGAAGTTTCATGGTAATTCTTTCTTCTTCTATTACTGAATAGATGTAATAATCGCAGAATGCATATTTTCGATAGAAGTCATTTACGGTTTCAAAAAAAACTTTGAACAATTCTGCATGATAGACATTATGAAGGACTCAAATCGGAGGATAATTTTAAGAGTTAAAATGAAACGATCCTCATTCACTTGAAACATAAAAGAATGATATGTGAGACATGAAATATTCTTTATCCACAACCATATATGTGATGTTGTCATTATTAACGTCATTGCACACCTCTACTCTCCGCCCTCACTTCCCGCCCCTCACTCATGTAATAATTCAGGTATGTTCAGAACGATACATAGATCTATCAATTTTGATCGAAATATGATGGTTGTAAATAAAATTGTATATTCATTCAACTAACTAATCTCACGACAGCAATGAATCACTTCCCACCTCGGTGTGTAATATATACTATTTATATATGTATAAGTTCCAATATCTCGAAAACTGTGAGGTATTTAGGGAGGTCTAGGTGTGGTTTTCCGGTAGATTATAAGCTTGTTTGTCATCTACTAGAGTATGATCCGCATGGTTCACTAGACACCCTGTATGCCAAATAAATTGACAAGGGATAGAAGCGCAATTGTTCGCTACAAGTAGGTATACTGGGATCATTTCTGTTCCATAATATTCTATGAAGAAATTAAATATGATCATCATGAAAGGCAAACTCTACTATCACAAGATTACATCTTTGACCATATAGTATCATTAATTTCTCTTCTTACCAATGAGGTATATCCGGCTCTTGTCTAATAAAAAATACGTATAAAAACTAATAAGCACACTTTTGGACAAGAATTGTCAACTCATAGAGACGGAGCTGAAGGCGCTGATGGGCCGTTTTGTCCCCCAGGCGGCCTATTTTGACTCTCTGGTGGCCCAGGAGGGTAAGGACTTGAAGGTCCACTTAGAGCATCGTGATAAGTCGGTGGCGGAGGTTCCGGAGAATCTTGAAAAAAAAGCGGTAAAATCAATCATTAATACCCACACACCAATTGATGACGTCACTATGACGTACTTTCTATGACGTGAGAATTACGTCATCATCCCGACGTCGAGTGACTTAGAAGGGTGAAATAAGACGTCAGTTTCATGACGTTACAGGAACGTCCTGTCGACGTCCATTTTCAGTGTCGAAAAGTTTTTGGAAAAATCGTTTTTTCATTAATTTTTCACACATATATAAAAACTTGTACGTCTTTATTGGAATTATATATACCCAAAAAGTAAAAAAAAACTGTTTTTAAACTTTGACACCCTGTATATATCTTGGAAACCAATCAAGCTATATATGTATATATAAAAATGATAATATAGGTGTATCTATATCAAAACCGTCACTTCAATGACGTTGCAGTGACGTTTCCATGACGTCTAAAAATCACGTCGGTGTGACGTACTAATTTGGTGAGCTTCGTCATTCATAGAATTTTTCAATAATTTGTTATTTTGATTTTTGTTGGGTGACAAATTATGCATGAATATACGTTACTCAACAAAGTGAAGCTAAATTTGCCAACATCCTTTTCATTGCTATCAAACTATTTTTGGTTTGCTTACACAAACTACATAAATTTTGATACAAATACGAGTAACTAATTTCATTATGATGGAGTCGTACTGAGGGATAGCACTGCTGAATAGACGATTGAATGGACATGACACCGGAGGAACCACCAAGCAGACTCAACAATGCATAATCAATATTATATGTCATCAGAGGTCAGTGGCGATTATCACACCATGTTCGAGGAAACTTTTTTACGTGTCATCACCAAATTGGAACGTCATTTTGACGTAATTTTCACGTCAGCCCGACGTCACAGTTTGGTTAGGTTGGTGAATGACGTCAATAAACGTGAGTAATATGACGTCATTGGGCTGTAACTTATTCACGTCATTTATCACGTCATACGACGTCACCTTGGTCATTCAACTGACGTAAAAAGACGTCACTGAAACGTCATCTGGTTGCCTGGGTATCAGATATGGACTCACCTTCTTCATCAATCATCGCAAAATCACCACCTTTCGCCATTTCCGCTTTGGTCGGTGCAGAAGGAGCTGATTGGTCTGCAGGAGCAGAAGGACCGGGAGGATAAAGACCATGCACAGGCACAGGTACAGGCACTCTCTTGCCAGAAAGGCTAGGGGATGATCCTCCTGACGACCCTGGCACCTTGAAACCGATATCAGAGGGTACTGTGGCAGTCGGGAATCCAGGAGGGCCCAAGGGGTAAGGGGGAGCTGCTTCCCCCACAGGGTACGGAGGCGGCTTCTGATCAGCTGATACTGCGGGTGGATGTGGTGGGAATGCACCTAGAAATTCACAGGGTCAGTCTTCATCAGCACGAAGTTTGAAATTGTTACCTCCAGGAATATCGGTAATTGATGAGGTCATAATGGCCCCCTGGGGAAGTAGAGTATTTGATGGCCCACCAATTGGTATATGTCCCAACTTTATACTAGCGCCGATCTCCATGTTTGAATGACAACCAGGTATCACTGCTTCCACCTAGAAAACGTTTAGCTACCAAGATATCAACAAACAATGACCCAGGCTTAACTCAACGGACTACAGAGACAAGCTTGTCTGGCGATTACAGGGGCCATTCTCGGATTACTTCATCTCCACGTAATGCTGGAGAGAGAGGCAAGATGGGCACCAACAGACTCCATCAAGCGGACATTAGTTTACCGCAGGCAGTGGTCATGAAAAGCAGCAAAATGCTGGAGGGTATAATATCTCACAACCACAACATTCTGGGAATGCCCTCAGACATTATGCCTAAAACTACCAACCTTCACACGTCCTACACTGTGTTCTTCTCTGAAAGAGAAGAATGGGTTCGGAATGAAACGAACCTATGTAGGGCAAATGAATGTCGGTATACCGATGGCTCTAAAACTTTGGAAGGCGTCGGAGCCGGAATATACGGGATGAACCCAGTATAGTGAAACGCTCATTCAGTATGGGTAAACTAGCTACGATATTCCAGGCAGAGGTATACGCCATTGAAATGTGTGCAAGCGAGCTGGAAAATCGACCCCACACACAAAAAGCAATAGCGTAAACCTAGTCTGGATACCAGGTCACACGGGCCTAGAAGGAAACGAAATAGCGAACGTCCTAGCAAAAAGGGGGGCCGAAGGTTTAAGTGGTAGAGCAATTCAGTGGACGGAGTCATCTAGAAACTGAGTTGAACTTCGCCCTTTGCTTCTGAAAATTATTATCCACCCATACTTTATATATCATTTTCTATTCAGAAGTAATAAAGACGTTTATTATTATTATTATTATTATTAATCATTGTTCACTAGGCCAGAACAGTATTGACGTAGTCTACCGGGCCTAGTCCATTCCAAAGCATTCATTGCTTGTTCAAGGAACAAACAGGATTCTGACAAACTACTAGAACTCAGTAGAGCACATCTCAGAGTTATAAGTAGGTGTGCTGCTTACTGGCCACTGCAAACTCAAACACGACATACACAAAATCGGACTTGCACAAGATGCAGAGTCCGTCTATGCATGGAAGAGGATGAAACGGCTAAACACATTATATGTTCATGTCCTGCAGCGACCAGAATCAGATTTTCAACATTCGGTAATACAACAGTAGGGCCAGGAAACCTGATAAATTGCTCTCCCAACGTACTGCTTGATTTTGTCGAGAGATTAGATATACTGGGAGAAATATAACCATAGGGTGAGCTACAATAGGCCATAGGTCGCAGTAGAGTGCCTGACATGGGCTCCCTTACGTATAACCTAACCTAACCAAGATATTTCAGAAAATATACTCCATCATTTCTTTTGATGGCACAGACGTCGGATATTGCTCCCGCGTGGCGGCACTAATGTGGTGGAGGGTCCTGCATCTGGCATAAAATACATGGAAGCAACCAAACAAACAATGAGATTACGATTTACCTACCAAATTCGTTACTGCGAATAAATAAACAAAGATTTTCAGCCCTACCAGTGTCTTTAGCATCGAACTTTCCAGATTACCTTTGCCATTCCCATAGACCATCTGATTGGCTATTGGAAACTAATAAGTCATCATCATCTAGTCTTGTGATGTTATACTCACATTAATGTCGCACCACTGTTTGAAGAGAGCGCTCCTTGTGAAATTGGGGAGTACTGTAGACATGGGTATTAACAAATCAAAGTCATAAATTCTTTGTCCATGGGCTCCTACCCCAGTGTCTGAAGTAGATGCCACTATCTCCGTATCTTGCTTGTGCCTGGTTCTTGGAGAAGTCGCTTTAGATTCGATCGTCTGCAATACAGGAAGGTTGAGACAAATAATACGCGAGAGTTTGGGTTATTGATAGCACCATGTTCACTTGGAGTTGGAGTCCTTCTAAGCTTGTATTTGACATATTTGTGATGTCAACTTTGATCTTCGCTCGTTCTCCAAGCACAAATGCCTCTTTTTGATATTCTACGTTCATTGTTATTGGGTCACTAGCACAGCAGCAGCAACACAGGTTTTTCTCGTCTTCGTAGTTTACTGGGTTCTAAAAAAACAGCGATGAGTGATTTCGTTTCTTGTGATGTGGATAATATTACCAGTTGAAGTTGCTGTATGATTTCGTTGAAATCTATCAGGGATATCAGCGTGAATGATCTCTCGTCTTCGTAGTCAAAGGCGAATGGTATATCGATATTAGCTTTGACATAATACCGTATATGCCCGTAGCTTCCATCGAAAGTCGTGGGAAGATCTCTGGGTAATGTAAATGTAAAGGGATACTCGTACCGACCACGTGATAATGTACCTATTGAAATATGTCAACATTTATGTACACATATTTGCTGTGCTTTATTGTATCATGTTATCATGAATAGAGTCTTACTTTCTCCAACGAGCGTGATATCAAATGATAAAATTGTATTGTCTCCAGTATAATGGACATTACGATATTTGGTCTTCTTTGATGAGCTGTCATAATAACTTTCTCTTTCCCACCATGAGGTGTGCTCTTTTCCACGTAGTCTGACTCTTATCGCTGAAAGAATATTTTTCAATATCTCATATAACTTCAGAACTTTGGTTGGATATTCTGAGAGCGAAACAGATCGTACTAATTACCTCTGAAGTCTTTACTGGAATCGAATACGCAAACAACGTGTCCAGATATTGTGTTTCCAGGGTAGTAAGATCCATGGAAGTTATCTAAAACTATCTTGCAGCTGGTCATATTTATCTAAAATTACTGAAAATAATTACCTACTGTATTAGAATAATACCTACGTATCATATAGGGAATAATGCACCGTGGAGAGGAAATTGATGCTAAACATATATTCGATTCGAAAAAAGTTTATTTTCGAAATATAAAATAATTATCATGAATATTTCCATCCTCTTTAATAACAACAAAAAACTTAGACATGATGAGTAATTTTGGAACCAATAGTTATTATTTTTATACTGTTTCTTGAATATTATGAATTACGCTACGCCTCTGGTAAGAGATACGGGATTCAACAGCATGTATACATTATTGCATTAATTACTATTTCGCAGTGTTGACAGATCACACAAAATTACCATAGTCAGGTTCAATTTGTAATGGCCAGTGAAAGAAAATGAAGGAAAAAATAGTTCTTATCTAAATAATAACTTCAATGAAAATGAATTATCAATTATTGACTCTTGATATATTCACTCATAATCCCCCTAGCAGCAGAATTATCGGGAATTAATTCTCCTGTTGCTATAAAGCAACGAAACCAAAAAGGAGCATCCTAATCGGTTGAAATAGTTATTTATTATACAAGGGAAAAAAGTAGTAGATTTTAGCTCCAGGTTGTGATGTCTCCCGACGCGTAGCTGAGGGAGACAAAAAACTGTGAGCTAAAATCAAATATTTTTCCCGTGTATAACACACTTTTTTTTTCTATGACAGAAGAAAGGACGAATCAATATTGAGAAGATATTACATTATTTTGAAATCTGAAAATTATCGACGTGAAGTTTCAAGTTTTTAACAGTATAGGGACACCTGCGTTGTAGGCATCTTCATCATTCTTTCGAAGTACCTAATCAAATATCTGATGTCACTTCTGTCAGTCTACTTCTGTGATTTGATTTCAAAAAATTGCAAATTTAGGGAAATGCCAAATTTTTTTCCGTCAAAGAAAAAATGAATTTATGAAATTTTCTAATATAACTGCAGATTATACCTACCTATCACCTTTCAATTTTGACAGCAGTCAATAGACAAGAATTATATACCTAGTTTGTTCCATTCACAGAACTCATCAGGTGTTTGAGTTCTGTGATTGGTACCATTTGAAAATGTATGTAAGTTGTCCCTAACTTCTTCTCGATATGTTCAATTGTTTTTCTGTCAACATATTTTATGAAATTCACAGGAAAAATAAAATAAGGGGGAAAATAAACGAATGAATAAAAAAATTAATTTGGGTTCAAAATATACTCGTGAAGACCCTGTGTGTAGGTATATACTCATCAATCATATTGGGATTGAGTGAAGCTCAATTGAATATATAGGTTCTTCGGAAGAATAAATCCATCTGGCAACAGTGTGCATTGTGCTAATTCAGGAACTTTGACTTCGTGAAGTGTTATAAAATTATTGTAGTCATTAATTAATATTGTATAGTTTATAAAACACTTAACGACGTTTTAGACAATATACCATGAGATATAGGTACTTGCGAAAGCGAAATATAGGTACTTATGTACCACAACTTATAATGCCGTCATGCAATGACTTATATTTTACCAATTCTACCATAATGATGTTAAAACTGACCTACCTCTACTCCACTTTCATTCCATGAACTAAGTACATAGGTAGAGTACACTAAAAGTACTCGCAGGACGGGAAGGGCACAAAATATGAAATAAACACGTAGCCACAAATTAGAGCCCCTCGGCAGTCGGTACTACTTACGCCCTCTCAAATTAACCACAAAATTGTGAGCAAGGTAGTCCAAGGTAGTCTTCTACATGGACAGAAAACAGATTTCGGCAAGCCAGAGTAGCCAGACAGCGAATTCTATTGGAGATCGGGGGGATTGGAGTTGGAGACCTTGAGTTTGAGTGGACCATTGTGGCGCCCAACGATAAATTATCTCTTGGCCATAGTCGTAGCACAAGGCCGGCCGTTACAAAATAAAAATGCATTGGAAGCCACGGGAAAATTCAGATATACAACTGATTTGTGTAGTATTAGAATATTTCTAGGAATTTAGAAATTGAGGACACTGGACAGTGATATCTACCTCGTGACCATTCCACATACAGTTTTCTATAATTTTTTAAATAGTTTATTTACTTGTTGAACTACAATAATAAGTACACTGACGTTGCATAATAATTATTTCGTTGAAAATTCAGTTTTTTTGTTAATTTTTTTCAGTGTTCCGCTTATGTTACGACTTTGATGTTAATCACCGTGTACCCTTATTATCTAATCATTGCACAGATATCAAAATAAAATTTTAATCCCAGCTTATTACCTATATCTGTGGGTTTATACAGCGAATGAGATAAAATAAGGAATAAGACACTATACTACTACTATAAGATAAAATAAGAAATAAGGAATAACATAAAAATTGGGCAACTTTTAACTTTTTATTTCATTTTGTTTGAAAATGGAACTGCGCAAGTGCAAATGTCAGGTTGGAAGTTGACGTAAAAGTCAAAGAAGGATGTTTCAATTGGTCACGACGGATTTGTGTTACTGACGTGATTGGTCCATTTCTCTAACTTCTTGAGGTGAATGATTGTAGAGTATGATTCCTACAAAAAAAGTGCTCAAAATTGCTTAATAAAAAAGAAACAATTTTTGTAAAGGAGAGTAAAACATTGTTATATAGCAGTTAAACGTATATAATATACTCATCAGAATAATCAACATACATTATCGAAAACAGAGAATAGTTAACATTCACATTTTGTTGAAGTGAACTCGGAAATAAAAATATATTTTAAGTATAAAAGAATTAAACCACATATCAAAAGTGTATATACTTAGGTAACCATGCACACATATTGTGCATATTTGGAATATCATAAAATGTATAATATGTGTGAAGGGTGTGTTTCAAAACTCAGTATCAAGATTTCAGAGACGTATTTTTCAAGTCAAAATAATTTTTTTTTTCTATAAATATGTATCGGCAAACGCTTTGTTAGCGATATAATGTATGTACGCTGGCGATATACACGTTGAATCGTGAGGTTTTTGATTTAATAGGGTATATATCTCGCCAAAATGAATTGTCTGGCCAAAAAATTGTTCATGTAAAAAATGTAAGATAACGGAGGTACAACCATTTCGAGGTTTTGTATAACGGAGGTACAGGTATATTGAGGTTTTGTACATTAAAAATCTAATTTTATTCATCTCAGATTTATTAAAGAAAATATGATGAAAAATCACTTCAAAACAAAAATTAATAGGTTGAAAATGAAAAAAGTTTTTGATTATTTTTTCTGATGAACTAATGCAAACTGTAGGGTATCTAATACTGGAGTAATGAAGGCTTTTCTGCGTTTTTTTGAGAAAATGTAACCATCATGTTTTATAGTTGGGGTCGCCTGTGAACCTTCAAAGATCTGTTATTCTGAATATTTTATGTGAGCAAATTTTTACCAAACAAGTCATTTTAGCGAGCTCTATATATGCTGTTTAATACACACCTCACTTTTTGATTCACCCTGTATAGAGCGTTGAAGTCTTGAGATTTTTTTATTTTCCATCATATTTTATAAAAGGTCAAGGATCTTTACTTATTTTTCAAGAAAACAGTCGCAGATGCGTGAAAAAACAAGAGATAAAAAAGTTTATAAACAAAATGAAAAACTCATTTCGTACCTATTTCGAAATCTAACTGGCGTACTACAAAAAAGTTTATGGAGTAAAAAACGGCTCGACCCCTGAAAAAATGATATGAACCCTAAAACTTGAAAAATGTACATCAAATTCAATTTGACTATCTCGAAAATTGAATTAACTATAAAGAAAAAAATAAAGAACTTTTGAAACTTTAAAGCTCTGTAGATCGGTAACGAAGCGTTTGCGGACACTCATGTTTAAGTATAGGGAATTTTTTTAACTTCGAGCTGAAAATTATGACAGTGAAACATTGATACTGAATTTTGAAACACCCCATATATAGTGAATAGTATCACTTTCCTGCAATATACAGCTTTTGCCAATTCGATTGACGAGGTAGAAAATCGGTATTATGAAGTAGATAAATACGGCTTTGGTTCAATAAAAAATATAAAAATTATGTATCACATTTCTGGACGCGATTTTTTCGAACTCATAGAGATGGGCTGAAGGCACTGAAGGTCCATTTTTTTCCAAGGCTGCTCATTTTGACACTTTGTGGCCCAGGAGGCTGAGGATCTGAAAGTACTCTTAGAGCATATCTTGATAAGTAGATGGCGGATGTTACGAGGAATCTAAAATAAAGAACCGATAAAAACAATTATTCAAATCGAAGAGCACTTTTGGACGCGATTTGTCAACTCATAAAGACGGAGCTGAAGGCCTATTTTGACCTCCTAGCAGCTTGGGAGGATAAGGACTTGGAGGTCCTATTAGAGCATCGTGATAAGTCGGTGGCGGAGGTTCCGAAGAATCTTAAAAAAAAACGATGAAAACAATTATTTATATCAAAGATGAACTCACCTTCTCCATCAGTTATCGCACCATCACCACCTTCTGCCATTTCCGCTTTGTTCGGAGCAGAAGGGGCAGATTGATCTGCGGGAGCAGAAGCAAAAGGTCCAGGAGGAATTCCATGCACTGGCACAGGGCCAGACACAGGAGCCCTCTTGCCAGAAAGGCTAGAGAAAGATCCTCCTGACGACCCTGGCACCTTGAAACCGATATCAGATTTCACTGTGGCAGTCGTGAACCCACGTGGTCCCAAGGGGTGAGGGGGAGCGCCACCTGAAAAATTACAGAAGTCAGTCTTTATCAGCTTGATAGTTGAGAATTGGCACCTCCAGGAATATTGGAGAGTAGAGAGTTTGATTGCCCACCGATTGGTATATGTCCCAAAATTATACTAGTATCGATCTGCATGTTTGAATGACAGCCAGGTATCACTGCTTCCACCTAGAAGAATTAAACCATCTTAGAATCAAAATTGGAACGCTTAGCCACCAAGATTCTATATAGAAAATATGCTCCACCTCATATTTTGATGGCAGGGATATCCCGTGTGGCGACACTAATGTCGTTGAGGATCATCTGTATCTACTTGACATGGAATACATTTTGTTTTTATGTTCTGGTTCCCATGAAAAGAAATATTCTGTAATGTTCAGAGAACATCAGGAGAACCAAAGGGAATAAGGTAGGAATTGGTGTTCTTCTCAAATTTCTGGAGGTTATATGCCTCGGGGAACATCTCCCTTGACAATTTGTTCCAGAGTCTCGCTTTTTGTTGGATGGACGAGTCTTTGAAAAGAGATCAGGTCTCCAAAGTGACCACGAAGGGGTTCGAATCCTCAACTCGACGGGTTAATCTCGCGGGGACTGCCAAGGGAGGAACGATTGTTGATATTTCAGAAGAGCATCGTCTATTAGAATATCTATAAAATAGAGCCAGATCGCCCACTATTTTACGGTGTTCCAGAGAAGTGAGTTAGTTTGTGAGCGAGGCATCACCAACGAGACGAATTGCCCTTTTTTGGACAGAATGCAACAGTTTCAGGGTATGTTTGGGTGCTGCACTCCAGGACAGGTCGGATCTGTGTCTTATAGATCATGAAAACAACCTTGCAAAAAGTGTTACGATGTAACAATTTCGTTCGAAGTGCTCCAACCTAGAGTGCTTCGAACATATCATTTCGCGCACTTTAGCGACTCCAACCCTACCAGTGCCTTCAGCATCGAGCTTCCTAGATTACCTCTGCCACTTACAAAGACCACCTAATTGGTCATTGCGAACTGATAAGTCACAATCATAAGGTTTCTAGTATTCTGTGATATACTTACGCTAATTACGCACCACTGTTCGAAGAGAGCGCTCCTAGTGAAATTGGGGAGTACCGTAGACATAGGTATCAACAAGTCGAAGTCATAGATTTTTTGTCCATGGGCTCCTAATCCAGTGTCTGAAATAAACGCCACCATCTCTGTATCGCGCTTGTTGTTGGATTTTGGAGAAGTCGCTTTAGATTCTATCGTCTGCAATAGATAAATGTTGAGACAGAGAATACGCGAGAGATTGGGTTATTGAAAGCACCATGTTCATTCGGAGTTCGAGTCCATCTAAAGTTGTATTCGACATGTTTGTGAAGTCAACTTTTATCTTAGCTAGTTCTCCAAGCACAAATGCCTCTTTTTGCAATTGTACGTTCATTGTTATTGGGTCACCAGCACAGCAGCAGCAACACAGGTTTTTCTCGTCTTCATAATTCACTGGATTCTAAAAGAACAGCGATGAGTATGATTTCGTTTCATGTGATATGGACAATATTACAAGTTGAAGATGATGAATGATTTCGTTGAAATCTATCAGAGAAACCAGAGTGAATGATATCTCGTCTCTATAGTCGAAGGCGAATGGTATATCGATATTAGCTTTGACATAATAGCGTATATGCCCGTAGTTTCCGTTGTATGTTGTAGGAAGATCTCTTGGTAAAGTAAATGTGAAGGGATACTCGTAGCGACCGCATGATAACGTACCTTGAAAAGTTTCAATATTCATCTAACCCTATTCAACTATGTTTTGTGTTTGATGTTCATATTATAAATGAAGACTTACTTTTTCCAACGAGTGTGGAATCAAATGATATAATTGTATTGTCTCCAGTATAATTGACATTACGATATATGGTCTGCTTCGAGTAGCTATCATAATAACTTTCTCTTTCCCACCATGAGGTGTGCTCTTTTCCTCGTAATCTGACTTTTATTGCTGGAAGATTATTTTTCAATATAGTATGATATTTGAACTTTAGTTAGAAATTCTGAGAGCTGAAAATAAATCATTCTAATTACCTCTAAAGTCATTACTGGAATTGAATGTGCACACAACTTGTCCGGATATTGTGTTTCCAGGGTAGTAATATCCATTGAAGTTATTCAAAACTATCTTGCAGCTCGTCATATTTATTGAAAATTACTAAAAATAATCACATTGTTAGAACCTATAGCTATACATATCATATATGTATATAGGAAATAATGTATTGTGGAGAGAAAATTATTGAAGCTAAACATATCCGATTCGGAAAAAAAACATCAAAAGCAATGTTATATTAGTACAATTTGCGAAAACCAACATTATTCTTTCCGTAAATTCTTTAGATATTACTTCCGAATTCGTGACACAAAGTAAAACTATCGTTTTTTCACCAAGCATATTTGAAATGAAAATCAAAAATATTTTCAACCTCTACAATAGTAGGCACACCTACAGAAAAACAAAGACATCATGAATTGATTAGTGCATTATGTCTGAGGAATTATTGAAGAAAAAACAATAATTGTTATTTTTTTAGCAGTATTAACTAATTATTACGCTACGCCTCTGGTAAACGATACGGGATCACAGACGGGATTCCTAATAGCACTAATAGCATGTACGCATAAAAAAACCATTTTGCGGTGTTGACGGATCACAAAAGATTTCTCTAATTCAAGATCAAGTAGTAGGCATTGCAAGAGAATAATGGAAAATATCGTCCTGATTGAAGTACTTACTATCTCCGACAGAATTCAATGAAAATGAATTAATAAAAATACCTACAGAAAAATTGTTACACATACAAACAATGCGCGTCGTAAAATTTTGACTTTCGATCGTTATTCAGAACTACTCAAAAAATAATCGCATCGAACGCAATTCGTACTTCAAAATCTTCAAGGTTATACAATATATCTCAAACTTCCTTCACAATCACAAATCGTGTCAGCAGTTCAACGGTATAATCCTCCCTCCTCGCGGTCGGATTACCTATTTCAACTGTTAAACTGTCACTCTTTGTAGTTATCGAGTTAACAATAAGTTATCGATGTACCTCTATAACCCGAAATATATTCAAGTACGACTTTATAGTGTATTACTACTACTGATGATATAATACTGATCCGTCTTTCGACTTCATGATAGAGGTTGCGCAGGTGTATTATTGTTGATTATGAAATATATTTACAAAATACCTACCTATATCTATTTAGGTGAGTACCTCTACCACGAATTATACATGGTGGCCCTTTGAAAAGGAAACAGAGGCTCTCTGTAGGTCGCCAAAACCAGATTAGGAAAAAAAGCTGGAACACGTCAACTATACATCTTCGAGGGGGACATCGTTCTAAATTATTTTCAGCTCTGCGGCGTTGCCGCTGATAACGAAAAGTAGCAACAACTTTGTTATTTCAAATGGAACACCCTGTATTTCATTGCATTTTCAGATTCTCTCCAAAGTGCTGATTTCATCAATGCATCACACTTGAGATCTAGCGGCAATGATTACAACAAAATCGAGATTTTTCAACTTCAAGATTTTTTTGTGTCGAAACTATTCATTATTGGTCAAAGTGGCTCACATGACCCTATCTCGAATTTCGATTCACTATCTACTGACATTTAATTGGAACAAATACAGGATGGTCCAAGATTCAGAATTCTGATCACCCTGTATCTGTTCCAATCAAATGTCAGTAGATAGTAAATCGAAAGTTGAGATAGGGACATAAAAGCCTTTTTGACCAATAATGAATAGTTTCGACACAAAAAAATGCTAAAATTGAAAAATCTCGATTTTGAACACCCTACAGCTCTATAATCATTGCTGCTAGATCTCAAGTGTGATGCATTGATGAAATCAGCTCTTCGACGAAAATCTAAAAATGCAATGAAATACAGGGTGTTCCTTTTGAAATAACCAAGTTGTTGCTACTTTTCGTTAGAAGCGGCAACGCCGGAGAGCTGAAAATAATTTAGAACGATGCCCCCTTCGAAAATGTAGCTAACGTGTTTCAGATTTTTTTCATAAGCCGGTTTTGGTGACCAACAGAGCCTCTGTTTCGTTTCCAATAAAGGGCCACCCTGTATGTACCACCAACCACAACATAAGCCACAACTCAAACGATACGCATGCATTGCAGTTTTATTCGTGAATTATTGTTAATAATAATGACAACACTGATGAATGATGGCAATAAATAAAATGAAATATATGTTCGTTAATTATTTGTGGTTGTGATGTTAACTCTGGTGCTCTGACGTATCTGACCTACCTGTCCCTACGTATCTACACTGCGTCTAAGTACTCGCAGCTAGCACACAAAATATAAACACGTAGTTACAAATTAGAGCCCCTCCGCCACCCTCGGCATCGTCCATCAATATCACTTGTTAATTAGTTAGGTATCCTGCTTTTTATTAATCGCAAAATTGAGGGAAAGGTGCATAGGTGCAATGAATAGTCTTATAAATGGACATAGACACTATAGACAGATCACGAATTTCGGCGGACAGGCAGACAGCGAATTATAGTCTATGATTCTATTTGGAATTGGGGGGATTGGCGGTGAAGACCTTGAGAATGAGTTGACCCTGGCCTAACGAATCTAACGATTCATTTTCTGTCGGCCATAGCCGTACCTATCACAAGACAGGCCGTTATAAAATGAAGATGCAATCGAAGCCATGGGAAAATTAATATAATATGAAACTGGTTTCGGAACGATGTTTAATATTGAAATGCTTCTAGACATCTAAGGATTAAAGACAATGGACAATAACCCCATGATCTATAGCGTTGATTGATATATTACGCTTATAAGCGTAATATATCAATCAACGTCTATAGGCACCACGTGACTATATATTTAACTTGGATTTTCTATCATTGTCCTAAGAACTTGTTAAACTACAATAAAAGTACACATAGGTACGCTGAAATTTTGTTATATCAATCAACGTCTATAGGCACCACGTGACTATATATTTAACTTGGATTTTCTATCATTGTCCTAAGAACTTGTTAAACTACAATAAAAGTACACATAGGTACGCTGAAATTTTGTTTTTAATTTCCAGTATTTCACTTATGGTACGCGTCTGTTAATTGTGAGCCCTTATAATGATTGTTTTTGAATTGATATAGAATAATACCTTTTTACCTCTGATTAAGGTTATATAATTAAAATGGATGGATTCAGGCTAATAATACTAATAATAGTATGTGAGGTAGACTTGTTGAGATCGGAATACTCCATCCCTATCACTGCAAGTTCCCAAACATTCTGAAGGCAGATTAGAGTTAATCATACTTCAAACATTTTTGTATCCAATTTAACAAGTCCCGAAAATACTGTTTTTCAGCAATCGACTCAAAAGTCGTCAATCTTCTTGAAGTTTCTCTTACTGACACAACAAAATGTCTCGTATGCATGTTGCTAGGGAACACTTTTAGTGTCTTAGAGCTGAAGTTGATGAAGTTTAACTCCCAGGAATTGAAAGTGTGTCAGATGACAGCTGATATGATAGCTGCTTTGACACTGACATACTCAAATGAGTCAAAACAGTGGTAACTTCACTTTTATTTCAATAATGAGAAATCAATTATTTCGATTGCAGAAAAATAGCATGTTTCATTCGGATCGAAAGTAACTCTGTTTGCGTGCTCGGCTTCGCGGTCGCTCCCTCCGCCTCGCAAACGCAAATATCGCTTGTCAAACAAAGTGTCACATTTGATCCTAATGAAACAATGTACTATTTTCAAAATTATATCGATTTACAGCATAGGAAATTTCATCAGGCGCATTTTTCGAACTAGCATATTATGAAAATTTGAATTTGTCATCAAAACTATGATTTTCTGCTGATATATCATAGTTAGCATATGTTGAATCTGTATTCCTTTTCGAAAAGCTCAATTTATGTTCGTGAATGCGGTGGTTAAATAATCTACCAGTCTGACCAACATGTACCTTGGTAAATATACTCGGCGTGTCATATTTGTTCAAGTCTTGTCTTGATCATGATGTATAGAAATGAAGCTACATACATGCATAGAAGAGTCTTGATTTCATGAGACAAAAATTCCATTCGAATCGAAATGACAGTTTGGAAATTCTCAACAAAAATACCAATTCTAGTGTTCACGCCCTAAAGGGCGAATATACGTATCTCCGAATGGACCATATATATTCTGGCCATCAAATATTCGTTATTTTTCGTTATATTTATTATTCGACAGTATAATTTCAATATAGGTTTTTCCAATTCTTACAGCTTCTTTCACGGCTGATACGGTTGGATCTTCAACAATGGGAATCAAATGCCGCAGTTTCACAGATACTGACAAGAACTTCATGAACCACGGACGACAAGCACTGGAAACAGACAGAAAAGGACAGCTCAGGCTCTTGTTTGGGCAGTTCTTCCCTAATCTTGCCAGGAAGTTAGGTCTCCGACAGATCAAAAGAGAAGTCAGCGATTTCTTCTACAGAGTTATTCTCGACACTGTGGACAAGCGAAAAAAGAATAACGTCGAAAGAAACGATTTTCTTCAGCTGCTCATGAATATGAAAGAAAATTCTAATAGTGGTGAGAACAACTATTTTACTTCATCTCCTTCTCAATAACTTACTTCATTAAATTTGTATTTCAGGACCTCCACTATCGACTGACGATTTAGTTGCACTTAGTTTCGGACTCTTCATAGGCGGCTTTGAAACAAGCGCTTCATCCTTCACATTTTGCGTTTACTATTTGGCTCTGCATCAAGACATTCAAGAAAAAGTCAGAGAAGAGGTCAAACGAGTGACAGCAAAATACAACAATGAGATCACTTACGACTGCCTTTCCGAATTGACCTACATGCAACAAGTTTTCGATGGTAAGTCGCCAATATCAGCGGAGCTAGGAAAACAATTCAGTTTTTTTTTCTTCTATAGAAACATGGAGGCTAAACCCACCAGCTCATACAGTCAACAGAGTGTGTACCAAAGACTACAAAGTTCCCGGGGAAGATTTGGTGATAGAAAAAGGCACCCAAGTTTTGGTCACCATTACCGGGATACACCAGGATAAAGAGTATTATCACAACCCCAAAGAATTCGATCCCGAACACTTCAACGCGGAAAATAGCAAGAATCGGCCTCCGTTCGCCTTCATTCCTTTTGGTGCTGGCCCCAGGATTTGCATAGGTAATATCCTTCACTGCAAAACAAACCAGAAAAGATTTGAAAAGGAATATTCTCAGATCAAATTATGAACATAAAAACATGGATATACAGGGTGTCCCAAAATGAGCCCGCCAAACTTCACCAGCAGCTTTTCCGACGAAAAATGGGAAGAGAAGTTTCCAATGAACATGAGTATCGAGAAATGTCTCCTAAGGGAGCTACGGCCTCCTAAAAGGGGCTCCTGAAGATGATATTTCATGAATATTTCCGAAACGCCACGTGATAAAATAATGCAATTTGGTTCATTTGATGCATCCTGCGCATTTTTGAAAATTAATCTAATTAATCGGACTGTTTATTGATCATGGCTACAATGTATTCCTATTACCAACTATCCAGGACCTGAGGTGAGAACTTTAACGGCTTGTACCAGGGCCTACTCTATCTTAGAGTAGGCCCTGCTTGTACCAACTCAACGAAACGATTTTAGATATATCCCAGGAGTCTACAGTCAGGCCGTGTTCCAACCAGATTAATTTTATAAAAAATGTATAAGATATGTCTCAGATCAGAAATTATTTATTTGCAAATGAACCTCAAGACTTATCAAAAATTAACACGAAACAGAAAATATTTCTGAAGGGAATATCTTTCTGCATGGAAAAAAACTGGAAGTTTTCAGTGTGACCTCTGAAAAGTTATCACCAAATTTATACGGCAACATGGTTGTTTGAAACACTCGCAGGTCACTGATGATGATGAAACACATCTCAAAACGTGACTTACAGTCACAGATTATGCCATGCAAAAAAAATTATGAAAATCAATCTCAGCCTACTCTTTTTATGAGCAAAATTATTTTTTTCCGGCCTTGTATGTACCAACTCAACGAGACGATTTTGGATATAGGTGAGTTGGCCTAAATCAACTTGTTTTCATTCCAGGAGCCCACAGCAGAGCCATGTCCCAACTTTTTATAGACACCCTGTATATATCCGGGAAAAAAGAGCTCATTTTTGTCCCGTATCTCGTCACAGAAAAAAAAAACAATTTAGTTTAATCAGGTTGTGCATTCATACAGCCATTCAAATTCAGAGCAAATTTTCAGAATTCTTCTAATTTGTTCTTGTTAAAATGTAATTTTCCATTTTTTTTTCAGGTGAACGGTTTGGAAAAATGAGTTTGAAATCTGCGATGGCTCTGTTGTTGAGAAGATATAGAGTAACGTTAGCCAAAAGAACCTTGGTTCCCTTGAAACTCTGTCCCACTCCATTCGTACCAGTCGCAGAGGGGGGAGTATGGGTCCATTTCCAAAAACTTTGAATAAAACAACTTTTTTTATTTATTTTATATCTAAATAGTATAAGATGATTGTATTATTGTTGAGATTTGTTATGCAAATTAATAAACTATAATGCAAAAATTCAACACGATATTATTCATTTGAACCATGTAGGAACCAAATCACTGATTTGAAGAATACTCTGGACTGAAGCAAATTTCAATTTCAATTTCAAAGCCAATTGAAACATAAAACTCCAATTTTTTCAAATGGTTTCATTGGTTGAATTCAACTATTTTTTCTGAATTCAAAGCATCACAATTTGATATGTTAGCTATTTTTCGATTGAATTCGCAATTAAATGTGTAATTTTGAATTCCAAGTTGATGATTTTAGAAAACATATATCGAGAATCAAAATGACGAATATAAAGTATTGAAGGTTCATCGATTAACCCCATTTCACTTTTAGGCATCATTGCTGACAGATGGATTTATTTAATTCGTTTCTAGACTGTTCCTAAGGCAACCTCTAGTAGATCGAAGAACTATAGGACTCTCTGATTTCAATAAAAATGTCAACTCCACGTTGAAGATAGATGACTGCATGAAAAAAGACGTTTTATTTCCCTGTAAACAACAGCATTATCAACTATATAAGGAGACATTTTTAATAGTGCTATACAAGTTTATGTCCGATTTTGAATCGCTAAAGTTTTTTTTGATCAAATTACATCAATTGACAATATTTTTGAATAGCGAACCAATCCAACCACCCAGCGTCAACTAGGTACCTAGATATTTTTTTGATTTTATATCAGTATCAGGTGAGTAGATAACTATAGAAGTGAGGCGTATAACCAACCCTATATGATTCAAAATGTTAGGTAAGTTTTGTGAAACATTAACAACTATATTTATTGGTACACGATATTCTCAGAAAATACGAACAAAATCAGTCATTCCAACACTCACATCAATGTAAGTTTTGTGTCATTCATGAATTCTGCATTAATTTCATTTGCATGATTACAGACGTAATTGGTCGTAAAACATGGACCGCTGGGTAGGAAAAGTAGCTATAGTGACTGGAGCTAGTGCTGGAATTGGTGCCGCCATTTCAAAATCATTATTGGGATAGGAATTAACGTGAGTTATCCAAATAGCCTCAAAATTATATTTGAAATATTGTTAGTAGATGAGCGAGGGGGTTTCTAGAACAAAATTCACCTTGTGAGGGGCGTGGTATATGTAAAGTTAACTGATTGGTTCATCTAAGAAGTGGAAGGTGTTACAATTGTTCACTTCAAAGCCATCTCATAATCAAGTACAGTGTCAAGTGACCTCAAGGCCTAATTCTCAACAGATGCTCACCAAAGAGATGATCAGTTTCGAGCAAACTGAGATTGAACCTACATGAAAGATTATATGTGATATCCTAGATTTCTCATCCGTTTTATTGGTCTCTCAGAGATGTCTACATCCTATTGTGTGTTCAAATGTTCATAAAAAATAGGTTGTTGGACTATCACGAAGAACCGAGAAGATCAAAGACCTTGCTGCCACCCTTGACGATCAACCTGGAAAGCTCTTGGCCTTCAGATGCGACATCACCAAAGAAGAAGACATCCTCAGAGCCTTTAGATGGATCACCGATAATGTAGGGCCAGTGAATATACTGATCAACAATGCCGGACTCACCAGACCGACTACTTTAATAGGTGAGTCGTACAAATGGATGAATATACTATTCTATTCCTCTGATTTTCATACTCCACAAATTTTGCTTGGCTTCCCTCAACAAAATCTGAGGTGCCCCTTATTTTGGTTGACATTACCAATTTCACGAATTTGGTGAACACACCGTTGATAAAATTTGCCTTAAAGAAACTTCGCCATATTTTTAAATTCTGATAAATATATATTTTTACGCCGGCGGTAGTAGAAGTCATTTTCTCTGGTAACAAAAGAGGGGCAGAAGTCTCGTATTATTCCCTAGGGAGATAATGTGACATTTTTTCTCCCTAGGGATTTTATACCAACTTTACATTTTCCGAATAGCTCTGCGCTTTCTCTTCGGAACACCCTTCTCTGAAGCTCGTATAAGCTGCATCATACAGATTTCTAGATCTCACTGGTAGCAAGTTAAGAATCACTGCAGAAGCAGTATCAATAGTTTCTTGGGGGTTTCCCTCGATTTTTAACCATTTTCAAAGCTCTGTTTTCATAAATTCCAGTTTGATATTTGCTATCACCATGGGTTGTCAACAAGATGCATGTTGTCAAGCCAGCGTAAAAAATAGTACATACACCTCAGCACAGAATGCTATTTTTCCCTCGGTGCTTTATATATCTCTCGGGCTTCGCCCTCGAGCTACAAATCGCACCTTGGGAAAAATCTTGCATATCTGTCCCTTGATGTATAATGTACTATATCAAAGGCCTAAAATAGATTTTTATAGAAAAACGAAATATATCTAAGATTTACTTTCTTTTTGATGTTTTATGCACCTGAGTAGCCCAGTGTATGTTGAACAGCACAGTGAAGCACAGGGGCTTAAAGCATGCACGATGACCGACCCTGGAGGTGAAATACAACCTCACTTTTCAATGTTTTATGTCCAGGTTCGGTCATCGTGTACGCGACCTATAACCAAAAAGAACACATTCCTGCCTATTCTTCTCGCTCTGAAGTTACCCACACGGTCAAATTGAGAGTTTAGTGCTTAGATAATGGAAATATCTGAGTTTCTCAGGACCTGTTTCCTCCTGGAACAAAAAGAAAACGTGAAATAACCCTCAATTTTCTTCTCAGATGGTGACACTGACGAATGGCGCAAAGTCTTCGAAGTGAACGTGATGGCGCTGTGCATCTGCACGAGAGAGGCCGTCAAAATCATGAGACAAAACGGTATTAGGGGCCACATCGTGCACATGAACAGCGTAGCGGGCCACTCTGTGCCCAACCTTGCTCCGAACCTGCTCAACGTGTACCCAGCCTCGAAATACGCCGTTACAGCCCTGACGGAGAGCCTGAGGCAGGAACTAAAGTTCCACGAAACGGGCATTAAGGTCACTGTGAGTATTCCGTCACAGATTAACATGAGGATTATTGTTGATTTCTGTCATCCCGTGTAGAGTTGGGGCTCAAACGAAATGTTTCCCAAAGTTGCTCCCTTACGGGAATATTTGACTTCGAAGGTGAACATCGGAATAGGGTTTCGAAAAACTAGACAAGTATATGCGTGATATTAATCCATTAAAGTTCACCGTCCTCATTTGAGAACGGTGTATTATTTGAGCGGGCATAAAACAAGTGCGTATCATTGTACCTACATCATCGCTTACAAATCTGTCACCTTATAGGTGAAAAAGTGGAAGTTTGTTTTTTTGGTATACCTACTGGTTTTCCATTCTTCCAGCCGTATAACCATTCATCCAATAAACTGAATCATTTCGAATTCTTAGGTTCATTCTTCAATTTTAGGCTATATTTATTTTCCCGAATATTCTTTATTCATTTGATTCATATCATTATCAAGAGAGAAAAACTCAAAGTCGTCTCCACAATTTTTTTTTGACTAAAGATGCCCATTTGAATGGCCGATATATCAACTTTCAACCTTATTGAAGCAGGATTGACTGCCTTCTTATACATTAAAAATTGTGGAGACGACTCTGAGTTTTTCTCTCTTGATCATTCCACTCCACTATGAGTATGGACTACTACAGAAGATTATATCACTATGTTCCGCAGCTCCAGCGCCCTCAAATGAGGGCGGCATATCTCGAATATTTGGAAAAAGGCAGCAGAAATTCTGATAGTATTTATGTTTTCCACATTAAAATATAGCCAAAATGAATAGAAAAAGTAAAAACTCGAAAAAATAATAATTTCGGTTTCAATTGTTGGCCAAAATTTAAACAGTGAGCACGTAAAGGTTGGAAAAAATTCTTTAAAAAGCTTGATATGCACTACACACTGTTCCACCACTAACCAAACCGACTTTTTACGCCTGACACGTGTTTCGCTAACTATGTCAGCATCTTCAGGAGAAGATTAAAACAAGTCCATATTGCTCAAAGTGGAGTGAAATATTTCAAAGGAAAAGGACTTCGAACATTCCTTCCTTCTATTTGAAAAAATTCTCCATCTTTTTCACTTTCAAATACCGGCAAAAGAAACCGGTTACCAAAAAAAATCGGCCAAATTGTTCGCCCTACTTGATCATTATACAGGGAAAAACAAAAGTTATTCTTTCACCCTCAACTCCTCAACGCCCTATGGTTAAATTCAGCTTCATTATATTTTGATTAGAAGTGTGTCGAAAACCGCATTTTTTAAGAGAAGATACAAGTTTTTCAAGGAAGTATGTTTTTTTTTTATTAACAATAATTCAGATCCATTCTCTCCAACCTCCTGCTTCATAATGTTTTGAATTGAGGTGTGATCATTTTTCGTCCCTTCTTGGCACAATAGTTCTAGATTCACGTCAATAAAAAATAAAGATGGAGTTTCTTAATTTTTATCAATAATATTTCAAAACCTATAGAGCATCTTAAGAATGAACTACACCTGAGGCTCATTCGCCTCTTCGTCCGGCCTTGTCAGAGACCCTTCAATAAGTGTCACGATTTCGCCCTTCTGAGGTAGAAATGATTGATGTTAATCCTTGGAGTTGGTTATCAATAATTTTGTGTAGTTTCTGATTATTTTGAATGAAAATTGAAAAATGCCATACTTTCTTAAAACACTCGAATCTCCTCATAAAAATAAGATATTGACGTAAATCAGAAACAATTGTGTTAAGAAGGGATCGCACCTCAATCCGAAGCATAATGAAACCACGTTCAACCACTCAATTCTACCACAGGACGTTATAAGAAGTAAAGTGTGGAATGGTAACTTTTGTTTTTCCCTGTATAATGATCAAGTCATCAGCTTTCGACGGAAACTAATATTCAGGCTAACATTTCGAAACATAAATCTACGATTTGATCAGAATGTCACAAAAATCGGACTAGGATTAAAAAAGTCACAGGGTGAATGATTTGGGCTCATTTTTTGGTGAATTTCATCTACAAACTCCAACTCTTTTAAACCTCCAGAACCCGTTTATTTCTCGAAACTTTTTGTGTAGAGCATCAGTCCAGGGAGGGTTCATACGGAATGTCAAGACGGCCTAACAGATAACGGACAAAAAGCCCTATTGGACTCAGCACCAGCGTTGAAAGCTGAAGACCTTGCTGAGGCAATTATTTACGTCTTGGGAACAGGGCCTCAAGTACAGGTGAATCAGATTTTTTTTTAAATCGCACATACCCAGATAGCACTGAATGTCAATTTTACGTTGTTTTTCCCTACTTATGGTTACTTTTGAAGAACTTTCAATCATCGCAGTATAATAACCTCCGAAAAACACACCCCTTAATAGCTACATTGAAGAATTCATACAATCCGCGCTTTAGTAAATGAGATTTGATAGGTTCGCGGAATCCCATGTTTCCGTTAGAACCACGTTAGAACGCATGCGTCAAGCAAAAGCAATGACGAAGAAGGAAAGATGGCGTCATTTGATCTTTGAATTAAACACATTGAATATATATGAATATAAATAAATTCATCTTTCACTCTTGTAGTCAACATGATGATGATATCGTGAACCTTTTTCCGACTTTCATAGGTAGATTTCAGGAATTGATGAAAACTTTAGATAAATGGTAATAAGCGAGATAGGGTTACAAGATTTTTATATGGATGAAACAGTACTTGTTCTTTCAATGAACATTTACTAAGTCATTCCAAGTTTGTTCATCACTTGTTCAGTTCATGAGAAAATAGAAAAAAAAACCAATATCATCCCACTTGTTTGCCTTTTGCCTCATTGATTCTTCATTTTTATAGTATTCTTTTTTCATTGATTTGAGCGCAGTTTTTTTTCTGAAATACCCGAGGATATACCTACATGTTTAAATTGAGTTCAATATTAGGAAGTTGGAAAGTGCTATATACGACTGTATGAGCAATATGTGTAGGTAATATTCAACTATGAAAAAGCCAAATCAATTCTCAAAGTGGAATGAGATGTTAAATAAATATGCATTCCACAAATGTTCATCAATTTTAACCAAACTGGTAGATAACGATGTGAGAAAAATAAGTACTTGCCACGCCAGGACATTGAATTACATCCTTCCGAAATCCATGCAATAATTCGTCGTATAGAAGAAATAAGATCGCAAGTGTTTCGAGGTTTTGGCATATTGGCTCTCATCAGTACAAGGGTGTCCCCAGATGGCATTATCGACCGCCATCTGGTTTCGAAGCCACTGCGAGAGAAGTAGGAAACAAAATGAATTTCTATTCCAGATGAATAATAGGGGCTGATTGACCGACTATCGTTATTTCAACTAGGAAAAAAAACTGCTGGAATGCCATCTGGGGACACCCCTACACTGATGAGAGCCAAAAGATCGGAAATATATCCAGGAAAGTAGTTGTTTTTCTCTCGTCATCTACCAGTTTCATTGATGAACATTTGTAAAAATAACTTTGAGCTATGCATAATTATGTGTAATATAGTTGAAAATGCCATGCCTAATTTCAAATATATAGTTTTTAATGCAGCTTATAAAAATGTTTCTACTTTTTCAGGTTCATGAATTGACCATTAGGCCATTAGGTGAGGCGTATTAATCTGCATTTTTTCATTCTACACCACCCAACAGATTTCCATTTACAGGATGGCAAATGAATGAATTGATTCGTCGACCTGACAATAATTGATATGTTGCATGTAGTACGGACCTGTACGATACCGAAGTGAAAATTGTCACATGATTTTACCACATTTATATTGAAGCCCTGAACTATTACAAAGTATTCTTCTCATATGACTTTTCTTCTCTCGTTTTTGATATTGTAGATAGGATAACACTCAGTTGTCGGGAATAGCTCAATGAAAAAGCAAAACTTTCGAAAATATAATTATTAGGTACAACAAAAGTAGAAGAGCCTCTCATCAAACATTAACAAATTTCAAAATCTAAGTAGAACAGTAGAACCACATATTCATAATCACATAAATCATTATTACAAACAAGTATATATAGGTACATATAAGTATCTTAAGTATCCATATTATACATATAACAGGAACTATTCTTTCAAAATAATCCCAAATAGTCATCAAATTTATATTTTCCATTCTTTAACACGAAAATTAACAATCCGTTCCTAATTACTTTGGTCAATCAACATTATTATTGAGCTAACATTCTGGGAAATATATTTGTATGTTTTGTGTTTGTGGGTATCATGTTTCTTTGATTTTTTTGTATAATAATCTACACCATTTTTACTGATTGACAAAATGTGCTCATTTTATTTTGTTCACCTGGTATAATATATCTGCTACTATTCTTAATTTTTTCATGAAAAATGATAGATACCTACATTTAGTGTAAAGCTAAAAGGCACATCAATACGTAATTATTTAAACTTCTTTTTGTCATATTGCTACATAATGAAATGGAAAAAAATCACACTAAACTTCCTCAAATCAAACTTAAATATCTTTCTTCTCCAGTATTGCATTCTGTGCGAATAATACTGCATCATGTACGGTAGGAAAAATAACAAATTTATTATCCTTACGTTCAACCTTATCACACTTTTTTATCACTTCATATACTGGACCTGAAACAAAATAAACCACATATTTTAGCCCAGACGAACATTATTTCCAGACCAATATTACCTGAACACCCCGTAATGTACATTGAAATATTCAATTTGGCATAATCTGCTTGAAGCCCTCGCAAAAAGTCAACCCCAGATGGGTCCACGAACGTCAGACTAGAAAAATCCAGCATGATGCACTTGGTCAAGAATTCCTCGTCGTTTTGGAATTCCTTTTCGGCCAATTTGGCTCGCTTCCTGAGAATTTCGGCGGCATCTAGACCGGTCTTTCTCACAAGCAAATCTTTGAAACTCGAACGAGAGGCGAAACTCAAACCGCCAGAGTAGTGGAAGATTTTCACTCCATCAATTTCTTTTGCCTGCAAAAAAAAACGTTATTTAATATTTGTTGTTTGAAACTAATACTATCCAGGAACAGCTGGCAGATCACTGACTTAAACAAACGTATAAGCTCCTGAAGTCACGATTCCTATCTCTACTATCTATTAGAATTCTGAAATTGGGGCAACCTCCCAGTTAACCACACATGTCTCAGGTCTATCACAAGAAAGATTCGTCAAAGAACTTTGTTTCATCACACGCTCTATCAACGTGATAAAATTGAGGCATCCCAGTCGTCATCATGAAGGAGATCAATTAAAGAACTTCGTTTGATCACAAGTTCTATCAACGTGATAAAATTGAGGCATCCCAGGCGCCATCAGCAAGGAGATCGATTGAAGAACTTTGTTTCATCATAGTGACAAAATTGAGGCACCCCAGGCGTCATCACAAAGGAAATCAATCAAAGAACTTCGTTTCATCATACGTTCTATCAACGTGATAAAATTGAGGCATCCTCGGCGTCATCACAATCTAGATCAATTAAAGAACTTTGTGGTATCACAACGTTCTGAAACTGCACTGATGCAAATTGCATCTAGAATATAACTCGTGCTTGTATTAAAGGTATTAATAATAAATTGTGATCTGTTATTATGAGAGTTTGAGTACCTAGGTAGGTGAAATTCAAAGTTGTGGTTTAACAACCACGAACCACGGACAATGTCATAGCAAGTTCTGAGCTTTTTTTTGCTGTGATTTCCTAACCTCACTTTTTCTGATCCCTCGTTCCTCGTTTACCAAAGGAAACTAATGTATGATGTATTTGTTTATCAAATTTCAGCAGAACAAAAATATTCCGCTATAATTGAAGAGGAAAATTATCAATTCTGATTGAGAAAGCATCGAGGAAAGCATACAAAAGTAAAGGCATCAGGTTCAACCTCAAGTAAGACCTCAAGTTAAAATTGATCAACATTCTAATTAGAACAGTGTTGGATTCCCTTCTGGCAAACACCAGCTGGTTAGGACATTTTCATCACTGTGATCCCACAGGAGCATATCTTGTTTAAGTCTGATGTTGCATCACTGATATAAGTCTGTGATTTCATCTGAGGCGGCCATTCATCTTTGCTATATCTCTGATGGGAACATCTCTGTGATAAAACATGGCACATTTGAAATGCAGCAGTGATGAAGTTGCTGCATGTTTTGGTCAACTGGGCCAGTGCGATTTTGAATTTTTGATCAGTTAAAAAAATATCTCGTATGCCTCTGAAATCGAAGAAAATTCTGAATTCCGACATTTTCCATTTTTGACCCGCTCAAAAATGTATAGGATAATTCGAGTTCATGACCAGTTCTTTGCTTCAATTTCAGAGCCACCTCAAAAAGAATTGTGCACCTACTACGCCCCTTTCCCAGCTGCCGTTTCCATTTTCTTTGGAATGGGCGCAAAATGTAAATTTCCTAGAACTGTATAAAAAAAAGCGGACAAGTATATTAGAGAGAGAAATTAACGCCATCCTATTTGCGTTAAAAAGGCGATTGGAAATGATTGTTTATCAAATGTCATAAGTTCTCGAAAACACAAAGTATTGGCTGAGCCAGTTTTACACAACTAGAACTAGGATGATGTAAGCTTCTCTTTTTAATACTTGTACGCTTTTTTATTTAATACTACGGTACCTATGCCCTGGGAATGGCTAGATTCCTCTACACTAAATTCTATTAAAAAACCAAGAACCAGGACCAGGAACCAGGAAGTGCGGGTCATGTCATCTCAGCAATTTTGTAGCAAAATTGAGTGTTTTCAGGTTAGGTCAATGTAACATTCAAACTCGATTTGTGGCGTGTCAGAATTGAAGCGTTTTTCATATTGTTCAAGTGTTTTTTTATATAATGCAAACGTGTCAGAATTCTAGAATTGTGAATCTGTGACAATGACAATTGCATAGAACCAGAACTGGATGTACGAAAATGTAGCTAAAACAAGAAAAATGTCGATAAATTTTCATTAGTTTCGTCTGCGGCAGGTTTTTTTGATCTCTGCTGATAAGCTGATAGTAGTTATATATCAGCAGCTGGCAACACTACCAAGAAGGCAGAAACAAACCAATAACATCAAGTTTCTCATAATATAGATTTTACTACAGTCCGGTTGAGAATGAAGTACATCGTCTTCAGTGAACATGTCGCGGTTGGACGGTATGAGCGCTCGCTTATTGCAGCGGTGATTCAGAAAGCTGACACCGTCCATGTAAGATATGTTCTCTGAAGACAACTGCACCTATGTTAAGAGGAAGGCATTGTGTGACCTTGCTTTTCATTGGTCGAGGCGCCAGCTGAGTTTACACTAGTGATATCGTTATTGGTGATGGAGAATGGAAGTATGGTTAGTTCACCGGTGACATGCCTAAAAAAAATCGAAGGTTGAGGTTATTGGCTATCAATGTTTCCTAAATATGTTTTACTACCATTAATGCCGTTCAATTGTGATAATCGGTCGATATGAATTTGGTATTTGGAAAAATGCAAGAATATTAATTACCTAATCGCCTACTTCTTTCGCTATACCGGATGTAGTTGCTCATAAAGCTGAAAGCCTCAAATGGACCATATTTCTTCTGAATGGAAAGGGTCATTAGGCATATTTTTTTGGTTGGCAACAATTAATGTCAAATTCAGGGTCACCTGTAGACGATACTATTTGCAAAATGAAAAGCACAAAACGTTGCCTTCGCTTCATTTTAAATAATCAACAATCCTCTAGTTGTTGATCAAATAGAAACAGAATAATTGATGAAAGTATCGCCGATTTCATCCACATTTGACATATCACCCCTTCGTAGCTAGCCCCAAAAAAAAACATTGTTTGCAAGATTTCAAGTGACTCACCCCCTTGTATCTTTTGATGTCCAAGTACAAATCCGTATTGGGCACCGCCCCCAACAGGCAAGTATAGGGCTTGTACCCCTGCACGAATATGCTAAGCAGAGAAACGGCCACCCCCGCCGCCAGCCCGTAGCTGATCTGGACGAAGAGGGTGGTGGCGAATGTCACTATCCACGTGATGCCGTCCCATCGGCTAAGGCGCCAGTACCTGACCACTGCCGTGCACTGGAGCAGCATGCCCTTCAGGGCTACCACGATGATGCTGGCTAAAATGCACTGGAAAGGTTCACAAATGGAAATATTATCATATTCTATATGGATAAGAAAGCTACTATAAATAGGTTTTTATCATTTAATTAGAAATCGAGAGCCGAACCGAAATAATAGTTTAGAACCCTCTTGTAACGAGTAGGTATTAAGCACAGGTTTCTAATAGCCCTCAGTTGACCATTATAACCGCAAATGAATTTGGATAGATTTAGTTTTCATATGTTGCGACCAGAATACTTATAGATTTAAGTAACTATTGTCATTTTAGTATAAGATGAATAAAGACATGGTGTCGAGAGATATAGTTGTTGGTTTTTTTTCTATGCCTTTTTTTCCAACAACCCGATATCATTTTTGAATTGTAAAGCGGGCAAGGCTAGCTCGGTCCATTTGAACGAGGTCCAAATAGATTTCTTCAAACACATACTGTAAAGAGTCTGAGATATACTACCTAGATGTTCTTCTAAGAATAATAAATTGTCAAGCGAAACTTGTTTGTTTCGAACCATATGTTGAATGTTATTTACGGTTTCCTTTTGATGGATGCATTCAATAGTTGAGAGATTTCTAAATAATATCACCCTTATGATGGAATACCATCTGATTATTAATTATTATTATTGTATCTGATTATTATGGAATCAGTCAGATACAATTTAGCACTGAGTTTCGCTTCCCTCATGTCACGTGATACACTAACTATACAAAAGAAATGTTTGGCACAGTTTTGGAGGAGTTCGTTTTTATGTTTTGTTCTGTTCAGTTGTGTCACGTGAAATGCGGAACGCTGGTAAAGTAATCTGTTATATATTTGTAATCAACACTTTCATTATAAGTTGAAGAGTTATCAACTACTCAAGTTGATAACTCAATTATCATGGTTCTTTACGATCAATAATCAATTATCACTATTTCTCAACTTGTCTTTGGATGCAGTAAACATCAAGTCAGTTTTATGTCATTTAGTAATGTCCAGACCCTATTTTCATTCATTTTCATTCATTAGTTATCCATCTGATAATAAACATTGTTAATTCAGTTAGGTAACCCAATAGTTTGATTTATGGACCTCCCTTCCTATTCCTTCTCCAGGTTTATTTGAGATTGAGAGTAAAGTTAACGTATTTGTTTCAATGTTTCAAATAATAACTGAAGAGTAATAGACTTTTATTAAAGAGTATGCAAGCTCAGATATTTTACTAGTGCGAAGCATATACACATGGATGTGTCACAAGCTGTATATTAAATGAGGTGGTTGCAAGACAGGTTAATGAATTAGTGATCAAGATAGGTTACTCGCTTATCAGAGACCACCTCGTTTACATTCTGTAAGGATCTGAATGAAGATAAACGTGTCAAAGACAATGTGCAAACAACACAACTTGTTAAGCTTCATTTATATAGAGTGGTGGCGAATGTCACGATCCAATATACAGTATGATGCAAATGTATGGAATGAATTCATTATTTCAGAAATGGGCGACATTTGAAGAAATTCCAAAAGCACGTGAGTTTTAATTTTTGAAACCTCATCTCATGACATTCATATGAGAGATGTTACGTCACCGGTGTTGGAGTAATGACGTAATGGACGATTTTTTTAAATACAAACAGGGGTCAAGTGACACCTCGTTTGAAAGGTCTACTGATCGTCTATCCAATAGTCAAAATTTTGCAAAAGAAGATTGCAATTTAAATGGATTATCATTTGGTTAACTGAATCTTGCAGAGATCTTCTACTGAGAATTGAACATCGAAGGGTCGTCTAGTTGAAAAAATACATCTATAAAAAAGTTCTGAACTCTACTTTTCGGATTTTTTTCGGAAGTCGTCTTGTTTTGAAATGAATTTATTCCATACATTTACATCATACTATATATATATTACTATAGTTTTTCTAAGAATCGATCTGAACAATTTTCAACTTACCCATGAAGGACAATTCATGTTTGTCTTGCTTGTTTTGCATTCAAAGGCAACACAATATAAATAACCATTGTTTATTAATTCGAAATCACAAACCTTTTCAGTGTATTTAGATCTATGTACGAAGTCAAGGGAAATGGGATTTGAATGTATAGGTAAACCAATCGAAAGAATATGCAATCAATTTTTTTTTACCGTGACAATTTTTTTTTTATTTCGTTTTGTATCTATTATTATTAACGTGGTACTTTTCTCATAAGTAGTTATTATTGCAGCCATTCATACGCAACAAATAAGGCACTTCATGCACAATATCCTGTCTACAATCAATGAACCAACCGAATCGAAGTATTCACGGAGAGTTCGAGTTGCACTTACCCTCGGTAATGTTTCGAAGAAAGGTCCGATCCATAAAAGCACCACCGACAGGATGATGCAAGAAATGACAGACGCCAGCTGAGTAACGCCACCCACGGCCTGCTGGATCATCGATCTCGAGAGAGAAGCTGTCACTGGCATGCAAGAGAAGAACGAGCCCATGGTGTTACTCAGGCCCTAAATATTGTTTGATTGAGAAAAACGTACTTGAAAGTTACACGGGAAAAACAGGCTAAGCCAATTTTTTTAGTTTGAAGTTATCGCTGTTTTAAGGTTTTTATATCTTGAATATTTCTATTTTTGAAGTTATATGCCATACAAAACTAATTGCATTTTTCGAACCATCGAACTTTAAAGTTTGGAACATATTGATCAGCCCGTTTCCAAAAAAAAATGACTTAGCTTGTTTTTCACCTGTTTTTGAGCGAATTTCTATGCAACAAACATTTATTCGAATATAAAGTACAAAAAGTAAAGTATTACCCGAATAAGAACAATTAATATAATATTTTGTTCATTTCTCGACGGTAAGAGACAATAAAATTTTTTGTTTTGGTTCGGCGAGAAATGAATCCACAATGTTTTTTTTTTGTTCAAGTAAAAGTAATATTCAATATCTGTCAATCAAAAAGCATTTACTATAAACCGGTATAACTCAGAAGTGAGTGAGTGCCTGTAATTTGAAAGTCAATGCAATCGATTTATATTTTCACGCGTCGCGACGCTCAGTTCTTAGTAGGCGTTGAATTTTTCAAACTTCGAAAAAATTCCATTGACTACTTTTTACAGAAATCAAATATAATTATTCGTTTTCGAGATCTTAGCGTGCGGAGTTTTAAGTAAAAAACCCTGATGACTGTTCAGAATTTCAGGAAAATCCGTTCACGAATGCAGAAGTTACAGGGATGGCCCGATACCCTGTGTCACCCGGTATACATACAGTGTGTCCCAAATTCGATCCTCACCATTGGGATCTCGCTAACTATGAGAGATAGAGAGTCGGTTAAATCACGAAAGTTTCAGCAAATTTAATATTCAGAATCCTTCAAGAAATATAGACTAGCTTCAGTCATTTTTGAGTTATTCAAGAAAAACTGAAATTTTGTGTTTTCTTGTATATCTTGAAAATTATAGATTGAATGATGAAACGACTTCAACATTCTCATAGTACTATCAAGTGATCTTTCATGATGATTTTGTCAGTTTTTGTTAAAAAGATAAAATTCCTGAGATATGACCTCAAACTTATTCTTATTTTCTTTCCTTTTTATTTCAAAAATCGACAAAATCATTCAAGATATCACTAAAAAGTATCATCATAATGTTGAAGTCGTCTTTTCATTCAATCAATAGTTTTCGAGATATTCGAGAAGAACGAAAATACAAATTATCAGTTTTTCCTGAATAACTCAGAAATGACTGAAGCTAGTGAAGATTTCTCTTCTGATTCTGAATTTCGATTGAATTTGCTGAAACTTACCTAATTTAACCGACTCAAAATCTCTCACAGTTACCGAGATTTCCGAAATACAAAATTTCAGTATTTCCTCAATAACTCAGAAATGACTGAAGCTAGTGGAAATTTCTCGACTGATTCTGAATTACGATTAAATTTCTTGAAACATTCCTGATTTAACCGAGTCTCTATCTCTCACAGTTACTTAGATTCCAATGGTGAGTATCGAATTTGGGCGTTTCCATTAGAAAGTGAGACACCATATAATATTATAGTGTGTATCACTTCCGATGGATACACCCCTGTATCTCTCGTAATTGTTGAGTTAGGTTTCTGAAATTGGTAAGAGCGGAAAATATACCGAAAATACACATTATGACCAAGGGGAGTCATCTTCAGTGACATACATTGCTCGGCCACAGCCGTGGAAACACCCACATTTCCGGAAAATGATATTAGGAGAAAAGGATTCGAAATCAGGACATCCAATTCACTAACTATTCATGTTTTTCCTGAAAATTTATCAATTCTGAAAAATTGAATTTACATGATTCTCTAGCGTATATCTCGAAAACAATGCTGATACGGAAAAAACCCACTGGTACAATTTTGTAGATAATTTTACCAGCTACAATTTTGAATAGATTGACTTTTTGCTGTGACGTACCGTTTTCAAGATATGACGATAATTCAAAAGAAGGAACTATTGGAATTTTTACTTCCTATCTACTCCGAACATATTCCTAGTCTAAAAAAAAACAAGACAGACTGAAGTATTGTGCTAGAACAAAATATTTTTATTACCAGTGCCAAAAGTTCCTGATTCGAGTCGACTTCATACATGAGCTTCCTAGCGAAAATCAGTGCCATCGACATGGTGATAGTGTAGGACACCATCGTGATGATAAAGGCGTCCACGAAGATGTCGGGAATGAGTTCAAAAGCAGGTAAAGTAGGTGCAGGAAAACTGAAAAAAAATCTAGTCAAAGATGGCCGTGTTTCGGTGAGAGATTTTATTTCATTATATCGAAGTATTAACCCTAACACAGAGCTCTGTATATTTTCAAAATAATTAATGCAATTCACGAAATTTCGTAACATGAAAAACACGCAAGAATATATTTCTAATTTTCATTTCAATCAAAATATGAAAAAAGTTCGCTTTCTCAGAAGGTGCTCGCCCTAGACTCCAGTGACTTTTCTGGACTGAATACTTACTGCAGATAACAGAGGCCACAACATACAACATGACACAGCTGAAGAATCAGATAATAAGAGGACTAGATGGAACAAATATTTGAAGATGAAGGTGGCCGGCGATATTGACGTTAGGAAGTTAGGTTGACAATGTATTTCGTCTTCTTCTTCTGTATTTCTGGAAACTCTACGCATTACGCTGTTGCTAGGGCCACGCGGAGGGACATCTGGGGGCACTCCCAGAGGCTCCAGTACAAAATTATACATGTTGTGTTTTAAATTTGTGATGTAAATGAAAAAAGGAGAGAAAAATAAACGACTTTAATACGTTCGATATCTGAAGTGGAGCAGTGTCGAGCGCGGTTAGTACTTGGATGGGTGACCATTCGAGGAAACGCCGCGTAAGCCCGTACATCTGTAGCGGAATAGCATATCATAGAAGTCGAAGCCCTGAGGGGGCAGAAGGACGATCTAGCCTTCATAGCCATCTAGTGGCTTAAGGGCAAGGTGTATTGGTAGATTCATCGATCATACCTTGCGACTAAGTTGTGCATATAGACCCCTACGTCTATATGCTTACAGAAAAGACATCCATGTCAGATTCTGTAGACTATCGCAACACCTGTAATTCTCAAAGTGGTTTAATGTTCCACTAACAGATAGTGGTAAACCTAGAATCTCAAGACTAAGAGATTCTAGGGAAATTTCGTGAATCGATTGTCAGCTGATGCAGGACAGACTGTTTCGACTTGCCATAAGTCTCATCAGTTGCATTGGCCAGCTGACAATCGATTCACGAAGTCACGATCGTCCTTCTGCCCCCTCAGGGCTTCGACTTGTTTGATATATGGAGGTACCCTTCGTGAATCGATTGTCAGCTGGCCAGTGCAACTGATGAGACTTATGGCAAGTCGAAACAGTCTGTCTTGCATCAGCTGACAATCGATTCACGAAATTTCCCTAGAATCTCTTAGTCTTGAGATTTACCATTATTATCATATCATAGCTACCATATCAATGGGCACAATATATGGTACGGATATGCCGTCGTTCGGAGGGGACGTTAAGCCGGCGGCCCCGAGGCCATGGATGTTGGACTGGTTAAAGATCCCTACCTCTGGTTGGAGGATTCGGAAAATTTCCGGTTGGAGGTAGTCTGCTCACCGGCGTCGGTGATTAGCCTCAGTAGCAGAAAAAGGCCGACGTTGAAGAAACAAGAAATAAGAAGAAAATAAGCGTACGCCACTTATCGGAGTTCTTGAAAGCTGTCAATGCGGCATGTTTACATAACTTACTTTACTTACTCAGAAGTGTTCGAGTTATTGCCGTCAGGTGGGGCGACGTGTTATTTTCTATCACGAATAACGAATGATTGCATCAAGTACAATTTATAACACGTAATGATCAATATGAAACAAGTATGTGGCGTGAATTCGAGTGGTGTGTACAACCCCATTCGGAAGCAAGGTCCCCAGACCTTCCAGTAGAACATTTTTGAATATAAAATGGCATACAACATTGAACATTCTGTTTGTGCTTGTGCTGTGAAAATGATGAAATTTTTTAATACAGCCTATCTAAAACTAGACCTAGACTTACCCTGTTGGTAGGTGTCCTACAACAGTTATCCCATAATTCTTCGTGAAATCCATGAAATAACTTGCAGTTGTACCAATCACAACAGCCACTAGTTCAATAGGAAACGGAATTGAAGTTTTTTTGGCCAGGCGAGGCTGAAATTATGTGTTTTGAAATATGCAATATAAGTCTGATAGGTATTTCTTTCGCATGGAATAATTATTACCTTCAATATTTCATTATTTATTGACAAAATAATGCAGGCTATAACGGATACTAATATGGCTCTAGTGTTGGCATTAGGAATTGCCATTATGGAATCATAAATCGTCTGAAAACAAGAATTTTATCAATTTTAATAGAGGATAAAAGACCTGATTGAAATTTAGTTGGGTCTCTCTACTAGTCTCAACCTATAGCGTGTCTCGGCTCCGCCCTCTATATCTCAGGTAGTCGTGCGAGTTTTACCAAATTTGGACTGAAATGATTAACAATAGATTTGATCAGTTTTTCAGAGAACATCATTATGGGCAGAGCTATACGTTTCTTTATTTCTTGGAGCGCACGAGAGAAGAATATTATTAAATATGGTTCGAAGAACATATCGTGCGTATCTAATAATACTGTCTGTAGGTTAATCGAGGATGTGGTACATTCATTTTACTCGATTTTTTGGTATTTTCTCTCCTCGTTTCCATGAAATAAAAATATGCGTATTATTTCAATATATTTGTAGTGGGACAAATCAGATGATTTGCCCCAAAATGTCACTGCGTTTAATGAACGAATCTGCTCCCGTTCTCAACATGAAAATGCAAAATATTTGTCTTTGGAAGTTGTGCTCTGCTTATAGTTTGACACTCCTCAGTGTCATACTAATGTTGGTATATGAATGAGTGATTTTAGTCGAAAAATGAGTTACAGGATGTTTTCACATAACTTCTAAACGGCTGAACCGATTGGCTTGAAATTTTACATGGGTATTTCGATGGTTTCCTGGATGCTTTGAAAATACAATTGGACGCGTTAGGTGACGCTGCTGTCGGTACGTCAACTACTAAACGGCTTGACCGATAACGATGAAATTTTCAATATGTAAAACAACAACAAAAATACTAAAGATACTGAGAGATTGAAAATTGGTTCATAATAGTGTAAGTACAAAATAATTGAGAAAAATAACAAAAAAATATGTACTGTAGATACGCGAGGTCGTGCATATCTCAGATCGACTGCAACAAAGTGTCTAATTTTTTTAAATGGGTACTGCGTAGCCGGGCCGGACAGCTAGTTTTGAATAAAAAGGGGTCGATTTTTCATAAAATCATATAAGGAATTTTTTGCAGGAAAACCAACTTCATAGTATTATTCCTCATACTTTTGAACCTCCATATCAAAATATTAACCCATTTAGAATTACTGAGATCGGCTACAATTTTTCATTTTCTGCATCGAAAAATTAATTAATTCTAATTAACTGCAAATTTCGGAACGTTCAATAGCTCCGATAGGAAGGAATTTCTTGATTTTTATTGCGAAAGACAACGGTGGATTGGACTAGGTATAAGGAATAACTTGAGTAACTGATCTTCAAATTCAATTGTCTTCAATATGGAGTGAAAATGTAGAAGGTGCCATTTGAAGAAGTTGAGTTTTCGACAATTTTTCAAAGTGACATTTGACAATTGCCCGAGCCGGTAGCTTTTTACAAGAATACAGACTCACGCCCCACACCTTCTACTTTCTGGGATAATCATTGAACTCGATATAAACAACTAGAAGGGAGACTGCCGTTTTCTCCAAGAGCTACATCATATTGACTTTTCAGGTTTGGCTTTGGAGCTTCTCCTTCTCCAGAAAGGAAAAAATGAAGGTGTACATTCTGGGCGACGCAGATACATTGTTCTTTAATTCACCTTTTATCCACATTTTATTCACCTTTAATTCACCTTCTAATAGTGAAATGTTTATCGAAAAATAGTCCACCTTCACAATTAGGCTTGAAATCGACCTTATAGGTACTCAATACCGTTCAAGAACCTGTTTTCAAAATCTTTATATCATTTTTCTTCTTCTTCTGATAGTGCTAAGACATTGAGCTTCGCTCAAACTGTACAATATATTGTGTCATTTGAATGAGAATATATAACTTCAATTTTGTATTCATTTGACTTGAAAAATAAAAATAAAATTTCATTATTGAGTCAATAAATCATGTTTAATCTTAAATAAAAGCAAAAAACGAGAAAATATTTCAAATAATGCGAAAGAGATAGGTATCCGTAACCACTGCGGGTTGCCTGAACAATCTTTTTGCCTCATTCGTCGTTCACAGAGCATCCCTTCCAGGTGGTTACATAGTTCATTGGGGATGATACTTACATACACAAAACTGAAGTTTCCTCTTCGTTTCTTCATTTCCAATCCCAGGAGATCCTTCATTTGGGAACCGACCACATGGAAAGCAGAGGCGCACGTGAAACCGTTCACCAGGGTTTCAGACAACAGTTGCGAGACCAGGCCAAGTCTTAAAACATACATAGCTAACTGCAGAAAATATACAAGATATGTTCATTGCGTCTATATCTTCTTCTTCAATAATTATCAAATTCGTGACTCAAAATAATATTGATGAGTATTTGAAAATAATAGGATAGATATTGGAACACATATCTTTGTACAGTCGAACTTCAATAACTGTAACTTCATTGCCACTGAATTATAGATTATTGAATGAGTCATGTTCGTTGGTACTGGTACTGGGATTTAAAATTCATTCCATAACTATATTACCACCCATTTGAGCACAAGTTTGCTTCCAAATTCTGTTCATTTTTTTGTTCTAATTACATAAAACCTATACAGGGTGTTATTTGAATTAGCCATCGGCTATATTTTGGTTATCCTAGAACTTTGACAACATCATCATTCTGATTATAAATATAAGATAATATAAAATATTTCAAATATGTAGGAAGTATAGCTCCCAAGATTAATCCGAAGGCCAACGTCAATCAAACACCCAGTATATTCAGCTACTAGGTACAGTCGTATTCAATAAAAAAGCGTACAAGTATTAAAAAGAGACTTCATCCTATTTCTAGTTGTGTGAAACTGGCCCAGCCAATGCTTTGTGTTTTTGAGAACCTATAAGAACTTTACTGTCATCTTTTGGTAAACAATCATTTCCGATAGTTCGTTTTACGCATAAAAGATAACGTTGATTTCTCTCTCTAATATACTTGTACGCTTTTTTTTTAATACAACTGTAACTCTACATCCGTCCAGTTTGGATAACCAGCACTGAACTATAGTAACAAAGGAAGAGCAACCCATCATAGTATATAGGGCTTTCATTTTAGAACTTACCACCCAGCATATCTTAATTCTGATCTGCGGTGATCACAATTTTTTGGAAAAAATTGGTCGATTTAGATATCGAGGGGAAAGTAAAATACCTGTATCGATTGAATGCTGAAGCACCTACTTCTATTCTTTGGCAGCCAGCAATAAGTATAGGTAACAGAACGGCAGAATCATATAAGTTAGATTAGATTAGATTTAGAATGGGACCTTCGGGCTATCTGCCTCCACAACGCGACCTTTTCAGATCTATTGTGACTGCCCTCAAAATCGATTAGAGTTCTTCGGCTAGCCCCGCCTTCTCTATGAGACTCCATAGGCTAGCTTTCAGATCCTCTGCGTATCTTTGGGCTTCTGGTTTTTCCTCACCCAGCGTAAGGAACCTTAGTCTTGACAATGACAAGCTCTCACAGTGGCAAAGTATGTGTACTGCTTTTTCCTCCACTTCCTGACAGAACCTGCACAGCAGTTCTTCAGTCAGACCTATCGTACTCATGTGTTTGTTGAGCCTACAATGCCCTGTGAGAAGTACCACTAGTATTCTAGTTGAACTTCGTTTCCAGCTCAGTAGATATTCTGTGAATGTTGGCGATGGTTTTTCGATAAACTCTTTTGTCTGTCTCTTTCCTGGCGAGTTGTTCCCCCATTCTTGAGATTTGGTTTGCATCCATGATTTGATACTAGTCTTTTGTATTTATAGCTTTCGCAATACCACAGAAGGGTTCTGGGCCATCCATTTGAGGTTTGTAAAATGGCTAAATTATCCGATAGCCACTAGGTGCAAGAATTACCCTCCAGACCACATCTTGAAAATCCCAGTTCTAGCACTTCTAGCCGTAAATAAGCATTGCTGGCAGCACTGCTTTCAGCTGTAAGGCTTCCATTTATGATCACTAGTTCCATGCGACCAGTCACTTTCGTGATTTTAATGTCAATTAAATTCAATAAAATCATGTTATGCTTTAAAACTGTGTTTCTGGAGAAATAGGAAAGATAATAAAATGAAACCAAAAATGGAATATTGAAAAAATATGAGGCTAAAGTGTACTTTCAATTTCAACTTGATAACGTAACTGTTACACTCCACAGAGTATTACATATTTCATGAAATAACAAGCTATAATTCCTACACCCGGTATTAATAAAAAAAGGTTCTTATGCAAATACAGTTTGCAAAGAAATGTTCAGAAGGAGATGACCTGTCATTCAAAACAAAAAACTCCCAAATCGGACAAGTAGTTTTGACGAAAATGTTTCCTAAATTTTTGTCTACTTTTTGGTGGTGCGATTTTCCAATTTCTTGGAGTAGTTTTTTTCACCTGGTGTGTATTTGGTTATTGCTAGATTTTGACTTTTTTGTCTCTCGCGGTAAGGGGTGCCATTTGAAATTTTAAACTATGGGTGTCTGGAGGTGAAGGGGGTGAACATAGCATTCAATCGATACTAGTAGATGCTAGTAGTTTACTCGATATCTAAATCGCCCTAAATTTTCCTGAGAATTGTAATCAACGCAGATCAGAAAATATGCAGGGTGTTAATAAGTTTTGAAATTAATGTCCTGTATGTATTTCAGATAGCTCCTCCTATGTTTATGAAAACCGAAATTTTAGCATCCTTCCTCTTATAGGTGGAAAATGAGAAATAATTGGAATTCATTGGACGTCACTGAAAGGTTTTCATGAAAATCGAAAGATATTATAAAGATACTCACCTGGATTAGGGCTACAGTAAATGTAACTGTCATGGCAATTTGAATGTTAGTATAAGATGGTTCATTTTTTGCATCGTCTTCTGACAATAGAGATCGGTAAGTTCCATTTTGCATTATTTCTATTGTTGTATATTGATTCACTACTTTCCCCGTCATCAAACATACAATGGCAAAAGTTCCTACAGAATAGTTATTTTTTATCTAGTGTGCAAAATGCTACTTTGGTGATCGAGAACTACTGATTTTTTTTTGACGAGGCGCAGCTGAGTTGAAATAATAGTCGAACAAAGTAGTTCGCGCACGAGGTTCAAGCTATTTTTTTTACAAACGTTAAAAAATATAGTTATAAAGTAGATAGTAATACGCTTAGCTTAATATAAAAGATAGTTTTGAATTAGCTCAAACGACCTTAATTATTGTTCAACTTCCAGAAATAAATGATTTCTTGGATCTTCATACAATGCGCATCGTTTCACTTCGCGCACTGCTTTGCACATGGTGTCGTGGTGAAGTAGGAAACTGAAAAAAAGTGTCACCATGTCGTTTTTTGACGTTTGTAGAAAAATAAAGATAGGTTGTACCATGGTTGTACCTATAGGGTGCCTTGATGTAAATTGAAGTATTTGTCATCTAAACAGGGTACGGACAGATCCTCATCCCCTCTCCATCTAAAGTGTTCGTGAAACAGTTATATATGGTTCCATCTTTATTTATTTCTGGGGATAATCACTAGATTTCTGAGATTTGTTGTTTTTTAGGTTTTATTGAGGACATTGGCGTATCATACGTAATTTCCACATGTAATTTCTCATTCAACTCTACATATTATATCCAAATGATGATAATTTTCGAGTTTTGATTATTCAACTACAGCATAATCTTTGTTTAATAAGTTTTACCAAATGGGACTGTTCTTAGGCAGTACCTATCAATAAATGAATTCTGATTTCAGACTAAGCCTTATGAGAAATGGTGAAAAATTTTATGCAGGTATTCAAACTAATGTGCTCATATGTCATGAGTGCTGTATATATTCATGTTGAGAATCATTTTTGCAGATTTTACTTAATATTTCCTGAATGTAGGTATGATTTTTTAAATGTTAGGGCATATGCCTCTGCTTTTAATCCTCCGTTTTAATAAAAACTGTTCCTAATGAAATGCATTCAAAAACTTGTGGAGTGGATAATTATAGGCACAATGAGAAAGTATAATATGTGATTTCGTATCAGTTTTACCTCGAATATTTTGCTGATGTTTTTACCAATTTTCCCCATTCGGTCACTTCACTTTCCATGTTTTAAGTTTATTTGCAATTGATGGAAAGCGAACAAATTCAAATTTGCCATCCAACTGATTGATACAGCCTAACGCAGCACATTTTACCATCCTTCCAAAACAGAATTTAATAATATCGATAAGATAAAGTATGAAATTAAAATTTTGTAAGATCTCTTTAAACGCCATATGAATATGACGTGACAGCAATGTCATGTCAGGGACGCCAATACACGAAACCAAAGTCACTAGATGATTAAAAGAGAAAGGAGCTATGATCTGTCCGTACCCTCTGTTAGATGACAAATACAGCAGTTTGCATCAAGGGACCCTAGTTGTACCCATGGTGGAAATATTATAGGTTGTACCAACTGCTTATAGATAGGTTTTCGAAAGTCAGTTCCACCTTGCTGAGAGTAGTTTTGGAATTACAGATTGTCTCTTTTAGTGGCCGAAATAAATGTAGAAAGTAATCTTTATGGCCCGTTTGTAAGTTTAACATTTGATTAAAAACTCACCCATTGATACATGCCTCGAAGTACCAAAAATGAAATAAATTAAAACGGGAAAGAATGCCATATAGATTCCAACTACTGGTGGAACACCACCTAGCAAACCATATGCCATTCCCTAAAAAAAAAGAATCAGTATGTCCAGTTACAGAGCCGATCTCAATAAATTCTTGCAGTGCTGTACAGTGTGAGGATAATTCAGGATTTGGGAAATAAAGGGATATATGCATGGGATATTCAAGCAAATTGCAGTGACAGAAAACTGACCTGAGGTATATGCATGATGGCAACAGTGAACCCGCTAACCGCATCGCCAAAAATGCTCCGTTTCCAGTTATATTCAGGTAACCATGATAAAACAGGTATCGTTTGTTTCAAAAACGAGAATGGTTTGATTGAACCACAAGTTTTCTTGAGTTTTTGTTTCACTGAAATATATGTATTATACAGGGTGTCCCGAAATCACCTTAACAAACTTCACCAGCGGCTTCTACGACCAAAAATAAAAGGAAAAGTTTTAATAATCATGAGTCGAGAAATGTCTCCTAAGGAAGCTACGGCCCCCTGAAATGGGACTCCTGAAGATGATTCTTGAATATTTCCGAAACGTCATGTGATAAAATGATGCAATTCGGTAGGTACAACAACTAAACTTTCCATGCCCAATGCAGTGAATATTAAATCATTCCCAAATTTCATTCAGGGGTGTATAATACAGGGTGAAACTAGATATTTTTCGACAATTTAATCTCGGATTATTAAAATCCACACCCTTTTACAGAAAAAAGGTGAACTTGTTCCGTATCGCTCAGATGTATCTTTTCGAGTGAAATCGATTTGAAAATATTTTTACACTCACATCTTATGCATAACGTTGCCATAGAGGCTATAAAAAAATCAACTATTTTCCTTTAACCAAACAATCAACAACAGAGGAGCGTTAAATAGGAAAATGATGATGAAAAACTACGTGCATCGAAAATGATATATAAGATCGATACGAGATAAGAGAACCTATTTTCTGTGGATTTTCATAATCCGAGAATAAATTGTGGAAAAATATGCAAAGAAAAAAGTTCGAGCAATATTCAAACTAGTCCCACCCTGTATTATACACTCCTGAATTGCATTTTGAAATGATTATTTTCACTGCATTGGGCATGGAAAGTTTAGTTATTCTATCGAATTGCACCGTTTTATCACATGACGTAAGCTTTTCTTCCTATTTTTTGTCGTAGAAGACGCTGATGAAGTTTGGCAGGCTGATTGCGGGACACCCTGTATAGCTATGTAACAAGGATTAAAGCGGATAGGGTTCAGCGATGCTGATATGAAAGAAGTTTTTCTCATACACGATGTGCCACTGATTACAAAACTTCAAAACGACGGAAGGGTCTTAATTCATTTTTATCGAATATCTAGTCAATTTTCAGCAATGGTTGAGAATTATTTCACCTAATACGTATAGTAATATAGTAATGTAAAAATTAAGAAATAATAGTAAATTATTTATTACGTATTAAGTGTTGTGCAAAGCATATTACTCGCGAATAGAAAATTGCGGTAATTACACATGAGTACGAAATATGCTATACTTTTTCTACGACTCTTGTATACCTTAAGGATTAATTCCCAACAGCATCAAACAATATCTGAGAAATGCCATATAGTATATGAATGATGCAATTAAGAGATTGAATTTGGAATTATTAATCATTTTCATCAGTGGTATTGAAGTTGATAGTATATGTTTAAGAGATCTGCAATGCAATGGCAGCAATTGACTTTATTATTCTGTAACTCATTTGTAGACTAAAATCACTCATTCATATGCCAACATCATCAGTATGACACTGAAAAGTGTCAAACTATAAGCAGCACAACTTCCAAAGAGAGATATTTTGCATTTTTATGTTGAGAACGGGAGCAGATTCGATCCCGAATCGTCCAAAGAGAAGTAAAAATTCGATATTTTTTCAATATATCTATATTTCTTTCCTACAAACATTTTTCAAACAAATTGTCGCTGACAAGCTACTGGATTTTTCTTTTAGGCTCCCTGAAAGAAAAATTTGTTAAACGCAGTGACATTTTGGAGAAAATCATCTGATTTGTCCCACTACGCATATTTTCATTTTATAGAAACGAGGAGAGAAAATCCCAAAAAATCAAGTAAAATGAATTATTCATTGTTGAATTTTCTATAAAAAAATCGATTTGAACTTCAAATCTCCCACTGTCAGTGTCAAACATACATGCAGAAAGCAAGATATATATCAATATCAATGTCACGATTTAAGTGGTTCCAGAATAACTTCATTATTTTACTTGGCATCATAACGAACAGTTTTGCGTTTTTACTCATTACACGCAATTATTGTGAGTTAATAGACTAGTGAATCAATGTTTACTGACATAGAAGAAAAAATAGTTTCCTACTTACATGTGGAATACGGTTTTTCATAAAGATGATCTCTGTTCAAATCTTCTATTTGGTAAACAGGTCTCTCAATCTGTACCGGCGAGATGCTGTCATCTTTCATAATACTGAAAAACAAAATATTATTGGTGAGATGCAAGTTGATACTCTCAACTTATAAACAAAAGGGAAGCCGTCTGAAATGTCTAACAAACATAATGACTAAACATTCTGTAGATATCTTGATATCTGATAACTGGATAACGGCGAGTACATATTTCTACACTAAAAATGTTTATAACAAAAAACCTGAAACTTAATACCTACACTATCAATGGTTATAGGTAATAACTAGATGTATTTAGATTCATATCGTTGTTTTTACCTATCGTAAAGTACATATTTTTTCTTCATTAGTAAATGCTTGGCTTCACCATTCTGATTAGTCGTTGCTTTCGTCATCACAACCAGAAGTCAAAAAGCACATGAAAATACTGCAAGATTCGAAAAAAACGATCAAGGAAGCACTGCTGGCATGTCAGTAAGTCACTGTAGGAACTCAAAAACATACGTATAACCGCATCGTCTACGATAAGGAATACATTTTATTTTGATAACAAGGCAACTGCCTGTGTATAGTTTATGAATCCAGTAGTTGATAAAAAAAGATTGATGTCAACAACAACATGATATACAATATTGTCTTTCTTCATTCTTGCATCCAAATTGCTTTGAGACAGAAGTGTTTGTTCGATTATATAATTGAATAGAAACTGAATCAAATAACTCGCAAATTAGACCTATTATCGCTAGATCATTATTTTAGGATTATCTATAAAGTACAGAATATCGAGCAACAAGCATAGCATGAATACAGGGTGTGTCTCTGAAAAGTTTGTATTTGCCATAGAAAATAAGCGTACGCCACCTGTCGGTGTTCATGAAAGCTGTCAAAGCGACCTGTTTACTTTGTCTTCATTGGTTCACATTTTTTGTTTTTTGTTTGTGCTTATTGGTTACATCATCGAAACAAACCACTTAGAAGTTTTGAAGTTGTTACCGTCAGGTAGGGCAACGTGTTATTTTCTATCGCGAATATAGAACGCTAACGCTGACACATTCTAAGGTTATATGAGAATTTAACCCAATTTACCTCCGTTCAAAAGTTGATGACATACGAAAAAACAATGAGTTACTATTTTTTAATAATTTTAGATACTTACTGAGGGTTTTTCTAGGATCAAAAGTGGAGATGAGGATTCGAATTTTGGCCACGGTATGAGAAACATGGCTTCTCTGGATTGAAATCCAATATTCAATGTGAAGTTTAATAAGTGTGTGAGAAATATCAGGCTCTCTTATCTCTACGCCGGTATAGAGGCCGGATGATGACGGATTCATCGGATAAGGGGGCCATACTTGAAGTCAAACGTGCTCCATTATCTGTACGCCGGTAGCCAGGCCGGATCAGCAACGGATTTGCTGGATGAGAGGAGTACGTACGATCGAATCTTATGAACAATGACTCGTTTCAGGACATCGTGATAGACAATCGGTGTTTTATGTGGCGATTCGAGTGATAATATTATAAATAACCAAGTATTTATTCTTCAAAAAAAATTGATTACCTGATCTGATGGAGAAATTGTTACCGAAAGGAGACAGACCTCTCCAATAAACCCAAAGGGAAGGAGAAGAAGAAGTGGAGATCAGATGACAGTTTTTATATAATTGCAGAGGATGTCATCAGCAGCACTACATTTTCATTAATGTAAGCTTCATAACTTATTAATGTCATAATGTCTGGGAATATTGAATATTCGCTTTTCCAGAGATAATCAAATTTAAATGTTTTACTGATTACTGAAACTAAAACGAAGCTTAAAACTAGAGACTGTATACAGGGTGTTCCTCAAAGACATGCTAATATTCAAGGGGGTGATTTTTCAGCTCATTTCAAGAAAAAAACTTCCCACTGACGTATGTCCTCCTAAAAGTCTCAACTTTTGAGATACAGTGTGATAAAGTTTTGAAAAAAAAACAGTTTTTTAATGATAACTGGAATAATATTACCAGAGCTTATACGATGTCTAGATGGCAATGTACTTCTTCTGTTTAGTAGAAAACGATTGCTTCTTTATGATATTTGGTACATATCTTCTATGCATCAAGGTGCATTTTTTGATGTATACAAATTTTCCTTTTCTCTAACAGTGGCGCCGTTAGGGGGATATGATTGATTATATTATACTCGAAAATGAGCAACGAAGGAATATTTCCAAATTTAATAAAATCCTATAAAGATTCATTCAATTTTGTACGAAAAAGATCCTCTTGTTGATACCCGATTGGACGCATTGTTCTCGAGAAAAAACGAAAAAAGGAGATCAAACTTCAAATTTTGATGTAAATGCTAAGCTTGAGTACTCCATTCAGAACAGCTATTACTGGATAACCACAGTATGTAACATTTTGAAATTTTTGCACCGTTTCAGGCACATAGCAGAATAAATTTTGCTATCAGGAAAAGCTAAACAGGGTGGACAAAAAAAGAATCTATGTATATGTTCAACTTTGATACCCTGTATCTCAAAAGTTATGACGTTTACGACATACTTTCATAAGAAGTTTTATTGTTGAAATGGGTCTATCAAGAATCAGCCCCTTGAATATTAGCATTCCTGTATATACTGTATACAGGCGAAACAAATATATCTCTCAGTAAGGACGAAGAACAATATAACGAAAATATACATATAAAAGTAGATAAATCAAAATTAGAATTAGAAAAACCTTGCTGAAAATGGACCTTATATGCCAATAGCGCAGAGTGAAATCACATTAAAATGATAGAAATATAAAATAACAATAACCAATGAAAAAAAAATCAAATAATCCGCTTGCATTCTTCTGAATGGAGACAATAAATGGGTACGAAAAATGTCATTGATTCTTTCATTCAAACCTGTAAGCGAAAAAACCATATTCAAATAATATACATATGATTATTGCATTTGCTAAAGAGATGTGTGAGATGTGTCAGTTTCTAGGATTAAAAGTAGCTACGCTTTTGTCTAGGCATCGAAGTGAAGCTTCACTATAAGATTATGGTGGTACAAATAATCATTTCAAATACATTGTTGCAGAAACAAGTAGAACAGAACAAGGTGAAACAAACATGTAATGCCGTTCGATCATCTCGAAAAGCCATAGTAAAAACGTTTATTTCGAAAGAGCAGGCAGCGTTACCCTTCTGAACATTACAAAATTCTGTGCCAAAAGTTAAGTCATCAGTAGTTTAGAGATTATGGTTGACCCCCATTGATAAAATGATGAATATGAAAAGTGGAATAGAAGACGAAAAGAAAATTTGGTAACTTTTTTAAAGTAAGATGATGGAAAATTTTGAGATTGGGAGTTAACATTAACATAAATCACTTTAAGTATACACGGTATGTTTTCATGTATACACGGTGTTCCTAGATGTTATGTACATATTGAGAGATTCAACTCGTCTCATTTTCGGACTAAAAGTTCATATAAATATGTGCCCTAGCTGGAGTGGTCAAATTTTTTTTATGATCACTCAGTTACAGCATTCATAATGACAAAATCCGGGGTCAAATCAATAGTATATTATTCAACAAGCATATAATGAGGGCTATTATTCACGAAGGTTGAGTTTATGTCACGAGCATAATTAACCTGACAATTACAGTTTTCCGAAATGTATATTCCCATCATCAGGGCGACTACAATAGAAATTGAAAAAATGTGTATATTGACAATAATATTGAGGACACTATTTGAGGATGATTACGATGGTGTTAAAAACTTTTATTATATATATCTACAAAGAATACAGGGTGGTCCACAATTGGGTAAAAACTGAATTGATATTTTTAAATTTTCAAATAGAACAGACTATATCAGCTATTTCATTTAATATTCCAATTGAACATATTTTTGATGTTGAAATAGTATTTTATGCAACTACCATGTATCAATAGCCATTACATGATCGTTACATTTTTTCTACGATCTATAAATAATAAAATAAACCTAAAAATGCATTTCTTTGTATTTATATTTCCCTTACTACCATTAACACGTTGTGATTAAATGTCACTGAAACAAGTGTGTGAAAACATAGACCACTTTATCATCTCCAAGTACCTATACGTACGTGTTTCGATAGGCAGAAAATGCGTTTCATAATAAGAACTCTTCAGATATTTAATTCGCGTATACTTATAATGAATATTTCATAATTAAAAATATAATGAAAGTCGCCCAAGCTATTGGATTATCGTCCAATATCAATCAAAAGAATTAATGAAATAAAAGTAGGTACCTAATCATTTCCAAAAAAAAATGGATCAATGCCAACAACTATTATTTCACTCAGATTCATTTCACTCACTTTTTAATTTTGGTCAACATGGTCTACTTCTTCAATTTCCTCCAAACCAAAAAGATCACTGTGAAACTGTTTTGTTTATGTTTATTAATGTTGAACTTCCATGAAATGAGAGAGAATCAAATCATTTTAGATTCGGACCAATATCAATAGACATATCCGTACCTAGTTGTCCCTCCTGTCACTTATATAATGATTGAAGCATCATGCAGATGTGACGAATTCAATGATAACAACAACAACCTTAAAAACTATATGACTTCCGAGGTTCTTATACAGCCTTACTAAGATTCTTCGACCGTGACAAAGGTTATTGACGTACTATGCGTTTTCAATTTATTATAGAATCTTCATTGAACTGGGTCAGTAGAATGAAATTGCTTTTAATGCACCATATAATAACTTTTTTGTGAATATTAATGAGTTATCTAAGTTGATATAATGTGTAGAAGAAACACCATTATTGTGATGCTAGAAAATCATTCAATAAGCTTGATTTATTATAAGGAGAAATAACTTATTCCATTTCCAATCGGACGTCAGTTTAGTTGACATACAATGAGAAAATCTCTGGTTTTTCAATGTTTCATTGCATTTATGGATAGTGATATTTCAATCATTCATTCTAATTCATTCAAAACCGGCTCGTTCCTATTCAAGTTTTGTAGAAATATCATCGCAAAATTTTCAAATGAAACAACCCGTATATTAAATAAACACATCAGGATTTGAATGAATCAGTGACAGAAAAAAATCATGTGAACATGTAAGCTAAAAAGACTTTTTTGAGTAGGTAGTTGATGAAAAACATTTTTTTATGTGAACATGGACACCCAGTTCCTCGAAAACGATAAAAAATAAGAAAAATGTTCATGAGAACTTTTTTCATAAATCATGACGAATTAGTTCCTGCTCATTTATTCACACCCGGTATATCGTCAGACGAATTCGATGAGTGAAATTTTGATTAGGGTAATTTATCTGAAGTTGCGAAGAATTAGTTAGTATATAATGTCCCCACCAAAATTATATAAGTTGAAATAATGTCAATTTAGAATAAAATAATGATAATAAAATGAAAAATAGCTTTTGAACTTTTAGCAATAATCCACCCATTTCTGGTAGGAAATTTCCCGAACACACTATACAGGTTGTGTCAGATTCAAATGTACATACGATACCTGTAAATAGAAGACACTTCGATGGTTCTAAATCACCCCCCATCGAAGTTTACCGTCTTTATAACTAATACAGGACGTTATCTCCATTTTGACGAAATATTCAATTGGCCATAACTTTTGAACCAGTTTGTATAATCTATCCATACTTGGTAGAAATATTCCACCCACCAAAACCCAAATCCAGGTACGTCTTAGAAAAAAAAAACAGAAAACTTCTTCTATTTCAAAAAGTTCACTCTAGAGCGGGAAAGAATGAATAAAGCGACCTACTATTTACGAGCGCGCATCCGATTTGACTGATGTATTATTCTAATTTTTTAAAATACTATAAGCTCCAGTTTGAGACATTTTTATTGAACTCGTAATTCAAAATCCACTTATAATAAAAAAAAACAGTTTTCAAAGTTCAACATCATCAGAATCAAATTAGGTTAATTGAAGAGTGGAACAAAGGTGCTAAGTGCCATAATTTCATGAATTGAGATATGGCCTTAGAACGGTGTTGAACGACATGCTTTATGACCTGACAAAAGCTGTAAGTGCCATGAGTAATATTATATTTGGTTATTTGCCATCAAAGGGGGCAAGTACCAGAGTGAATTGCTGTATTGTCGAATCATTAGACACCTTGTTCTTTTGTAATTTTTCTTATTATTGAGATCAATGTCAGTTTGACTATTGCCTATATCGTTATTTTCAAATTTGAAATGCTCCAAATTATATCAGCAATACTTACTGATCCTATTTTGTTAAAAAAAATGTGGCACTTACCTCGTTTCTATTTTTTTTAAGAAAGAATTTTTATTTTCAGCTGTGTTTCATAACAAATATCGGTGTTAGTGAAAATTGGATTTCCGTTGACTTTTTATACGATTTTTGATGCTAATAAACGAAAGAAACAAATATTGACGTTTTTATTACTTTTTTCTTAAATATCTCGAAACTTCATTTTTGGCACTTAGCACCTTTGTTACTTCCGCTTTTCAATTATCGATTAAAACGTTCGTTTGACAGAATAACTTGTCTATGACTTAAGAAATTTTCGAGGGATCATTTTATTTTTTACTGTTAATTCATGAGTGAAGCAGGCTTTGCAAAAAATCAAGATAGCGTCCTGTATTTCAGTTATAAAAGACGGTAGACACATCAATGGGGGTGACTTGAAAACATCAAAGTGTTCTCTATCCACCAGGTATTGTATGCACATACATTCAAATCTGAAACATCTGAAAAAACATCGACTTTTTTTTTCAGCTGCGCATTTTTTAGTCGACTCATCTTCCTGATGTTGTGATCACTTTTCCAGTTGTGAAGTCTTTATCATTTTTTTTAAATGTCAATACCCTATTCTGATAATATACCTATACATACGGTCATATTTTTTCTTTACTTTTTTTCATGTTACTGATGTAATATTCTCAGCTAGAATACTCTGTATTATTATTTATGTTACTGTAATTGTCAAGTTGATGAAAATCGATTAAATTGTAAAGAAAACCTTTTGAGAATGATAAGGCTTTAATCGACTTTTATCAACTCGACAATGACAGTAACATGAAAATACAGAGTATTTTAGCTGAGAATATTACTTCAGTTACATAATCGTAATTTCGAGAAATATATAGAAAAGATTTCATACATAATAATGTAACTTATAAATGTGCCATCATCAAAAGAGCTATTTTTTTCAATGGATATCAAACTTCTAATGAACTTTTACTTGCTAATTGTATAAAATAAATAATATGCTTACCCATTCAATTCAAGTTCCAGTATTTCTTTTTCCTTGGTCATATTTGAAGGGATTGAAATAATTTAGCACAATATTATTAATAATTGCTCTAATGGTATTTCAAAGTCATTCAATGAACGGAACGATTTTTATTGTCACAGTATATTGATCACTGACCCGTATATTTTAAATAGTGCGATATTTACATTCCTGGATCAGAAAAATGTTCAAATTTCACTCTCAGTGGTCTCTACCTCAATAAACATCAAGTGATATACAAAAAAAAGGCGAATGGTTAAAATGGGATGACGTCCTCGTACACCTCGATATTTATATGGTGCTAATTTGATTTTCTATAAACTAATCTGTGGACTTGGTTTTATTATTATTCTTGGCTTATCTGTGAGATTTCATCAGTGAGGAACGCTCTCTTTTATCTAATTTTTTATGTGATACAAATTTATTTGATCGATAAATAAATTACACTCGAAATATTATTTCAACAGATTAATAAGTGGCACTTCAAAAGTACGAATGGAATGAATAGGCAAAGTTTGGTATAGGTACAACATGACTATGGGAATTACCTCTGACCATATTATGTAAGAAATCTTGGCAATAAGGTGGGTAAATCCAGTTATTTTACAATGATGATTATTTCTTTCATGTGTACATTCAGTTAATTTTTGAAATATGATTAACAATCGAGGCGTTAGCGGAGAACCATTATAACGGGTGACACGGAATTAATGTTACCAATGTGGAGATAACTGTTGGCTCCAGAATGTACCCATAGGAACAGTCGCTATAAACTGACAGTAGTGGCAGTCAACAAATAAGCATTTCAAGCGTAATTTTTCCGTGTACGTGATTCCAATTAAAAATTGACAACTCAAGAAACTTTCAAGATCTTCCCCCGGACATAATTGATGCAAACACTAACCAATCAAATTCAAATAAGAAACGACGTTCTTCAAGATGTTGTGGCATCTGCTATATTACATCATGCAGCAAACAGAAATTTCACTTTCAATTTCAATATTTACCATCGTTAATGTTTCAGTTATTGTTATTTAAATGTTCTTCAAGTAAGTTTCCTATTATATCGATGAAAAAAAATCGATTTCAAGATTTTTCAGTGCATGAAAAGATCGTGAGGAAAAGTTATAGTCGTTTACAAAAAAAGCGAACAAGTATATTGGAGGGAGAAATTAACGTCATCCTATTTGCGTAAAACGGACTATCGGGAATGAATATTTACCAAATGTTAGAGTAATCATATAGGTTCTCAAAAACACAAAGCATTGGCTGAGCCAATTTTACACAACGAGAACTGGAATGCCGAAATCTTCTATGTTTAATACTTGTACGCTTTTTTATTGAATACGACTGTACATACATTACCGCACTATTGCTAAAAAGTTACTTATCGGCACGATTTTTGTATTGTTGAAAATAAGGATATTTAGGACTGACTAAATGATCCATCTAACTATTCTGTCTTATGTGTCATTTTGTAGCATCATTATGAAATATTGTTCATTAAAAACCTTTTTTTTCTTCATAAATAATATGGACAAAAACACTCGTAGGAAAAACTTTGTATCTAACTCTTGCGGAAAATGTCTTTTTCTCCGATTGACACATATCAATCAGCAAAGTATTACAAAAAAAACTTTTCCGTCGACATCGTATTAACGAGTAAGTTTAATGTTCATGAAATAGTTCATTAGTGACCCTAATCAATTTGTCTATATAGGCAACCAAACATACACCAATACACCGCGTGCATTCATTGTTTGTGCAATAACTTACGGAATCGAAAATATGGGTTTCATCGAAGATTTTCCGTTAACGGGTTCGCCTTTCCAAGTTTCTGAAACGATTTTAATCCCTGTTTTCTGACACAAGGAATTTATTTTCTATGTTGATCATTTCGACAAATGTCAAATGTCACTAATGTCAGTAACAAGGCCACTGGGTGATTCTTATTAGTAGTTTCTTATGATGAATGATGAATTCGCGAACCAAGTTTTCTTCATTGCAGGAGAAATGAGAAATATAGTCGACGGAAAAATGTTGTAACCAACTCGAACATTAATTAAGGCGATTATTGATCTCGAACATTAACGCGCTCGCTTCGCTTGCACGTTAAAATATCTCGATCATTAATCGCCCTCATTAATACACTAGTTGGTTAAATAACTATTTCCGTCGACCTCGTATTAACGACTAAGTTTAATGTATATGAAATCGTTTATTAATGACCCCTATTAATGAACGATTTGTCTATTAATACACGATTGTTTTATAGGCAACCAAACATACACCGCGTACATTCATTGTATATGCTATAACTTACGGAATCTGCATTCAAATCGAAAATATGGATTTCATCGACGATTTTCCGTTAACGGGTTCGCCTTTCCAAGTTTCTGACACGATATTAATCCCTGTTTTGTAACACAAGGAATTTATTTCCTATGTTGATCATTTCGACAAATGTCAAATGTGTCTATGTCAGTAACAAGGCTATACTGGGTGATTCTTAGCAGTTTCCGGATGGATGATGATTTGGCGAACCAAGTTTTCTTCATTGCAGGAGAAATGAGAAATATAGTCGACGGAAAAATTTTGTAACCAACTTGAATATTAAAAGGCGATTAATGATCTCGAACATTAACGCACTCGCTTCGCTCGCACGTTAAAATATCTCGATCATTAATCGCCCTCATTAATACACTAGTTGGTTAAATAACTATTTCCGTCGACCTCGTATTAACGACTAAGTTTAATGTATATGAAATCGTTCATTAATGACCCCTATTAATGGACGATTTGTCTATTAATGCACGATTGTTTTATAGGCAACCAAACATACACCGCGTGCATTCATTGTTTATGCTATAACTAGCGTAATCTGCATTTAAATCGAAAATATGGATTTCATCGACGATTTTCCGTTAACGGGTTCCGTTTCCAAGTTTCCGACACGATTTTAATCCCTGTTTTCTAGCACAAGGAATTTATTTCCTATGTTGATCATTTCGACAAATGTCAAATGACACTAATGTCAGTAACAAGGCTACTGGGTGATTCTTAGCAGTTTCCGGATGGATGATGAATTCGCGAACCAAGTTTTCTTCATTGCAGGAGAAATGAGAAATATAGTCGACGGAAAAATTTTGTAACCAACTTGTATATTAAAAGGCGATTAATGATCTCGAACATTAACGCACTCGCTTCGCTCGCACGTTAAAATATCTCGATCATTAATCGCCCTCATTAATACACTAGTTGGTTAAATAACTATTCTGTATTCGCCTCTTAACGGAATATTTTCATGAAAGTGTGCGATAATGAAACAATAGCAAGTGAAACAATAATTCGAAGTCAAAGTTTTCACATGATAATTTAAGCTTTTTTAAAAAGTATTTCCGGGAAATTAAAATTAAGAAGAGTTAAACAGTAGGGGTGGGCAATTTTCGATAATTTTCTGAAAGTGAAATTTTCTTTTTTAGTGATATACCTAAAGCTAGGAAAAAAATCAAATTTCGAATAATTTTAATTTCTATAGGGCCTATACTTTTTTCACGGATATCCTATTTCATTATCAGATATATTTACGTTTCAAACAGAAGCACATGGAAGAATACAATATTATCTATTTTACATAATATAACAAATTTCTTGTTACACTTCCTCCATATACCTACTTTCGATATCGATATTAGTCATAGATCATATACTTTGTTCAGGAATGTATCGGTTAGAAAAACTCTGATTATTAGTCAATGGTGAATCAGGCAAGGTATCAGATAGTATTAGTCTCTTACCTATTAGATTTCTTCGTGAACAGCCGATTTACATGGTTCATAAAGAATTAGTATTTAAAAGTTGAAAATGGAAATTCATCGGTCAGTTCAGTGATTATAATACAGTTATTGTGTGTGTGTGAGGGTGTCTGTTTGTGAATGTTGTGGTGATTTGCTATGCGACATCGAAATTTTCCGAAATTTCCTGACGTTGGAACTACATGTTATTTTTATTTTTTCAAGACGGTAAGTGTTTTTTGATATGAATTCACTTGATTGAATTGCTTCGGTTCAATCATATACGCATGATGAAATAATTTGTTTCTATAACTAAACTGATATTGATAAAACGAGTGGCAACAATATTAACCATTTGCAGTGTGCGCAACTTGGAGGGAAAAAAGTAATTTATGAGAAGTGACATTTTATAATAACCTGCCAACAGGGATGAAATGCCAAACTTTTTTCCCGTCACAGAAAAAAATATGTTTTTATTATTCCTCTTATCGCATTGGAAATAAAAATAATGCACGCTACATATTTAGTTTGTGGTCTTCAAGGATTTTGGGACATATATTATTGATAGGAAAAAAAGTTTCATATTGACTCGAAAATTAGGTCCCTGACCTGCCCTGACTGAAATCTTGATAATGAATTTTGAAACACCCTAGAATGAAATTAATTCAACAGAACGAGATAACGGGATACGGTAACTTAGACATGGCCAATGCCAATTATAATTCATTACATAATTGCATTTTTCAAATTAATTTACCTACTCCTATTCACCTGCAAATATTCGAATCAAGTATATTATGAAGTATGTGCCTATATGATTCAATCCAACCTTCAAAAGAACGTATGAATACTATGCTCACCTGAGAAGGGTTTATTGTTTGAGAATACGCACAAAGATATGGGTATTGGAAATATCACAGTTGAGTTTGTACATTTTACTCTGCTTCGAGGTCATATTTTTTTAACAATTATCGTTTGTCGTATGTGATTATTGCGAAAACACGGAAATTAGCATCTATTGTATTTAAATCACATTTTAACTTAAATGTTAAATGTACTGTAGTATGGGTAGTGGCAGTGGCTACTGCGCTGTCCGGCAAAGCAATAAAACTAGTACCTACCACTAAAAAACAAATACTAAACAATGCAATACTGAACCAAATTACAAAATTCATAAAAAGACTTAGATAATATCCAGTTGTTTTGCAGAATTTCAGAAATTATAAATGCACGATTCCTGCGAATTATTATTTTTCACTTTCATATCTCATCATAACCATCTCATATTTCTCACAAAATTCAGATTCCGATTTCATTTCCTGGACTATAAGATCTCAGGCCTCAGGACGTCCTTCACACTTGTTTATAAACCATAACACCTGTACGCCACAACCACCATGATTAACAATATCATAAATTACAACTGTGTCCTGTTTTGGCTGTGTAACATAATCACAGAAAACCCTCCTTAAAAAAATGCCTAAAATAATATTAGAAGAAGAAAATAACCATACATTGAGTTGAATTCAGCGGGAAAAAAAATTGGAAAATCTAGCTTTACATATTTATCATTTTTCTGGTGTACGTTATATTTCAATTTTCTCGACTAATATGGATACTTCAGGACGGAGAAGGAGAGTTCAAAAGTCAGTGATTGAATCTGATATGAGTCAATATGCCCATGATGTTGAAATGTATAAAGACAGTCCTCAGAACTGTATTGCTTTAGCGGAGTTTGAAGAATTGGCTTTAGAAAGACTTCAACTACTAAGGATCATCGAAGAAGCTACACTCAAAGGTTACAAACAGTTTTCAGATGATTGGAAGAAGTCAATCAAAGAAGACTTATTGAAGCATGGGTTGAAAAAATACCTTAGACTGATGAGTGGATTCAATAGGTATATAATATCAAACTGCACTATATATAACTATGCTACCAGTGAGAAAAATATGTTGCTTTCAGTCAAACAGAACAAGATATTCAGGCAAGAAGAGCAGACCACATTTCACATTACATTCTAAGACTGGCATATTGCAGATCTGAAGAACTTAGAAGGTGGTTTCTTAGCCGTGAATTAGAGTGGTTCAAACTTAGATTTAATGCTCAGACACAGCAGGGTATTATGAAATTTCTACTGAAAAATGATCTTACCTATACTCCAATCAGTAATGAAGAAAAGGAACATATTAAAGTTGAATTGATAAGCTGTACCCCAGGTATTTATATGTTGATGCTAACTTTCTAGTATTTGGATAATAAAATTATATCATTCCATTGAATAAACATGTATATGACAACAATATATATGATCAGTGTTTTTTTGTGATTCTAAGTGAATGTATTTCCATTATTTTGTCATGTATACTTATTCACCTGTTGGTTTAAGGTTTGTCTGATGTATCTTGTGAGGCCAATGACTTTTATAAAGTACATTTCAGTGAAGTTTTGCCTCTTGTCAAGAACAGAAGAGTTTTCATAAGAAGTAGTTATGCATATATTCCAACTACAGATTTGGTGATCTGTATTCAATCAAAGTTTAGAGCAAATCTCAGTGAAGCACTAAATGTGAGTTATTCTTCATTCAGTTGAGTTGATTATTAGATTTAGAATATTGCAGGTGTACACTCATAGATTGACATCTTTGGATGATGATAGGCTGAGTTCTCTCCTTTGTAACCTCCATAATATCTACACAGGTAAAACACACATTGAGGATAATGACAAAGAAAAGGTCAACCCTGAAAACTTAGATGGATATTCAAAGAAACATTATCCACTGTGTATGAGACATATGCATGAAATCTTGAGGAGCACCCATCATTTGAAGCACAGATGCAGATTACAATATGGACTGTTTATCAAAGGAATAGGTGAGCTCAAAATTAACCAATTTCTTGCAATTTTTTCTATGGAAATTAAGAACAAGTCTTTATGCAAGCATGATTTTATTTTTCACAATTCAATATTGGGGAACTGCTATTTTAGAAAAAGCACTTCATTTAGACTTTGACATATAATAACATAATTTATTACAGGGGTTCTTTATGAAGATGCCATGGAATATTGGAAAAAGGAGTTCACCAAAACTATGGACCATGAGAAATTTGAAAAACAGTATGCATATGAGTTCAAGCATCAGTATGGAAAAGTGGGAAGCATGATAAATTATTCACCATATAGTTGTATCAAAATTATAATGGAGAATGTGGGGCCTGGGGACCATCATGGATGCCCATACAAACATTGGGATCCTAGTATAACAAAGCAGAAAATGATAGAACAAGGACTTAGTTCTGAAGGTAAAATGCATTTCAGAAAACAGTTGCCACAGTTCTAAAACTTGTTCAGTTATTTACTTTTAATTTTTTTTTCAGGTGTGAATTCTGTAATGGAAATGGTAACAAGTGGCCATTATCAAATTGCTTGCAGCAGATATTTTGAATGTACACAAGGACAAGCACCCTCAGTAGTAGTGAGTCATCCAAATCAATATTTCTCAGATAGTATGAATTTATTTAAAGACAAACAGTTAAAGAAAAATTGACCATTTTTCAGGTCAACTTATTCAGTTATGTTCATGCATTTTGATTTTCATTTATGATCTCTTTCATTCATGAGTTCAAACATTTTGAAGGACATTAAAGAAATTATATATCTATTTATCTGATTTAACAAGCAGCACACTTATTTTCTACAGACCCAATTCCTAGATACGGTGCTGAAATGAATCCAACAACACTGTTTCATAATTATGTTCCTCTATGAGTTTGTAAACTTCCACTGGCTTTAATTTTGCTGTCAAATTCTTCTTTATTTTTCAGAATTGAGTTTTTTAAAATATAATTTTACAGTTCTTATTCCACCAGCATAATAATCCACTACAATGTTTCACCACTCACCAAACTGATTTTTTCAACACCTTGATATGTGTTTCACTATGTTAGCATGTTCAGGAAACTGGAGTTTAACCTATTAGCGCCGTGAGTTGCCGTATGGCAACGCTAGGCAGATAGATATTCAAATAATTCCCTGACAGTCAAATTTTTAGCTAGTAGGGTGAGAGACAGCCCACATGATTTGCAAAAAACCGGGTAAGCACATGCCGCCATTTCTTTGTTGTGAGTAAGCTGTTTCAACAACGTGAATTTGTGAAACTTTGATCTTATTTGAACTGACGTAAAACTTGGACGTCACGTTCGTGTACGTATCATCCAGTTCTCATGCATTTGATTTTGCGATTTTTGTTTTCATAATTATGTTGCACATGCTTCAAGTTATATATGTGACACATTGAAAAAAATTACAGGAATGCTTTTTGTGTAGAAAATTCACATCAATTATTCCTGTTGCCATCTGGCAACGCTAGGCGCTTATACTCAGCGAATGTGGTGACTCTCCTGTCGATCCAATGGATGTTGAACCATTGGCCGGACAATCTTCTCTTCGGAATTCTGCTGATATTTCCATTTCAATATGTGATGAGTCAAATAATTAGATGACTGAGCGGGAAACGACGGAGTTATTTAGCACTTGTCAGGGGAAAACAAGTGGTATGCCTTGTTTTAAAAAATAATCAAGTGGTACTATTTGTATATGGGCGAAACTGATCAGATGGATCAAAATATCAGTTATTACCGCATATAGGAATTATTCGTACGGACCGCATATAGGAATTATTCGTACGGGCCCCTAATCTTTTGGGTATTAGACGCAGCCATTCAAAATACCTGGATTTTGACAAGGACTCTGTTCAAATTGTGATAGAGGTATTTGTGTTGATTTTCCAAAACATGTACCACAAGCGCCTAGTGTTGCCATATGGCAACAGCAGATTTTCGGAAAACCTGAATTCCATTTATGATTCTTCAAACTTATCTCGCACTAGTTAATGGCCAGTAAATTTCAGGAAAAAAAAAATCCGACGCTAATGAGTTTATAAAAAATCAGTTTAGTTAGTGGTAAAACAGTGTAGTGGATTATGATGCCAAAGGTTTCAGTCTTGCACATAACATTTCTCATTATTCATTTTATTATTGAAATCATTTTAATTACATCATACAAAATCAAGATAATATCTATCTAGACATTGATGTCAAAGGATTTATGTATTAAACTAAAGCAACCAGTTCCTGTTCCACAGGGTTTCCCTAACATCAAACTACTGGATGGATTTTGCAATTCATCTTGCTTTCCTGAAATGAAATGAATAATTGATTTGATGTCATCCAGTACTAAATATCATTGTGGGTACATATCTATTGAGTAATCAGATATGATTCACAAAATCAATTGTTTACCTCTAATGGTTGCATTTTTGAGAAAAACTAACGACGATTCGAATGATATCTGTTGTAAAGGGGAAGCACTGCTTTCCATGCCCTTTCTGCTGAGCGGTTCAAATGTCCCGTTGAAGGTCATATAATCGGCTATCAGGGACAAATGTCTCGGATCCACCTTAATTCCATATACGTTGAACACATCTTTAACTTCCTAAAAGATAAATTGATCCTTATGGAAATTGATTGATTATTATGGATAAAATATAAGAACCTTAACAATGATTCTTGAAGCTGCCTCTATTCCATAAGTGTCAGCAATTTGGTGTATGTCATTACAGTATAGTTGTTGAAGATCCAGTATAGTGTTGTACTTGAACATTTCCTAAAAGTAATGAAGAATTAGCAACTTAGCAAGATGTATTCTGTTTTTATGCATGAATTCTAATTGACTTACAATAATATTTATTCCATCTGTCCTCAACATGAGTTTGTCATCTTTTATATAAGTGATGGCTCTTTTAATATTTGGAGTTTCCCACAATACCGATTTATTGGCAACTTCTCTGAGTAGGACAGTCAGATCCAGTTTTTTGAAATTTAGAGGTAACTGAAATTGAAAAATCACTTAGATATGCTAATAAAGAGACTTGAACTACATACAGAAAACGTTATTTCACACCACAAATGCTTTTGTTTATCTTCTGTATAGTTCTTTGCATAATTATAGGTTTCAACGACAGAATTGTCTTCTTGACTTGGTCCTTCAACTGCTGCTTCAGTTTCTTCCTCATTTTCATCTAAAATGAAACATTTTACCCTTGGAAGATATTTTAACATTTGAGAGAACTGAAATATTTACCGTCATCAGAAGCTTCTTTTTCGTCATCCTCAGGCTCCAAATCCTCCCGAGTCTCCTTAAACTTATTTGTAGTTTTAGCGTCTTCATCATCTGAGACATCTTCATCAGAAGAATTATTTTCGTCTCTTTGTTCCTGATTCGGGCCGTCACTATCTTCGTTGTCAGTTCCATTAGAATTTTTACTTCTTTCTTCTTCCATCATCACACTACAAACATTATTTGATGAAAACAAGCTGCTGGTTGATTTCCGTTATAGATAGGTTGGCGTCTAAAAATTCAACTTACACATTGCTATTGATCTTGGTATATTTTCTGATTGCTGCAAACATTTGTCCGAAGAATTTCTTTTTCACGTAATTCAGAATTCCTTTAGGCGTTACACAATAATCTTGGCTGTAATATTTTCTTGGTAAGAAATTGAATCTCACCACATATCTGTGCTGCCTAAAAATATCCATTAAAAAATAACAAATGTTATTGATATAATAAATTTGATGATTTTATGGCACAAATAAAAAATAAAGGAATCCAAAATATGTTTCTGCAGTATCAAGTAATCAGAATGAATTTATATCCAAGAAATGATTATAATATCACGCGGAACACATACTAATCTGTGTTTCATTTTCAAACTCATAAATGGGTACACTATATGAACGGATTTACTACAAATGATCATCAAATGATCAACTTCAAAGTCCCACTGAGAACACTTTACAATATGCAACTCTGTCGAACTAAATTTCATGCTACAAATTATGGCTCTCACTGTCATATATCTGGAAGTCTTAAAATGATTAATGATTATAATCTTGAAATCTTCGGTGAATCGCTGGATTTGTTCAAAAATACTCTGAAACGACTATTGTAGGTGTGCACAGTACACACATCATTTGTGAAAGTAATTCTGTTATTACCTATATATACCTCTTTTTTGCTTGTACAGTTTAGGTAGATAAAATTAGAACCGAATAGTCTTAGGCATTAGTTTATTTACGTATGTTCATGTATTATAATTGTATTTTTTTCAGTAATAGGGGTATCCCGTGAATAAAATAAAAAAAAATAAAAAAGAAATATTGGACAAGACCCCTTTTTGAAATCAAAATTTCCGTGCGTGCAGATTTTAATAATTCCAATTTGAAGTGGCGTAGGTACTCGATTTTTTTTTACTCAGATCAGAATCGCCTTTTATATTGAAAACCTCTTCCATACAAGGACCAACAAAACAAACACTAGCATATTATAACAGATCGAAATTAGTTAGTTATACCTGATAGGTTGTATTTGTAACTCAGCCGTAACATCTATGGTCTCCAAAACATCGGCAACTACCACCCTCGAAAGCAATTTCCTCAATTCCGCGGCTTTTTCTTCCAATCCGGGTATGTTGAGGAACGGTATTTCCATGGAAGGCGTTTTGATGTTTTTGGATGCCATCATCAATATCTCTCTTAAACGAGGGATACCCAAAGTGACGTTCATTTCACCTCTGCCAGCAAAATGGAACGTATTCAGCGTCATTTGAGTGGAAGGTTCCCCAATAGACTGAAATATGATGATCATCCAGATATCCGTAAAAAAATTCGAATTTTATTAACAGGCTTAGCCCGTTACCACCGATACAACAAGGCCAGCAGACTCTGACGTAAACAGCTCGTGACGTCACCAAGAGAGGCCAGTGTTTTATTTTATCGCTTGTCGACTAACGCGTCAGTTCGTGTTAATTCATCGGTGATTCACGTATGTTTGTGAAACGGTCACGAATTCTTTTGTTGTTTATTCATCAAAATAATTGGCGGAAAAATTACTGTTTTGTGAAATATTTTGTGTTGTGATCGGCGAAATAACAATGCCTTTCAAGTGTTGTGTTCCCTTTTGTCGGGGGAATTATGTGGGTGGTTCAAAAGTTCATGCTTTTAGTTTCCCGTTGGACGAGGAGCTATCGAAAATGTGGGTAAGTATATGCAATTCACCGCGAGGATTTTACTCCATCTAAGTATCTAAGTTCAGTAGTAAACAGAGCTTAATTTATAATGATGAATTAATAATAGAAGACAATTACTCTCTCATAAAAAGTATAAGTAGAGGAAAAATAGAAAAGCTTTGATTGTGCAGTTAGTTTTGTGTTCGTATATTATAATCAACAAAATCATCTCTGAATTCGAGGAAATTTTCTTGAATGTTCATAATAAACGGGCATTTTTAATTCTCATTCTCAAATTTCTTTCTGAAAACGGTCATTTGCCTCGTGGCAATGAATGCAGAATTCATTTCAATGATCAAATTGCAACTATCATATTAACATGAACTACAAACACTCTACTTTGAAAGGTAAAACTGCATTTATCATGATATTTATCATGAAGATATTTGCCTAAAAAGTTCCAAATTTCACCTTCTTTTTCACCTGTCTTCTGGATGGCATTTAGGACAAATTTCCCTTCTTTTTTCATCATATTGGACAATTTATATATAATTCAACTATAAATATGATTTTCTTGCGATTAACCCATATTTAGTGAAAAGAAGGAAGAATATCATTCAAAATAATAGCGTGTGTAATGTCATTTGAAAGCAATCTATTGACATTTGACATCTCGTATTTTGATTGACTATTGATTAAATGGTCGTCATCTGGAATGCTTGTTCACTAAATATGAAAAACTCGCCATAAAAATCATATTTTCTGTTGAATTTTCTAAATAAAAATGTGCCATCGAAGTACATCATGAGTATATAAAGTGTCCAATGACAAAATAAGAGCAAGTAGCTTCAAACGCCCCCAACACAAGAGGAGAAAGAAGGCGAAATTCGGTTTATCAGACAAAAATACGTGAGTACCAAAAAAAATTAAAAAAAAAGTATCGCATGATAAATGCAGTTTTACCCTTAAAAATTACGGTTTCAAGTGTAACGATCCACTTGGGTGAAAAATCCAACAACAGAAAATTGAAAACACTCACTGGTTATTTTTTCAGGTAATAGGAATTCTCCAAGATAAATATAGGTAATTGTAACAAACGGCATGTCAATCAAAATAAAATACATTTTCCACAATTTTCTTTCGATCAATCTCACGATAAGTTTATGTTCTGCGGGCCCTGTATAAGTAGGTGTGAAGTTTACCTTCACCACAATTTTTGCCAATATATTTAATTCGAATGGGTTGCTGTAGGTGGATTTGTGTTTTATGATTTATCCTGGTTTTTGCTTTAAAACTTTGTTTTTCCATAATAAAATCGAATGGGGTGCGAAGAAGGGCTCAGTTGACGACTGGCATCCTTTTTTAACCGGAAGCCCTTCAAAAAACAGCAAAATCGGCTCAATGATGATCTAAAACTAAAATCGAAATACGCGGTCGCCTTATAGCGCTATAAGCGCTTGTCGTTTCGAGCCGCTGGTTAGGCCTTACTAAGTGACGTCACCCACGGAGCATGCAGTCCTTGTTGTATCGGTGGTAACGCTTAGCCTCGTGGTAGAAGTTTCAGTTTCTATCCACGTTGGTTTACCGTAGGGTCCCTTGATGCAAACTGACGTATTTGTCATCTAACAGGGTACGAACAGATCATAGCTCCTTTCTCTTTTAATCATCTGGTGACTTTGGTTTCGTGTATTGGCGTCCCTGACATGACATTGCTGTCATGTCACATTCATAGGCGTTAAAAGAGATCTTACAAAATTTCAATTTCATACTTGATCTTGACATTCAATTCTGTTCTGGAAGCTTTCCATCAAATGCAAATGAAATTAAAACATGGAAAGTGAAGTGGCCGATATAAAATTGTGTGATTGTGAAATGAAAGGTTAATGGACGAATGTGGATCGTGGTGTACAGAATAATTATAGTAATAATAATAAATTCTCAAGTCAGAGTTGACTATATTGGTTATTATTTTATTTATTTATTTTTTTTAGTTTGGCCATCTAAAGAAGCGTGTTGTTTTTCTTTTTCAAACCACTATTTTTTCCTACCTGTGCTGCCAAGAGTCCTACTGGTTCCCCAGGGTTACACACGGATTGCATGGCCTTCAGTTTAATCGCATTTCTGAACTCCTTTTTGTGCTTTTTCCTCTTGAAAGGTTGAAAATCTTCCAACATTTTTTCTATGCGCTCATTGATCGCACCGAAATGAGAGGAAGGTAGAAAAATGGAGTCAATGGGATCTGGACAAGCAGCACATTGAGTGAAGAACCTGGAAAAATATTACAAATTATTGTTATTCACTTTGGGATTTTATGGCAATGTATAACTCTTCTCTTATGTCTTGGCCCAGTTCTGTCCAAAGATTCACCATTCTCTCGCTGCTCAACTTATTGTTGCCGACTTTTGCTTCAACGTATTTGGAAAATAATGAAAATGGGGTTTTCCGATGTTTTCGCAAGGGGTCGCCATTTTTTAATTTCCAATTTTCAATCTGAAAATGAACACCAAATATTGTTGAACGATTCCAAGCTTAAGCACATTCACCTTAGCCAAATGCTCCTGTAATGATATCTGGTCTTCATCATTTTTCAGCTTTTTCAGAATTTCTGCTTGTTCCAGTGCCTTCACATTCTCGGACAAAAACTCTAAATGTTTTGGGTTCAAGAATTGAGCTTTTGATATATCTAATCCATCTTCTCCATACAAAAACTAAAAAATTAACGTAATTATTCCATTGATTATTGATAGAATTAGAATTTTCAGTTATTGAAATTTTGATATGTACCACTGAACTAACCTGTATGACACTTTTATCACTATTTCGTACAGTCATATCATATTCCACTTTCAAACCTTCCAAATGTTTTATAAGACATCTTTGCAGGTAACCACTACGACTCGTTTTCACAGCTGTATCAATCAGACCCTAAAATAGGATATTGCATTACCTAGTGTGGAAAATAGTGAATGTCGCACGAGTGGACACACTTTCCAATGATTTATATGTGATAGTATATTACGTAATATGTGTTGTTAGAAGCATATTACGCACGAATAAAAAGTTACGCACTCGCCGCTCCGCTTTACAACAAGCATTACGTACTATACTTTACCTACTGCCATATAAACTACTTACCAGATAAAGTGGGACAGCCAAAACATTTACTAATTTTGATAAGCTAAAACTCGAACATTTCTTGGCCGATGTTGGATTTTCAACCAAAGGAAGAAAGCGTCATTCTTGGGCTATGAGTCATTGGCGTCGGGTTTTTATTTTTGCGATTCGTTCTCTTTGTACAGAGTGTGAATTGAAAGCCGGAAAAATTTCAAATTTTTGACCATTAATTTGGGAAATGTGAGCGACCCTAGAATTATTTTTTAGATGTTGGGAGAATGGTTGGTCCGATTCTTCGAGACGTCTTTGAAATTTTCTTGATAAATTGCGTTGCTATGGAAAAATCGCCATTTTATGAAATTTCATTTTTATTTCAAAATGAGGCCTCTTTTCGTCAAACAATTATAGCCAACATCTGAACTGCAACAAGGAATATTTCTACTGAAGATAATTAACACCAGTGGCGCGCAAAAACGGGTTTATGATATTCAGAAACAAAAAAATTCGTTTTTATTGAAAAACTTCAACAGTTTTATTTATCGTTACAGTTGAATAGCTGGCATATCCTTTATTAGCATTATGTTGAAGTATCAGAGGCGCGCAAAAAAGGGTTTATGATATTTAAAAACGACAAAAAAGTTTTTATTGTAAAAAATCAACAAGATTTTTTGAAAATTTTTCTGACAAAATTATCAAATAATACGGCTCGAGAAACATCAGAAGCTAGAATTACTTTTCTGTATGTTCAGTTTAAAAATAATGATACAAGATACACTTGATGAAATTGTTGAAAATGTTATCATATCGAACTTTTTGAATCGCCTTGAATGATGGATCCTCTTTAATACGCCACTGGATTACTTGGATGCTCACCTTGAATAAGTAAAAAACAATGATGATGAGACTGAAATTTTGATTTATCACGCACGCCTCTATATATTTTAATTAAGGATATGACACCTCCTCAAATGTAACGATCAATGAAACTGTTGAATTTTTCCAATAAAAACGAATTTTTTGTTCCTAAATATCATAAACCCCTTTTTGCGCACCACTGATGTTGATTATCTTCAGTAGAAATATTCCTTGCTGCAGTTTATATGTTGGCTGTTATTGTTTAACTGAAAGAGGCGACATTTTAAAATAAAAATGGAATTTCATAAAATGGTGATTTATCCATAGCAACGCAATTTATCGAAAAAAATTTCAAAGACGTCTTGAGGTATCGGACCAACCATCGAGTTATAGCTTATCAAAATTAGACAATTTTTTGGCTGTCCCACTTCATCTGGCAAGTACATCAAAAAAGTTTGGACAAAGTCTGAATTATAATTCTTGACAGTTATGTCATCTGCTATTGACGGCGATTACGCGATCATGACATACCTATACTGGCGGAATATACGAAAACTGTGCGATGTGCTTACTGTGCGTGAAGAGCTAATTACTGAGGCTGTATGTCGTGTGCCAACTTTCTATAGTGGCGGAAGGTAATAGTAATTTTCTTTCCTGTACGCAAATGCCGTTGACCCGAACGACGCGAAGCGGAGTTCGGGCAAACATTCGAGTGCGGGAAAAACACTTTCTCTTGTAAAATATGAACCCGACCTCTATTGAAAAATGTGGTGAAACCTTAGCCGTGGCACTTGATATCTCCAAGGCATTCGATCGAGTCTGGCACCACGGACTCCTCGCCAAGCTTCCATCTTATGGCTTGTCTCCCCAGCTATGTTTTCTGCTAGCTAGTTTCCTCTCAAACAGGTATCTCCATGTAGTGGTCGACGGAGTTTCATCTGACTCTCTTATTATAAATGCTGGTGTTCCGCAAGGATCAATTCTCGCACCACCACTATTTCTACTCCATATCAACGATTTGTTGGAAGCACTTCATGTCCAGTAAACAGCTTCGCGGATTATAGTACCCTCCATACCGCTTTCTCTTCCAGGGCTCCATACCAGGCAGGCAAATCAGAAACGAACGAGGAAGAAATGTTGACAACATAAATATGGACTTGGCAACAATTCTCGAATGGGGATCCAATAACTTGGTAGATTTTCATGCAAACAAAACACAAGCATGCCTTTTCTCTAGAAAACCCGATCTCACTGTGCCCAACATGAGCTTGTCAGAAGTAACTATACCTTTGAAGACATCCATTTTGATGCTTGGTATTACTATCAGCAATAACCTTTCTTGGGAAAATCATGTGAGATCAATTTCTTGGGAAAATCATGTGAGATCAATTGCTAAAAGTGCATCCCGAATACTTGATTTTCTGTTTCGGACCAGGAGCTATTTCACTTGAAGTCAGCTGCTTATGTTCTATAGGCACAGATCCGACCTGTCCTGGAATACTGTTCCCATATTTGGAGTGCAGCACCAAAACATACCCTGAAACTGTTGGATTCTGTCCAAAAAAGGGCAATTCGTCTCGTGGGTGATGCCTCGCTCACAAACTCACTCATATCTCTGGAACACCGTAGAAAAGTTGGCGATCTGGATCTATTTTACAGATATTTTCATGGACGATGCTCTTCTGAAATATCAACAATTGTTCCTCCCTTGGCAGTCCCCGCGAGATTAACCCGTCGAGTCGAGGCTTCGCACCCCTTCGTGGTCACTTTGGAGACCTGCAGAACATCCCTTTCCAAAGACTCGTCCATCCAGAAATTTTAGAAGAATACCAATTCCTACCTAATTTCCCTCGATTCTCACGATGTTCTCTGAACATTACAGGATATCCCTTTTTGTGGGAACCAGAACATAAAAAAGATGGTCAGCCTCGTGGTTAAAGCGCCAATGTTCTATCCACGTTGGGTAGCCGGTAGGTGGGTTCGATTCTCACCACGACCGCAGAAATTTTTCTGATGACCTAAGAAAGTGTTTGGGATCACACGTTGAAAGGTAAGACCCCCGTCATTCCTTGCTCGCACAAGTCTCTCGAAGACTTCTCAAGGGTTGCTCATAAAGGGGCAACCGAATGATGAATAAGAACAATTTTTTCAAAACAATTCTAATAAATGTTGTGGAGAAGACTTTGGGTTTTCATCTATGGAGTCGTAAAGGTCTTTTTCTACAAGCGTGCGTGATTCACCCTATACCCGCACGCAATTTAGTTTGGGAAGCGTCATTTTCCCGCAACAGTGCGGGAAAACAAAGATAGATATGATAAAATCGCTAGTAATATAAGTGGTTGGTGATGGAATATAAAAGTTTAAGTTTGTTTGTTGCAGTATTAAGTATGTATGTTCAGAATCATCCATCAAATTGCACTATTTATTGTAAAAATTAAGAATTATTGAGAAATAAAAATTGATTATTATAAAAATCCCCCTATAGATTTGGATTGATCTGACGGGAAACGTCAATTTGTCATGCCAATCAAACCTCAAATAAGTTTGAAATTGTCGAAGTGACAGACACAGCGTTACTGTCATTTTCGATTCAGTGGAAATGTCACAATGTGATCAAAAACTTCTAGCTATAATAGGGATTTGATACAGATGCGTTATCACCAACGAAGTCTTAAGAAACGTATGAGAAGCTATACACGCGTTTTATTGAATGGTGCAACAATGAAGAAATGAAAAAACCGAATGAAGAATAGGTATTTTTGGCTCATTTCATAGAAGTGTCTGGAACCTAGAGACCAAACTCCTAATGGGCCTGCTGGCTTCCGCAATGAACCAACATAATGCGTCAAACTGTAAGTTCACAATAGCTATTATACTAATAATTAATAGATAGAGAATATATATCTCTTGTTAGTTGTTCCTATTTGCTTGAATAATTAATTGAACGATTCAATCAATTTCCTACGCTTGTAGAAAAAATATTGTTCCTAACTCACGCGGAAAGTTTCTTTCCCGCACTCGACTGCTTGCCCGAACTCCGCTTCGCATCGTTCGTGTCAACGGCAGTCACGTGCGGGAAAGAATCACTTCCCGCACTTGTTAGGAAAATTCCTATTTCGTATTCAAAGATTATTGAGTAGTTCTGATGCGAATTAATAGCATCGACTAAACATTGTCAATTTATTGATAACCCTGGAAAGTAAAATACCGAGTGGTTCTCACCTCACGTCCGGCCATACAGTGGAAGAAGAACTCTTGCGGCTGGATGCCCGTCATGAATCTGCCATCGATAAATCCGCCGGCCCTGGGCGAGAACTCGAAGGAGGGGAAGCTGGGCAGAGTTTTCCCGGATATCATGACGGGGGGCCGCTTCCCCTCCAACTCGATCTGGCCCAGCAGACAGGATATCTGCATGGTGTTGACGGTGGAGCCTTTCGCGCCGGACTGCACCATCAACTGGAGGTTGTTGTGTGGGAATTTGCACACTAGGCCGGCCGGGAGACAAGTACTGAAAAGTTCGAGAAAAGTGTGTAGGAAAATTGACATATGTTGATTCGAAACATCAGTTTCAGCCTCATATGGAATTGTATTTTCTATATTTTTAGTTAACGCTCTGAAACTCAGTTTTAAATTATAAAATGATGATGATCGAATCTGAGATTTTTTTCAAAGGGAAGTAAGTATAAGTAGGGTCCCTTGATGCAAACTGACGTATTTGTCATCTCTCATTCTCTTTAAATCATCAAGTGACTTTGGTTGTGTATTGGCGTAACTGACATGACATTGCTGTCACGTCACATTCATAGGCGTTAAAAGAGATCTTACAAGATTTTAATTTCATACTTTAGTCGAAGCCATGGACAAAAAAAAAAAAAAAAAAATATACTTTCTCAAACAGTTTCAGCTTCATATAGTTTTTTTTTTAAATTTCAGTTAAGGCTTTGAATTTCAGAACAATTTTTGATTTGAAAATAATGAAACAAAACTTTGACGATTTTTTTCGCCAATCGGCTCCGTCGACCTGTTCAATCTTGAGTTTTTGGAAGGAAATTGCAAGAAGCTGTTTCTAATATTGTTTCCCATTTATTTTAAAATGTTTGTAATTTGTAATTCTCTAAAAAGATAAAAATGAGAAAATTCAGCCAACATTCAATCAATGAACAGGCAAAATATGGAGAAAAACCAACCGATTCAGAACAAATATGGGACGAGAACGTAATGCCGAAAATGGAATTCATTTCATGGTAATTTTCTATAAAAAAAAGAGTTGGTAGTCAAAAATTCAGAGCAGAAATGTTCAGAAATTGAAGATTTTCTAGTGAGATAGAGTGAAGAATTCAGGAAATGAATAAAATAGAGAATTGAAGGTTGAACAAAGAGGTTTACATACTTAAATTAGTTAGCAAAATTCACAACTATTACCCTAAACCGATTTTAGTTAATCTTGCAGCTATGATGAACAGAATTATAGCAAACTTTTTCATGGAAAGGAATATTTGAATGACAAATTGAAATATTAGTAGTGAAGTTGCTATTTAAAAGAATGATGTATCTCAAGATTAAAAAATTACAGTAATAGATGAGATGCAAACAGTTTGGAAAAAGCGTTGGTGATAGAATATGATACAGGGTGATAAGAGTTCTGAATCATGAACCAGCCTGTATTTGTTCCAATGAAATGTCAGTATTCAACCTCAACAACGAGGCACTCACTTGTTTATTTCATTCGTGTAACTATCCAAAGCCGACTTGTACTGTCTATCGATGATCGCCCTAATTTTGGAATTGGTAGCATTCGCTTCCTCAATTTTTTCCACAATTTCTTCAACAGGTGTCTCCACCGGTAAGTCCAAAGCTGCCGCTACGACTTCTGGCCCGATTCTCCTCGAATTGTTGATAATCTCCGTTCTCTTCTTATCCGCTTTAGATACAGTTAAGATATCGTGTACACCCAGGGTGAAACCTTCTTGCTGAAGGAACCTCATGAATATTTTTGCCAATGAGGATAGCAGCCTTGTAGCATAATTACCTCCATATAACTAAAATTATTGATGAAAATACTCCGTTGAAATTCAGGCAATGAACTCAATATAAATACCTGGAATGGAAGGGACCCTCTGTGAACGACGAGTGAGGCAAAAATATTGTTCAGGCAACCCACAGTGTTTACGGATACCTATCTCTTTTTATCTTATGTTGGCTAATAGGAAGCGCTCACATTATTTGAAATACTTTCTCCCTTTTTGCTTTTATTTAAGAGTAAACGTGATTAAATAGAAATATTCATTTAGGAAAAAGAATAATGTTGCAATCAATTATCATTAAAAAAGTATTATTGATTTTTTATTGAATATAGGTATAGTTTCTGAACTCATTTTGAGACTGGGAACATTGTATACCCAACTGATGATCATTTCAAGAACCATATTTTCCAAAAATCTGAACAATATTCAACTTACCCATATATTGACAATTTCCTTTTGTCTTGCTCGTTCTTGCAGCCAAAGACGACACAATAAATCACCATTGTTTATCAATATGAAATCACAAACCTTCTCAACAATCAGTTCACAGTGTTCACACCAACAAATTCAGTCCTTTTGATAAAACAAAACACGCCAAATGAATAGATATTTCACATAACCAAAGACAATGAACTTATGTCTTCACTTTCTTGCCTGTTTAGATGAGAGAAAAAATCTAAAGTACCTCAATTATTAGATAAAAGAGAACGTAAACACCAATCCACCATTAAACAACACGTGTAGTAGGAAAGAGACAGGTTCCCGTAAAACAATCTATCTTTGTTGCAGCTGCCCCTGAGACACTGTGCTATTCGAGAGAGCGGCCCCTTCCAGGTGTTTACAGGTTGGTATTATTTTTAAAAAGATTTACTTCGTATATACAATGAACTAAACCGTATGGGGTAGCACCATAATGTGTTTTGTCCAAGATGCCAACTAGAAGTTCGCCATGCCTTATAACTACTTCAGCCTCACTCATTGTATTTTGGTTTACAAATGGGGTTCCACCTGCTTTCCATCGTCTGGGGGGCCTGGATTGCCACGCCTAGAAACACATCTTACAATTTTCATCTCCCCAGAACTGACATTTTATGCTATGCATTTTGTATGAAAAAAGTTCTGATTTGGTAGAAGAATTTCAAATTTTGCTGGTATTTACCTTTGACGAAATTTTGGCTGTAGCTGTCAAATTGATGGGCTCTCGTCCTTTTGGAATAATATTGATGATAACGGTGGATAGAATCTGTTTTCCTGACCACAAATAGTAAGGTTTCAGAATTGTAGGTGGTAAAAGGATAATATCGCTGGTTTTGAAAGACAGTGCTTGGTATACCAATTGGTGATAGTCATCTCTGAAAAACGGAAAAACCAACCAACTCATGAAAATTCATCACAATTTTTTTTTCTCGACTAATGTGTGTCCTCTAGTCCCTTATAACTGGGTTTTAAGTAATCCATTTATCATTAGGTGAACTGTCGCTAGGTTACATCATCAACTCAAGGGAAACTGGCATATTAACCAACTGATACATGCCAAATTGAATTTCAAAATTGACAGTTCATTCAATTTCAGAAATTAACACATGCTCTGTAGGCAGCCGCTTGCTTTTCTGTGATGGAATAGTTTATGTTGTTCGATGTTGTCGATTGTAGAATGATATTTATTCAGATAATTTATACGACGCTATAAAAGCAGATGATATTTTATCATGGCTCATGTCGACAGTCGAGTGTTTTTTTTTACTTTCTTTTGTTTTTTGTTTCGTTTTCTATTGGCAAGTGATTATCTAGAAACTTATAATTTTTTTAGTTTTTTCATCGTATCTCCCGAACTATTGAATTCAGAGAAAAATGTTATGAGGATTTTTTGTAGATTCTATCGAAAGAAATAATTTTGGTTCCATAACATTTTCAGATATTTTCAGTTGTTTTCGAGATATTTGGAATCATCTGAGAATAAAATTTTCAACACTTTTGTTCCATCTTCCAATCAACAAATGGAAAAAATATTTCATGGTTCAGTGGAAGTCGATGATCTTCATCTATCGATAATCTTTTGTTTTTCAATATATCTTCATGGTACCCTATGGGTCGTTAAATTTTTTTTTTTCATATTTTTCACTTTATTTATAGAGTTATTTTTCACAAAAAATTAAATCGATCGGACCACTTTTGCGATTTGTAGAGTGGTTACAAGAAACTTCCGGTGAAAAATCGAAAAAATCCGGAAAAACCGCCTTAGAGTTTTCCGATTTCCTTTATATTTTAATGACATAATATTGTTTTGAGTACAATAAGATGGCAAAATTTCAAGTCGATATGTCAAAGGGTTCCGGAGATATATCGATTTATGATTAACACAGAGTACAGACAGACAGACAGACAGACCACACACAAAAACCAAAGTTTCTCAAAATTCGATGGGGATCATTTTCTCCAAAGTAACTATACCTCTATCTCGCTTAGTTTTCGAGATAGCATTTTTGGCAAGGCCGTAGTATACTCCACTATGTATAGCGTCGTATAACAAGAGGAGAATGTGCATCACACACTTATCTAAGCATAGTATAACACTATGACTATAACATAATATCTATGAGTATGATAATGAACAGAAAATAAGAACACTATTTCAACCAATGATTATGTTAGTTTGATATGAGCCTATACAGAGCTTTTTTGATATGTACACATTTGAAAAAATGCGTGTCTTGAAACCCGATGGTAATCATAAGATATTGAGCAAAGTCATTTACTTAAATGTCGATCGTTAGAAGGGTCCTTAGAATATTATTGTAAATTCTGAAAATAGCAAATTACAGATTCTCACACCGAGGAATCCGAGGAGGAATCTTTAGCATCGGGCCAAATTTCTTGAGATAGTTTGGTAGAGTTTCTTCACAGGTTTCAATTTTGAATGCGTTTTGCTCTGAAAGTTGTAGAAAGTTTTCAACAAGAGAGATAATATTCTAATATTCATATCGATATCTATACTCATGCGATTGTCATTACAGATGAAGAGAAAGTGAAGACATTACATTGAATTTTCATAGTTTAGACACCTAGTTTAGATACTTCTTGAGTTAGCTTACGTGCAATTATTATGAGCTAACTCAAGGGATCTCTGACATATTTGTTTCAATAATTTCATATGGAAATCCGAATATGTGACTCACCTTGTGAAAAATCTACCTCTCATAGAAAGACGCACTCCTGCAATCATATGATCTTGAATGAGTCCGCTGAGTGGTGTACCGTCTTTGGGAACAAGGTACTGATTTGAAACATTCACTAAAAATCAACAAAAAAAATATACTCTTCATGAAGAATTTTCCCCAGAATCTTCATTCACTTACCAATATTATAGCCTTCACTTCGGGCAAGTTCATTTTGAGGAAAATGGGCGTTCATCTCGTCCCCGTCAAAATCGGCATTGTAGGCCTTACAGTTGGCATAGTGTAATCTTAGCGTTTTTTCTCCTTTCAGGATGCGAGCAGTGTGTGCCATGATACTAGGTTTATGCAATGTCGGCTGTCTGTTCAATAAAAGAACGTCTCCATTGCATAAGTGACGATGAACCTAACAAAAAATTTCATTGAACTTTTTCCTCCTAAGCTCTTTTAACCTTTGAGTTATCTTTGATTGACGAATACATTCTATTCACATTTGTCTTTTAAAGAAAACATTATTCGTAATGAAGTCGTCGAATTCCTTTCTCTACTCATTCATTTATTTATTGAATGGCGTACCAAATGGAGAAAACAAATACATACCTATACAGTGTTTGAACAGAACATTAGAGAATATACAAATATAAAAAAAATTATATATCAATAAGACCAAATATTTTCAATGATTACCTTCATTATTTCAATCACTAAATAATCCTACTATTAGCCCAACGTCATATCATTTGTACAGCTTTTTCTTAAATCAAGAAAATCGAAAACAAAAATTTCACAAATATTTCCGAGAAAAAAAAATCACTATCACTACTCCATCATCAATTATCATGATTTCAACCTTCATTGAAATACTTTTTTCATTACTACTTCAGAACTACGTTTTATGACGTTTGTAGAAAATCTTTTCGTTTGCAACTCCTGCGCAAAATTCTTTGGTCAACTCAAATTAGTTCTCGATCACCAAAGTAGCATTTCGCGCACTGGATACAAAAATAACTATTATGCTCTTTCATACAAAAAAAAATTACTTCTTCATAATGGGCGTGTACACCTTGGTAGAACTTTTAACTCAAACCATGTTTATAATGATCCTTTTATACATAAATAATGATTGACGACATAATTCGATCGAAAAATTAACTGGAATGTTTTATTTTTGGACATAAATAATAGTACCTTCTGAAAACGGACCCTCTTATGACGTAGAAACCTCATCTCGCCATAGTTAAAAGAAAATACCAAACGCCCGACGGAGACTGAGGCAACTGATATATTAATTCTTCAACTGTGATCTCGCGCTAATTCACTATGTCAGAAATCATGTATATCATTCATCTCTGTCTGGAATAGTCTTGTTTCAGTATTAGGGTTTGACGTCACATCATCACCTTGTTTTCAGAGGTCCGAAAAATCGGGGATTTCAATAATTTTTTATAAAACGTAGGGAGCTCACAGCAAGAAACGGTTTGCGACGGTGAGCTAGTTTGGGTGAGTTCTATAGAATTATGAAATAATTTTTTTTTGTGATATAAGCCCATTTGTACTTACTATTTTGACATTGTCGGAGCCCCTTCCCTTGTCATCTGGAGTCAGTAAACATTTCAGAATACTCTCTTTCTGAACTTCATTCCCGGGATTGATCCTCTTGACCACTCCATTCAGCTCTATCATAACTGCCCTAAAATATGCAAATATTCTGTGATAACACCAGCCTTCATGGAATATTTTTTAATACTATACCCGGGATGCACGTTTGGTCCATTCAGGATCATTTTTCGTAACTCCTCTACATTCCAAGGAGTAACAGCGACAGGATATGTTAGTTTTTTCGCGAACGCTTCTGGAATACCAATTTCGTCGATATTTAGATTAGGATCAGGTGTTATAACTGAGCGGGCAGAAAAATTCACTCTTTTTCCCATCATACACATACGAACTATGCCTTCCTTCTTCTCAATTATCTTAAAAACATTAAAATAAACATAGCTAACATAAAATTTTAGATTAGGAGAAGTCAACCTGTTTGAGTCCTTCCCCTTCTTTGCTCCTGTTAGATTCCTTATCTACAAGGCCATTTATGTCATTCTGCAGTTCTTCCCAAGCATTATTCAGTTTTTCTATAGCAGTGTTTCCTCGAGCAAAACTGTATGCTGCCTGAATGAGACACAGACAATTAAAAACAGAATTGCTTTTATTGAGCTCACCAATGTCGATGTTTTGTTGAAAAAATATTTTAACAACAAATCTTAGGAATATTTTGTGGTTATCATAATTTTTAATACATTAAGGACGATTTAATGAGCTTTCAAGTCTCGTTCTAAGTACTTCAGTATTTAAGTACCTGTTAGCAGAACCTCAAGTACCAGTTTTAAGTATTTTATGTACTTTTTAATAACCAGTTATTTAAATATGGCGTACACATTTTGGGTAGTTGTTTCCCCCTTGGCTTCAACAGATATGGTGTTAGCCATGAATGAGGATATATTATGACAGTTGTATATTGCATAATTATGGAATACATTCCCAAATTGATCAAGCGATCACCAATTAATCAGACAAAAATTGTTTTTCTAGGCTCAAACGAGTGGTGATGAAGAAGTGAAAATAGAAGGTATCAACCTATTATGTATATTTTTTTTGAGATCACTAAAATTCAGATTCCGAAGAAAATATAAAAAACAGGTTGTTCCATTCAAAAATATAATTTGTGGTTTGTCACGCTTTTGGGGCTCACCCTGTGAAACTTCTACTTTACATAAGCATATTTACCTTTGCTTCAACTGATGTTAAACTGTTTTCATCCCCTTTCTTCTGAACCACCTGTATTATAGCTCTCAGCAAAATGACATTCTGTAGAATGGTCTTATAAGTTTGTGATTGTTTGTTCTCTAAGACCCTATCATTGACTATATTCACCTAAAACATAGAGTAATGGTGTGAGGTGTGAGCTGGATTGCAAAATTTGAGGAATATTCTCACAGGTCTAAGGTTTGGTGGAGTTACTGGTATAACTTCGAAAAAGAAAGCGTCGGTAGGATTTTCAATGTCAATTTCTGCCAAAACAGATACTAATTGCCTTAAAAAATACTTCTCTTCCTTCCATATATTCCTCATATATCTTCTGGACTCCTCTGGATTGATATATTTTGACTGTATCCCTTTTATTTGTTGAGTGTTTGCAAGTCTCTTCGATTTTTTGCTAAAATAGTAATTTACCTCATATCCGTGACTATTTTTTTGTACGACTAGACAAAATTCTAATTGAAATTGGAAATTTCGTATGGACACTATGGGGTATACGAAATTTTTACAAGAGTAATAAAATTAAGGTAATTGATTAGTCTTTAAGCTCAAATAATTTCAGAACCGTATTATGACCCCTAAAAAGTTCTGAAAAAAATTTCAGGGGGTGAGGGTGGTTTTTACCCTTCTACAATTTCTTTTAGGTTTCTTCGATAACCAAAAGGAAAGCAATCCTCTGGAATACACTATTTCATCAAATTAATTTAACTTATATGAGAAGAAAGTTGGGTTGAACCGCATCTAGAATCTGTAGATGTTCGACGTTTCGGCACCGATTTTGGCGTTTTCGAAATCTATTGAGTGACCTGTTTCTTCATAATGTTTGAAGAGCGCCGAGTAGAGGTCTGATTTATTGGACTGCAAGTTGATGTTCGTAAACTCTGCTGGTATTGCGTCTATTTGTTTGGCCAATATATGTTCATGGGCATAACTGAACAAGGTATTTTTTTCATATATGCCCTGAGAATCATTTGATATTGTGTCCTTGGGGGGTTCTGAGGAATTTTGAAACTTGGTTGTGGGGCCGTCAAAATAGTTTTGATATCATGTTTTCTCAGTATTCTGCTGATTTTGTGAAAATACAGGCAGTGATTTTTTCACTGAGGTCTCAATCTGCCTACTCCTCATTTAATATCACGCAAGGTATGTGACTTGACGCCGGGGTCTCAATCTGCCTACGCCTCAGGTCTCGTCACTGGTTCTCTCTATGATCTCAACCTGCCTACTCCTTCCAGAGAACTGAGGGTGTGTGGGTGGTGGAGCAGTATTTATAGTGGATGTGGTGGTCAGTAAAGCGGAACTAGGGGCGTGGTATGCGTGGTATGCCCTGGTGTGGAAAGGCGGGAAATGAGAGGTTTCCAAGTGCTAGAAAGTGTGCGGCTGTCGTCGCGAGTATTGAGGCGAGGTATCAGTTATTCAATGGCAAATTTCAATTTTAATATTTTGATTCAACCTGTATCAAAATATAAGAAGAGTTTATACAACTGGTGAAGTGGTGAAGTAGTCATTCAATGAAGAAACACATAGAATACTCAGAGACAAAGTTTTATCTTTGTAACTTCTACAGGTCTACCAAATATCAATAAAACTAAAGTTGAGGTTCACCATTTTGAAAACTCAAGTACACCATTTTTCACACTTCGATCACCGCACAGTAACTTTGAAAATCGTCTTGATTAATTAAGAACTGTTGAATATAACACAAATCAAATGACAGATGAACACTCTCCAAAGACCTAAGGAGATTTACTGTGATCATAATAATAATAATAATAATATACAGATTTTGGCCAAATGGAAGGGAATTTGAGATGACAATGGAAATTATTATGTATAGATAGAATATTTTCCCTTGGATTAGTTACCATAATTTATATGTCCAGGAGAAAAGATATTGATCATCAACTTTAACAATTTCATTAATTTTTTGTTGACCTAGAGAGATCTTCCTGTAGAAGTGTGCGTGAAACTTTGTATCTAATAAGTATTCCATGTGTTCCTCCATTGAATGACTACTTCACTGGTTATATCAACTCCTTAGATTTTGATACAGGGTGAATAGAAAAATCGAAAATATCAAAATAAGCCACTGAATAACTAACACCCTACATGAGTTTCAAATCAGTTCACATTCTGGAATAGAGCTTGTTGGGTACTATATTAGAATTTAAGTTTTTGTAAATCAGTAGTCATGTTCCATATTAGAAGGGTGTTGTGGGTTGAAATCACAAATACTGTATATAGAAATACATTGACAATTTGCAGTCTCTATGTGATCAAAATATTAATAGTCCAATAAATGAAGGAGGAAAAAAAGGCAAAGTTAACGTTAATTACGCACTATTTTCATCTTCCGGTTGGAAGTAGCTTTTGGAACCTCATTAAACATGAGACAAAGTTTGACTGGAAAACGCGTGCGATGGCGGGGAAAATGGCCCCAAAAGACCAGGAAAATAGGTTTTCAGCCAATATCTCCTAAAATATGACAGTTAGAGATTTTCGGTTCAGATAAAAATTGAAGTTCAGTTAATTTTCGACAAAAATGGTCCTTATCATTTTTCTCGAAAATTTGCCCGGTTTCGAGAAAAACGGCACGAAACGCACCTCGAATAATGAGCTTCTGTTGTATGCCGGAGAGCACAGTCCGTGTATTTACACATCGGCGGGGGGACAAATTATTCAATAACTTTGTTAAAAATGCATATTTTCTCATGATTCAAAGTTCATGTGAAAGAGGAATTCTGCTGCTATCATACCCTGCGTGGCAGCATGGTTTGTAGCAGACGACCCGAGCGCCACGTAGAGCACACACGCGGCGAACGACGGAGGAACGAAAGTAATAAATTATAGCGTGTATATTTAGATATACTGGTTTTTTCCCGGGATATCAAAGGTATGACTTATATACATCGATGGAAAGGTGGGAATTCCCCCGTTACACTAGTTAAGGTGTTAAAATGTTAGAAATAAAGAGCACGGAGAAAAAAAACACCGAAAAAAAAAATGCGTTTTTTCCTTGACCCCGCTTTTCCTGATTTTATTGAAAAATGGACGACTTCGTCTAAAAAAGTAATTGCACAATCGAAAAGTAGACCTTCTTAGCTTTCAAATGATGTATCATAGAAACCGATCGGATCATGTATACATTTTTAATTGATGGTTGTTCACAAAATTTCCCCACGCTCCAAAAACAGCAAAAAATTGGGATTCAATAAACAAAGATTAAATGAAAATTAAAAAAAATAGGGTATACAAATTTCTGGGATGACAAAGGACCTTATACCCATAATCAAGAAAATTTTGAGTAAATTAGTGCAATACAAAAAAAATAGGAAAAAATTCCTGGCGAGGTCAAAATTGACCGGGAGCAGAAAGTTTGACCCATGTTCCGATATGGCCAAAAGAGTCAAGCGTGACTCAATTCACAGGGTATGATAGCAGCAGAATTCCTCTTTCACATGAACTTTGAATCATGAGAAAATATGCATTTTTAACAAAGTTATTGAATAATTTGTCCCCCCGCCGATGTGTAAATACACGGACTGTGCTCTCCGGCATACAACAGAAGCTCATTATCCGAGGTGCGCTTCGTGCCGTTTTTCTCGAAACCGGGCAAATTTTCGAGAAAAATGATGAGGACCATTTTTGTAGAAAATTAACTGAACTTCAATTTTTATCTGAACCGAAAATCTCTAACTGCCATATTTTAGGAGGTATTGGCTGAAAACCTATTTTTCTGGTCTTTTGGGGCCATTTTCTCCGCCATTGCACGCGTTTTCCAGTCAAACTTTGTCTCATGTTTAATGAGGTACCAAAAGCTACTTCCAACCGGAAGATGAAAATAGTGGGTAATTAATGTCAACTTTTTCCCTTTATTTATTGGACTATAATTCCTTATTGGCATATTAAACAGAAACCATCTACTTTCCTGGCTATTTAGTCTGAGTCAACTTACATATCTGCAATTCTAGATATTGAAATTATTTTATTCTTCAGAGCCTGAATTTTGTCCATGTTTCTCTGACAGAACATACACACTTGTCTAGTCTTCACTTCTCTCAACATCTGATTAATGAAATGATTTCTCAGAGTTTCTGTGTTCTGACTCAAAGCACATTTTCTCCCCAGTTTTTCTATAATACAAAAGAAATGAATGATTTTTTCCTTTCATAATATTCAAAGCAGGATAATTCAACACACCAAAGGTCTGGTCTGCCAATTCTTCATATGCAGCAATACCTTCAGTACTTTCAGGAATATTTCCATTTTCCCCATATTTTAGTAACAACTCAGTCCTTTTGGATTCAACTTCCATAGCTGTTGAGACTAATCCACAATTCAGTAATTTGATCTGTATTGTTAATATTTTCTTAACATGAACTGAAACAATCTCATTGAACACTCTTATTCTCTATCTATGATTAATTTTTCATTGTATATTTACCTGGTATTTGTATGTGGAAACATGATAAACAAGAAATTTTTATAATTGTCCCTATAATTTTATGGAACAAAGGATTAACAATGGGCAAGGGAAGTTCAATGTATCCAAAATGCCCAGGGCAGTTGGTCATAGTCTTATGACATGTGCTGCATAAATCACCCTTATCAGATATTGGTCCTTGAACAAGTGTTTTACTTTAGATATATATTATTAGAATTGTATGAATATTGCACCTAATCTGTTGTCATAAAGTCCACCTGGTAAAGGATGACCTAGTGCATCCAACATGAGTGGTGTAATGATTTTTGTAACACACATTTTCTTCATTTCATCAGCAGTGAAAAGGGAGAACTGAATATTCTCTGGGGTTAGATGGACTGCCATCATTAAATAATAATAGAAAAACACCTGAAAAAAATTAATGGGATTCAACATACAATGAGTAAAGTACTAGAGCAAATTGAACCACTTCTATATTGAGGCTCAGAGATAAGTAAATGATCCTGATAATAATTATTATTAAAAAAAAAAGTCATGAATATGGGATACATGTCCATGTTTTCATTATAGAAATTGGTATACAATATTTAATTAATCTATTTAAACAAAACATATTAATGAATTTATAGCATGAACCTTTTCATCATTTTTGTATTGTGACATTGTTAAAATAATATAGAAAATTGCTCCATACCTATTATCAAATGAATTGAATTTTCAACAAATCATAGAATTAAAATACCTAAAAAAATCACGTTTTCAGGATGCTTTTTCAAAAATTGATTTACCCATAACCACATTTTTGCTGTCTTCTTCAACGCTGTTTAAATAAATTAAAGCGGCCTTAGATACTTGGACTATCCGGCTGAGACCACTTGTTTTCAAGTAGTTCAATTCAAGAATAGGTTCAAATTCACATTCAGTAGGCACCTAGGATATGTTGGTCATTAGTCAGAATAATGCTGCTACCGTGTTAATGTGGTATTGTTGGATCAAATTTTCAACTGGATGTAAGATTCATACAGGGTGATTCATTGGGAAATGCGCATAGAGTAAGGGTAGACGGAGGACACCGAGGTGCTTCTAAATAATACATATTATTTCATGGGTCTATCATTCTTCGTAGCTGAGATACAGGGTGATTTATCAATTTTCTAATTTTTTTCAATTAATCATAACTTATGAACCACCCTATACATTTTTGTGATATTCGGTGGACATGTTCTTCGTCCACAGATGTGACGATTGACATAATGAGATGAAGTCTCATTCCAGGTCCGGCCTTAAAACAATTAATAAGTAGGTTTCGACTCGAAACAACACCCTGTATATCAATATTTTGGACTTTCATCCACAAATTTGAAAAGAACAGGAAAAAATAAGTCAGGCTGAATGTATTTTGTGTTTCCGCATACAACTTTTATACCTATTAACTTGAGTCAAATCTAGATGTTTCGATAATGAGGTGGCACAAAATTGAAAAAAAAATTAATTGTCGTCCCTAAATGGTATTCTTCCATTTTCAAACCATGAAATCATCAACTATTTCTTACTCTCCTAATTTTTGGATCCCAACCTAATTGGAAAACGAGAGGACAGGTCCGTATTTGGGACAAATTATTATTATCAATGACTTACCAAAAACACCTTGTATGTACAGGAAAATTGTCATAACATTTGTTTATTGCCCTTCATTTGAAACAACAATTATCATGGAAATGAAGAACAATGCCCATCTCGGAAAAAGCATAATTTATTTCGAACAAAAATGTCGTTGCAACAAATTGTATCGAGATAAACAAATACAATAAGATACAAAGAAAATTGAACAACATAACTTATAACAGTTGTTCGAAGTGGCCTCCATTTTGTTCAATACATTTCCGTGCTCTTAAAGTAAGATTTAAAATTGACTTCCTTATCATAGCTGGCTCATTTCTCAGCACGTCGCATGCGTCCTCAATTCTCCTTAGGAGGTCCTCTCTAGTGTTAACCTCAGTTGAATAAACTTTCGATTTTAAATAACCCCAAACATGGTAATCGAGTTGATTAAAATCTGGGCACCTTGAAGGCCAGTTGTGAGGTCCTCCTCTGCCTATCCAATGATTCGGGAAGTTGTTATTTAGGAACTCTCCTACTATCACCCTGAAATGAGGGGAAGCCCCATCATGTTGAAAGTACATGCCTCCAACATCAACTCCTGCATCATCAAGCAATATGGGCAAAGTATTTTGCAGGAACTCCAAATACATTTCTCCTGTTAGTACATGTGGTTAGATATGGGGTCCAATTAATTGGTCGTTGATAACGCCACACCAAACATTAAAGGAGAACCTGACTTGGGAATTCGTTTGTTTAATAGCGAACGGATTTTGATGCCGTCTCTGGTAAATTGAGCTTCATCGCTAAATAAACACCTGTGTATTATGCCATTATTTTGTAATATCCATGTACTGAATGCTAACCTTTCAATTTCATCTCCTGCATGTAGCCTCTGAACTTGCTGTACATGGTAAGGATGCAGACTATTTTTATTTAATCTTCGCCAAACAGTCGACTGGGGAACATTAGTGGCATGACTGATTCTTCTTGTACTAATTTTTGGATCATTTTGAACAAGGTTGAGAATATCTTGCTCTAAATCGATATGCCGTCTTTCATTACCTTCATTTCGTATTTCAGGTAACTGAATACATTAGAGAAAGTCCTGTCAGGAAATCGCCGTGCATATTCTCTTTGGGCAGCTTTTCCATTACCACCATAGACATACAACATGTCTGCATATTTATTATTATTAAATTTATGTGGCATTTTGAGTAAGTGATAACTATTTATTAACGATTAACGTAACAACACAATACACAGGTACAAACTCTCAAGTTCAACTAACGTCAAAATTGTACTCTGACATCAGCCAACTTGAAAATTACAACAATCCTAGTTTTTTGATTTTCTGTTATGTTCAACGTTATCTCTGTTGAAAACAAAGTTATGACTTTTCGGAATGGGCGTTGTTCCTTATTTTCATAATAATAATTGTTGTTTCAAATTCAATAAATGAATGTTATTACAATTTTCTTGCACATCCTGTCCTCTCGTTTTCCAATTAGGTTGAGATCCAAAAATCAGGAGAGTAAGAAATAGTTGATGATTTCATGGTTTGAGAATGGAAAAGTACCATTTGGGGACGACAATTAATTTTTTTTCCAATTTTGTGCCACCTCATTATCGAAACATCTAGATTTGACTCAAGTTAATAGGTATAAAAGTTGTATGCGGAAACACACAATACATTCAGCCTGACTTATTTTTTCCTGCTCTTTTCAAATTTGTGAATGAGAGTCCAAAATATTGATATACAGGGTGTTGTTTCGACTCGAAACCTACTTATTAATTTTTTTAAGGCCGGACCTGGAATGAGACTTCATCTCATTATGTCAATCGTCACATCTGTGGACAAACAACATGTCCACCAAATATCACAAAAATGTATAGGGTGGTTCATAAGTTATGATTAATTGAAAAAAATGTGAAAATTGATAAATCACCCTGTATCTCAGCTACGAAGAATGATAGACCCGTGAAATATGTATTATTTAGAAGCACCTCAGTGTCCTCCGTCTACCCTTACTCTATGCGCATTTCCCAATGAATCACCCTGTATATTTATTACTTTAGGTATAAATTTTAATATAAACATATTCACAGGATAAATTACAAATGCATTCCATCAAGGGTATTTATAGCTTCTTGGGACTGTTTCTCGGTCTCTTTTTGTTTTTCTGAATCAATTGACGGAAGTTTGGATTCCTTTCTATCCTGTTTCTGTTCTTGAACATCAGTCTTCCTTACTTTATTCTCTAACTGGTTTAGAGTTTCATTTATTTGGTCCACATGATTTTTGTTCTTTATATTGATCTGCAATGTAATTAATAGAAATAGGACATAAAAAAACAATTATTTTGAGTACTCACTTGTTTTAATCCAGATTTGACAACTTTTGCTTTGGCTTTGAGTTTCAAACTCTTAGCTCCAGCAACTTTGAAAACTCTATCAATTTTCTTTCTGTCTTTCTTCCCCATCTTCTCCTAAAAAAAGGTATTGGTTAGATATAAAGCAATGATTATGAATATCAAGACCACACCAACCTAAATTATATTTTTTATTGTTCAACTCAAGACTGTCTTCCAACTTCCTTTTCTTACAGTTTCCAATCAGAATATCTCTGTCCAATCTGATTTTTACTCTCATCATTTCTTTTAGAGAACTTACAGTTCTAACCCTGAATATATCTATTATTTTATCACTAATATCACATCTAAAATTGTCTACAACAAGCTTCCTAGCTATTTCCATGTGATTTATTCCTTTTGCAAAGCAATATACATATATTGTAGGAGCAAGAGTAAAATTGGGTAATTCATCAGGCTGGAATAATCCTTCAAAGGTGTCCAAGAACTCAACTGCCATTGCAGGTAAATTCATAATAATGAATATCTGTTGTCCTTTGACCAAGTGCTGTGGTAGATTTTCTTTTATATCATTTTGGATAAATGCTCTGCCATCCTTATTGAAGGATTTAAAGTAAGTTTCACATACTTTATTTGCTTTGAAGTTATGGTTCAGCCATTTGAATGATTCTGGGTTCAAATCATTGGCATAAACAAAGCACTTCTTTTTGGCCACTGGTATAGAAAAAGGGCCCACTCCAGCAAAAACATCAAACAGAACAGCACCCTCACCCATGCCCTTTACTATTCTTTCATGTTCAGTACACAATCTAGAATTCCAGTACACTTTGGAGAAGTCAAATTTGAATGAGCAACTGTTCTCTTTTACAGTGGTAATCATGTTATCTCCTCCCTTAAGTATTTCCATGCTAAAGTTACGATATGTGTTGTCTATTATATTTACTTTATTCACCACAGATTCACAACCAGGTACTTTGTCAAAAAGGATTTCACCAATTATATTTTTATATGGCAACAGGTGTTCCCTTAGGTTCACATGAACAATGTGTCCAATTTTTGTAAAACTAGACACACCTAAAAAATTACTTTGATTCAAATACTACTGTGAAATCAATTTCATTTGCAAGCCTACCTTCTTTATCAACTGGTAAAATACCCTTCAATAGATTTTCTGCAGTATAATTCTCATATTTCACTATGAAGTCCATTGAATTTAAATTGCATTCAGATACAGATAGCTTTTCTAAAGACTCCTGAACTTCTGGTAAAAAACTGCACCATCCTTTAATACTGTCTGGGTTCAAATAGATATGTACATCATCATCAGCATGTTGTACTGGTTTGAACTTCTCTAGCTTCATCAAGCTGCTTTTGATTATAGGTAAAATGGTTTGTAATTGAGATTTGTTTATCATTAAATAAAAGACTTTGATGCGTTTGTCGAGTAGTGGTTTTTCCAGTACTGTTATGCCTCGAATAGTATCAGGGGGCTTCATTTTATTAACTGAAGTATTGTAATCCGAAGATAGCCTGATAGATTTTTTGGAAGTTGAAAGCAGTTTTTTCAAGAAAGCTATCATAAATAGTAGAAATAATATACATACGTTTGAAAATGTTTGACTTGTATGGTAAGAATGGTAAGATGTGTAAACTCAGTTTTTAAACTCTGAAAATCTGACATACATAACCTAACACAAGCACACCAAGCACATTACTTCTTTTTTTTATATTCCTTCCCTTTGCCAGCCTTTGCGTTGCGGACACAGGTATGGAGGACCCCATGACACTGTCTCTTCCACGCTCTCAAGTCTCGAGTCATAAAAAAAAAGAGATCTCTTCGAGGTTATGCAAAAATGTCAGTTAGTAAACAAACATTGAAAATGATCTAAGCAAGAAATAAACATAATTATTGATTAAAACATATATAATAATAGTCTTTAGTACTTTAGTAGAGAAAAGTACTTACTACTTGAGACTCAGACAGTCATGACGGGATAGAAATACTGGCAAAAGTTGAATTTAATGAATTATGAACTCCTTAGGTTTGAAGAAGGGTATATTATGATTATCACTAATTTGAGTTCTATCAAATATCTATCTATTATCATTCTAGTACCAGGTGTTGAACCGAGAGTATTCAGAGCCATTCAACATGTGGACATGGAAGAACTGGCTAAATGTACAGAGCAGGAAATACGTCCTGTTTTACCATGCTTGGTTAGGATGGGGCTAATTTCTCCTATTGATACATCAAAGAAATGTATGAATATGAAGGTGACAATTTTGACCATAGTTTCAGGAATGGAATTAGTTAATTCAATTGTTGCCCTTCTTTCTATTGACTTTCATAAACTGGATACTGAAGTGAAAAAAGAACAACAGTTGAGACAAAAAGGTATATGGGTATGAAAAACCATCATCAAATGTACACTACTTTATATTTCAGGAAATACTCTACAAAATGATTCTATCCTAATTGGTAATCTGTCTAATACCAGTATGGCCCTTGAATATGAAAGAAGTGATATGACTAGAAGGCTGAGTATACTATTGGGTGAACTTATGTACATTCATTCACAAATTCAAGATGCCTCAGAAGCTGCCCCAAGTTCTACTGAATCTACCTCTTTCATCAAACAGTCTGAGTTATTTGATAATGATATTTTTGCAGAGGAATTGGCTGATATAATTTGTATAGCAATTGCTGAATTGCCTACTACTTTGAGCCTCACTACTATCATAGAAACTTTATTACATGTACATAATGGACCTTCAATTATTTGTAGATTAGTGGCGAACTTTCCTGATTGTTTCAAAGAAAGTAAGTGAAGAGAACTTGTAAAATATTGTTTCTACACTAGCATGCAGAAAAGTTCATTTTTCCCCACTCATTTTAGTGCAGAAACAGAAATTTATTATCAATATTATTAATAAATATTTTTTTAAATCTCTTATTGTAGCACAAAGTTCATGAATTTTTTTCACATACTAGTAGCAAAAATAGTGTACCAAATACAAGAGGAAAAGTGTCACTTTTTTTCATCATACTTTCATTTTAGTCACAACCTACTTGATACAAAGTGGGGAAAAGCAAGAAGAAAACATTTTCAGTGCTGTGAGAGCAAACACAATATCTTTGTTGTGTAGAATGAATCCAACCCAGGCTTTGTCAATCAGAAGTAAATGTGTAGAGTTATGTAGGATGCCTGCTTTAGCAATAACTTTGACTTTGGAGCATAATGAAATGAACAGTGATAAGGATATTGAGGGAGATATGGTTGCTTTCATATCTGGATTACTACTGGGTAATGATCAAACAATAAGGTAGGGTCATTTTCACTCCTCATAGTTGGGTAAACTTTTACTGAAATTCTCAAAAGAGTTCAAATTTTAATTTATTGTCAAATATAATGGTGAAATTTTTTGTTAATGAATTCATGCAAAGTTTAAAAATGTGGAAACTGTTCACATGTTTTTTTAAGCCAAGTTTTCAATTATTTTCCTATATATTATTCATATTTGAAATGGATTACATATATCATTTTCACATTACACCCTTTTTTGTCCCAATTAAATCAACTTAGACATAATATCATCAGCCCAAAAACATTTGCAAATGACCTTTTTTGTGTAAAATTAAGAAGTTACCAGTGAAATTCCTTTACATTCCATGCAAAGTCATATGGTTTCATGAAATAAATAGTACTATGAAAAAATCCTAGAAAAAATTATTAACAAAGTAAATGAAGAAAAATTGATTGAATAATAGGCCCATTCAAAATTAATATTCTCAAAAATTGGTATATGTCCAGGTATATGTGCTTGAAATTTGAGGAAAAATCAGTTTTCTATTTGTTATTTATTTATGAAATTCTGAAATTCAACCAGAAATGTTGTCCCAAAAGAATTAATTCTACTGATTTAATGACCTGAATGAAAACTCAAACCAACATATTTTTTCTAATTTTGACTTGTAATTTGATACTTTTCACGAGGGGTAAATCTCATTGGAAGTCTGGTGTACACTCCATTGGAAGTCTTTGGAATTCTTTGGAAGTCTTTGGTAGTCTTTGGAAGTCTTTGGAGGTCTTTGGTAGTCTTTGGAAGTATTTTGAAGTCTTTGGGAGTCTTTGGAAGTCTTTGGGAGTCTTTGGAAGTCTCTGTTCATTGGAAGTCTCTGTTCATTGGAAGTCTGGTGTACACATTTCTCCTGGAGATTTACCCCTCAACTTTTCAAAACTGATGGAAATTTTTAAACAGTTTTCTTCATGTAGTCAAAAGTGGGAATTACTTTCAGCAAAAAAATGTCCCATTTGGCATGGACTTCCAGTCACTGTAAATACTCACCAGCAAAAAAAATCGGCTACCAAAAAATTTAGCCAAATTGTTCATCCTGTAACTTTTTTAATTTTTGTCCGATCTCAGTATATTTTCAAACAAATCATATATTCATGTTTCCGAATGTTAGCCTGACCATTAGTTCCTAAGAAAAGCTGATGGCTTGATCATTATAAAGGAAAAACAAAAGTTTCTCGTTCACCAATAATTATTTACTCCCAAACAGTGAGTTCAACATGAAAAAGTATAACCCGTGTTTTCTTCCAAATCATGATTTTCCACCTACCGGAGCCATTAAACGGTCCAAAATTCGTAGTTGATTTGAAGTCACTATTTATAGGAGACTGAAAATGAAAAAAATGAAGCCAATCCTGTTAATTCGGATTTAGGTGATTTTTTGCATATGAAGGTTCCAAAGCATGAGGAACAATAATATTTCAATAAAAACGCACGACACTGTCCAAAATAATGTGCATCTCTGTAAAACTGATAATATTGATGGTTATTTATAGCACACCAAATTTGGTAGGAATCGCATGACATACCTGAGATATAAAGGGGGGTCGTTTAAAGTGGGACACGCTGTATATCACAATGTATGACACATTTTTTTCTCTAATATATGAGTCAACTATAAATATGATTTTCTTGAGATATATCCATATTTAGTGGAAAGAAGGAAGAATATCATTTGAAATAATGGCGTCCAAAGCAATCTATTGACATTTGACATCTCGTATTTGGATTCACTATTGATTAAATGGCCGTCCTCTGGTATGCTTGTTACTAAATATGAAAAACTCGCCATAAAAATCACATTTTCTGTTGAATTTTCTATATAAAAATGTGTCATTGAAGTACATCATGAGTACCTATATATAAAGTGTCCAATGACAAAATAAGAAGAGCAAGTAGCTGTAAATGTCCCCAACACAAGGGGAGAAAGAAGGCGAAATTTCGAAAATTTTCTTGAAATATCTCGATAAATAGTGGTTTGTTCACATTTTCATTATCAAATTTGTATTCGTAAGTACCGAAAAAAATTTTCGAAAAAAAAAACATCGCATGATAAATGCAGTTTTACCGGCAGTAGGTTAAGTATAGTACATAATGCGTGTTCTAAAGCAATTACGCACTCATGGAATGACTCACTCCTGACTTTCCATTCGGTCGTAATATGCTTCTTACAACACATATTATGTAGTATACTATTCCGGTAAGTACTAAGAAAAAGAGGTAGAAATAAGTGATAATATTAATTCTTTAAGCAATAAGTTCATGTAGTTTCTGATTATTGGTAAAAACTTTCTCAAAACACTCGTATCTTCTCTTAAAAATAAGATATTGACGTGAATCAAAAACTATTGTGCTAAGACGGGATCACACTTCAATCCGAAGCTGAGTTCAACCACGCAATTTTGCCATAGGGCGTTGAGAAGTATAGAGTGGAAGACTATCTTTGGTTTTCCCTGTATGAGGAAAACTAATATTTAGGCCAACGTTCCGGAACATGAATCTACGATTTGATCCAAATTTCATAAAAATCGGACGAGGATAAAAAAATTACAGGCTGAACAATTTGGGCAAATATTTTGTTGGCCGGTTTTTTTTTCGCCGATGAGTGTCGATAAAGTAACTTTTTCCTACAGAAATTGGATTGCATTATTCATCAGAACTGGACAGAAGAGAAAAGGAGAGATTTCAAGCAATGCTCTACAGCAACTAAGAGAGGAATTATCCAGACGTTTACAAAAAATTATTGAAACTTCAACTGAAGGAGAACTACCTGACACAATGGTTGTGCAAGCTTCTGCCTTACTAAGGTTGTATTGTGCACTAAGAGGAATAGCAGCAATTAAGTAAGAACTAATTTGAATAGTTGACTTCTGCTGTTCATATAAAATGTATCAAAATTTAATTCAGTTCTTTCTAATTTTTATTTAATATTTTTCTGCAAGAAGGAATAACTATGATAGATTTTTATAGATTCCAAGATGATGAAGTGAATCTCATTGTACAACTCTTGACATCCCATCCAAATCCTACACCTGCTGGTGTCCGTTTTGTGTCCCTTGGACTCTGTATGTTGATTGCTTGTCCATCTCTTATTTCACAGCCTGAACATGAGAGAAAAAGTATAGAATGGGTAAGATTTTCTCATTTTGACATGAAAACTTCATTCTGAGGCTATATTCCGAATTCAACTGACAGTACTGAATCTGCTGATTTTCCATTCCAAAATCAAAAAATTCACTGGAAGTGACAGATGCTTGTCAGCAGACATACTATTCATTCCAAATATTTCGACTCAACATTCTGCTGGAATTGCTGAGTATCAAAAGGTAGTGTGGCTTCAGTGAACTGTCATATTTTAGAGGGGGAAGGAATGTAACATTCATTTCCGTTGTTAATGAAATGATTCTCAATATCAGAAAATACCTGGGAGTATGAAGTAGTAGAGCAAGTAGGGAAAGGAGCAGCATTGGCTAAATAAACTGAATAAACCTTGAATGTCTCCTAAAATTCATCATTATTAAGGCATATTGCGATTTTCATGAATCTCAATTCTCAATCTGGTGCACCATGAAAAATTTATGGCAGCAAAATGTCCAAGTATTCTTCATCACTCGAGCTTGAATCGCCATCGTCAACAATCGTAGAAACTATAGAGGATACAAGAATCGATTTCTCTTCCATGTTAAATATTAAATTTCCAATATTTATAACAAGTAGGAGGCTAAACATCTAGTTCAGATAAACGAGAAACTACTACTGATGAAAACCATGAAAACGTGTCCCGAATTACAGTAGTGAATTTTTGATTTTATATTTCGGAACACAGATTTTCAGCAGAGTCAGTGGATCAACTGACAGTACTGACCAGTTGAATTCGGAATATAGCCTGAATAGATACAATATCTTGCAGCTTGTCATCAGTGTCATAGGGCAAGTAGACTGATAATGAATTATGGGGACTCAATTACTCCACTGTGTTGCTAGGGACTTGAAACATTTTTTCTAACACTTATCACGCTTTTTTATGTGAATAATGAGTGTATGGGTTGTTCAAAATTCTTGAATTTCAGAGCTCATTTCAAACGTACCGTCACGGCCGCCATTTTGCCCTGTTCTGCGATACGTTGAATAAATGGTGACCTCAGTTTTTATGCTGTGTTATTATTGGTTAGATAATCTTTCATTTCCACTCACCAAATTATGATCAATGTATCAAAAAGATGTTCTTACAGTCCTGTCGTTGAATAAAACATAGAAGGAGGAAGCCATGCATTTATAGTTCATTTTTTACTTTATGAGCAACCGGCATGTCTATATATTTTGTATACTCCATAACAAGATATTATGTAAGTGTTAGAGACATGACAACATGTGCTGAATGCTGAGAACTGACAAGACAACGCCCACAATTCGTGCGCTGTGTTGTCATGTATACCGGTTTAAATATCCTTCAGTTTGAATTAATAAAATTATTATTCACACTAATGCAATGCATTTTTTATTGCTCATTAGGAATATTACCAGTAGATAATTGAGAATCAATGAATTATTGAATAACAAATATTCCTGAAGTTCCCGATCGTATTTCAACAAGTGTTCTATGGTTTGTCCCTACTTACGAAATCGTGACGTCAGTTTTACTTGCGGTCAATTTCTAGTCGTTTGAAAATTATGTACGGTGGCATTATTGATAATTTCAGCACCTCAAAATCGACCAGAGAATTCTAAAAAAAATATGAAATTGAAAGATATTTGAGTGATGATTCTAATTAAGAGATGAAAAAAAGTCCACTTTCTCATTCTAGAGCACGTGATTTCGACATGGTTTCTTGGAGAGCACATAAACTATCTGTTAGGTTTGCTTTGATGAGCATGGCCCATCCAGAATACAATAACAGATACACCAAACAAAATCATGAAATTAATATAGGTTCCAACTCGGGTTCCAAGGAAAACGATCCCACTAATAATTCTGGTTTCATATGACAAAATACAATGTTTGCCATCCAGAGACCTGAATAAGTAATCAACAATGGGGAAGTTTCCTTCAGATGAATTTTCATAAAATAAGTTTGGAACTCTCCAGTTTTATGTCCACGCTGTACAGAATGGCGACCGATAAAGTCCAAGTCGTTTACATTTTCAAATTGAAGCAATTTCTCATTTTTGGGGCGGCAAACTGTGAGATGCATTCTGAATCTAGTCTGAAAATAGCTGATGGTGAAGAATATAGCTAGTGAACGAATGAAAAACGAATGAACAAAATAGAAGAAGAAGTAAAACTGGTAAACAAAAACATACATAACCACAAATGCACTCGTAGCAGGAATGCAGAGGGTAGTTGGCTTCATTCTGACAGGTTATGGTTCTCTTATTTATGCATTAAAATATCTCGAATAGAGCTCGATCGTAAACGAAAATATCATTGATTCAATGAATCACTATCGGCTACATTCATTGATACTATCCTTCCTAATTTACTCTCATCGGTCAGAACAGAATGAAGCCGACACCTATGGCTCCTCCTCTTGTTGTGCCTGGCAGTATTTTGAGTAGTGTTGACAGACTCGAAGTATTAGGCGCTCTTGCAAGATATAATCTGCAACTTTCCTAGAAAATTCCATGAGCAAAAAATGTATATTTATGTAAAATATCATAATTTATCTTTATTAGTAATCAACTTCACTCAGCCAATGAGAGATTTATGGGGATTATTCATTATACTTGACAAAGTAGGATTGAAGAACCTATTATATTCCATTGCTGTTATGATACAATTATTATGCATTCAAAGAACAATTTCTGGAAACCTAGACATATTGATGATGTCGGCAACGTCGTACTGGCACAGGGAATCGTATTTGAACTCTGTGTGAATGTGGATTTTCAAAAAGTACGTCATAGGAATGGTGGAGGAGCCAAGTTCCTCTTTTATTTTTATTTTTTTCTGAAGTGAAATTTCATCTTACGAAAAAAAGGAAAAATACGTATATATCAATTTTTCACAAACTTCACAGTGAGATAACTATCAGTTTTTGTTCAACCTTTGTGTGAAAATATGGTCAATTATCAAAATTTTAACTGGGAAAAGTGAGACATTTTGTCTTATTGTGGAATGTATTTTCATTTGAGAATGTAAGTAGTCATTTTCGAATTTTTCCCTGTTTATTCTCAATTTTCTTAGAAAATTGATTTTATATCAATAAATATCAGTATCTGGCAGGAATATTTACTAGAAATTTGAAACATCGTTTGTTTTTCGAATACCTATTTGATTGTATATGAATAGAATGTAGTATAGAAAAAAAAGAACACAAGCTGTATAAAGTACATGAGGACGAAAATAATATAAATAAAATGCATATTGAGCATAGTACCTACAGGTAAAGCAGGAATTGGATAAAATTCAAATACGAGGATAGATGCAATATAAACAAAATAAAAATACGGTGTATATACCTTATAGGAGGATAGGCATGATGCATAATATTTTGCAGTTATTTCGAAAGTAAATGAATTATTATCCATGGCACACTTGACTAAAGTAAATAAATTATTATGAAGTATTTTCGTCAGTAATATTCAATTTATGTTTTTATTTGTAATCCAATCGCATATAAATTACTATCATTAGATTCGCCAAAATATCCTTTTTTCGGAAAGTGCTTGTCAAAAAATGGTCGCCATTTGAAAAATAATAGTTGGACACGAAAATGTAATTTTGCCAACATGTCTTATTCATATCTATCATACTTGTCACTAAAACTTCGCGATTGTAATTTTCTGATATCACCTGAGGTCCTTAGATTAGTTTACTTCAAATCATGGCCACCTAGATGTAATTTCAAAAGTGACTCCGAAAATATTAAGTAGGCATAAAAACTTTCGAAAATGTCACATTCTGATCTAGAATTGTCTCAGAAATCCAAAAATACAGAACTGGAGCCATTTCCGGTGAAACCGGAAGTGACCGGAAAGAGAAAAATATGTGAAAACTCTCCTCTTCACATATCATTCACCTATAACAAATCTCATTTTGATACACCTATTGGTCTAGAAGTTATTTGTCTAATAGATTCGTTGACACCCAGTATACAAAAATTTCATTGACATATGAAAAAATAGATAAGAAACAACATATAAGTTCACGGACAGTCATACATTGTTTAAAAAGATAGGAGATTTGGTACTTATGTTTCACTTTCAAAGTAACTCCAGATCAAATATCTTGGATAGGAGAGAATGAACTCTTTTAGAGCTTTCTTGAATATTGATATATTTGTTATGTTTTAGGTTCAATGGCTGGTCAAAGAAGAAGCTTATTTCGAATCGGCCAGTGGCGTAACAGCCTCCTTCGGCGAAATGCTCCTTCTCATGGCCATCCATTTCCACAGCAACCAATTGAGCGCCATTTGCGACCTAGTTTGCTCGACGCTCGGTATGAAAATCGTCATCAGACACAACAACATGACCAGAATGAAGCAGGTCTTCACTCAGGAAATTTTTACTGAGCAGGTCGTTACCGCACATGCTGTCAAGGTGCCGGTTACCAATTCGTTGAATGCCAATATGACAGGTAGGCTGGAGCAGAGTAGTTTTATTTGACTATGTTATGTGAAATACATGATTAGCAAGTCATAATTACAGTGGCGATGGTGCTTATGGATGAAAAAAAATTCAAAATAATTTTATCCTGAATCAGTTAAGTGCAAAAATACTTTATAAGTATGCTCACGAACGCAAATGCTGTCATATAATGGTAAAGTACTTTTTTCGGCATCCGTCCGGGAAGTGCTCACTTCCCGGACGCAACATATTTCCGGCCTAGTACGGGAAGTATCACATCGTTGTTGCCACTGTAACTATGAAAATCTTGGTAGATATGGTTTTGATAAATGCAGATGATTATTACTATAGCAGCTAAATATCGGCTGATAGATATTTGTCATGAAATTAGTTGACATTTTGATTTTTGAAGGTTTGGTTGCAATTTTCGGCTATAATGGGCTTATTATATCACAAAAAAATTATTTCATAATTCAATAGAACTCACCCAAAATAGCTCACCACCGCAAACCGTTTCTTGATGTGAGCTGCCTATGTTTTATAAAAAATTATTGAAATCCCCGATTTTTCGGACCTCTGAAAACGAGGCGATGATGTGACGTCAAAACCCTAATACTGAAACTAGACTTTTCCAGACAGAGATGAATGATACATGATTTCTGACAGAGTGAATTAGCGCGAGATCACAGTTGAAAGAATTGATATATCAGTTGCCTCACTCTCCGTCGGGCGTTTGGTATTTTCTTTTAACTATGGCGAGATGAGGTTTCTACGTCATAAGATGGTCCGTTTTCAGAAGGTACTATTATTTATGTCCAAAAATAAAATATTCCAGTTAATTTTTCGATTGAATTATGACGTCAATCATTATTTATGTATAAAATGATCATTATAAACATGGTTTGAGTTAAAAGTTCTACTAAGGTGTACACGCCCATTGCACTAGCGCATAAAAATTACCGATAATTTGACAAGAAAGCCTGTTATCTATAAATTGCAATAGTATATTTTCATATTTTGGCGAAAAGCCCGAGTCCTAAGGAGGAGGGCTCTTCAATTTGTATAAGATAACACGCTTGAATGCAAAATCGTCTGGTCATTTTTATGCACGAATGTCATTCGTTGGAATTTTTCACGAAGTAAGGAATTCTGTCTGTTGGATTTGGTATTTTTTGGTTCACTTTCATTTATACTCTCCTAGATAGATTGAATGGAGCACTCACATTTTTATCACTTTTTGAAGTCTATCTGACATTTATTTGTATTGTTTACTGGCGTCTAGCGAAATCGCTTTATGAATGTGTTGTTATGGCGGCGAGATCTCTTCGCAGTGCAATCTTCGCTCTGCAGTGCAATTACCACTGTAAGTTTTCGATAATTTCGATAACAGTCAGTATAGGTATAGGTATTGTGTTCAAATTTCAGTATCAAACAAATGTGAGTTAATAAAGAAAAAATTGTATTCTACAAAGAAATATAATATGGAAATGTGTCTCATAGATTTGTTATCCTACATGGTTGCCGAACGGCTTGACCTAGAATTTAGTTTACTCGTCCAAAAACAGTATTCTCCGGGCTTGTTACGTAAATTACTATTCTGTGATTTCAGATTTTTCTGTTATTGAGATACATTCAATTCTATTGAAAAAATTAAATTATTTTTATTGCTATGGTTCAGAATAAACAGATATTGCCAAAACATGAGGAAAACTCATTTCAAGATTTTCAGACACATTGTTAGTTTTAGAAAATTTTAAAAAATTCATATCTGACTCAAATCAAAATAGAACTCTTCAAGTCGAATAACAAAACTACAAAGAACAAGAAAAAAAGAACATGAAAATACTCACAAACATACAAAATTATAGTGGTTCAACTATAGCACACTTTGAACATGAAAAATTTGTTTGTTGAAACTCTAAACTGTACTAACTTCCTTGTGGTATGTTTCACAAGGAAAGAGTGTTCCGATTTATAGTTCTGGGACAAAACTCACCTCACATCTAATCTGCATTTCCAAATATCTCATGATTTCATCATCACACAATCAATCGTTTTACGAACCTCATCGACTCCACCATAAATCTGAGAAGCTACCCAAAGAACATGTGTTCCATTGGTGCAGAAAACGTTGTTGCTTTTTTGAGTAAGACGTCCATCAGAGACTAGTTGATTTGGTTTCAAAAAAATACAAGAAACTAGCAGCAATAACGACAAAATGCAATTTGAACTCACGGTGTCAATTTTGTTAAACCAACTGCGTGGTGGGGTATACATATAATACCCTGAACAACTTACGAGAGTTATAACTCCATCCTTGTTTAAATTAAAGTGATAAACTACTCATTACAATATGGAATATCATGAAATGAACAGCCATTGCTCTGTATGGGAGGATAGACACCCTTACCAGAAATTGGCAACTGTATTTTGTACCTCTGGGGTATATCATACCCCACTACACAAACGAAGGTTAATCAGTAGCAGACAAAAACTCCTTTTTCCATAATGACAAATTGAAAGTTCACAAGTTGTCTTTCTTTCAAGGTTTCTTACCCATTCATTGCATTCATCAGTTATTGAAATCAAGAGCTTTCGCCAAACATAACGTCAACATCAAAAACTGGATCTACAAACAGATCTGTACGAGCGTCAGTCCTCTTCATCCAGTATTAAGAATGCTCATCGAAGTATACGTGAACAGCATCATCCTACCGAACGCGAAAAATTCCGAGCATTGCAACAAACCGCTTTCCGAGAACGAAATTCGAAGGGTCTACCAGAGTTCGATATTCGGCCAATATTTCGACCAGAAACAGTCGGTTTTCACAATGGATTTCGACATGAATACAGAAAACCAAGACGTAGTAGTCGACGCTTCAAGTTTGACACCTCAACTTCTCTTGTTGTACTATCTCTTGCTGTACGAGGACTGCCGGTTGAACAATGCCCACATTCTAGCTACGAGCAGCAGGAAGATCAAGAGATACACTTCTGAATTCATGTCTGAATTGCCAATAAAGTATTTGCTGCACCATGCCCAAAAAGATCAAAGTTCATATTCAGGTAAGCAAAAAATCAGTACAAGCATACATTTTTCATCGCCTTGAATACCACTAACATGACAAATCGGTAATAGTAATTTTCCCGCACGCGAATGCCGTTGACCCGAACGCCGCGAAGTTCCGGCAAGCAGTCGAGTGCGGGAAAGAACCTTTCCGCATGAGTTAGGAACACTATTTTTTCTACAAGCGTAGGAAATTGATTGATTTGTTCATCAATTATTCCTGTAAATATGAACAACTAACAATAGTGATATAGTCTCTATCTTATAATAATTAGTGATATATCTATTGTGTGTACCGTTTGAAGCATTATGTAGGTAAGCTTATTGATGTTTGGCCTCTAGGTTTCAGACATTCCTAGGAAATGAGCCAAAAATCCTCCTTCTTTATTTGGTGTTTTCAATTTTTTACTATTGCACCATTCAATAAATTCCGTGTAGTGCTTCTCATACCTTTCTTATTAAGACGTCGTTGGCAATAACTCATCTGTATCGCATCTGTTGCTGGAAGTTTTTGATCGCAATTCCACTGAATCGAAAATGACAGTAAAGCTCTGTCTGTCACTCTGAGTATTATAATGAAGATGATGAATGCCCTAATTTCGAGTGACAATGGAAAATGAAAAAACTCCACCGCCCCGTGTGAGACTCGAACTCACAACCTCTTGGTTACATGCCCAACGCTCTGCCAATTGAGCTAACGGGTCATCCGTCGATCAATCGGCAGGGAAGTTGAGTTCTCATCACACACCAGGCGGCAGAATCCTTCCAATTCCCGAAGTCACTCGAAATCATGCACTATACGAAGCATCGCCGGCAGGATGGTACTATACAGTCTCCATATTTCCCCGTTCGTCCTCCTGCATTGTCTTTCCTTGTATACAGAAATGTCCGCAAGGAATCTATACAGAGAAGTGAGTGATAATTTTTGTCGGTTACTCGACCGAAAAGATACATATAATAATGAAAATGATGAAAGCCCTAGTTTCGAGTGACAATGGAAAATGAAAAAACTCCACCGCCCCGTGTGAGAGTCGAACTCACAACCTCTGGGTTAAAATTTTAAAAGGAATTCAAGAAACATTTACTTCTGTAATATTGACATCTCATTTTTATAGTTTTCTCGTACATTTAATATAGTTTTCCATTGGGTACCTAACAGCTGAGTCAATTAAGAATCATTTTCAGTTGAACTTAAAAAAAAAAGATTTCTCCTTGAGTCTTATTTTACTGTCTCCTTTATTTTGTCAGATATAATTATATATTCTCCATGTTCCCTGCTATAAACAAATGTTGATTCTTGGAAATAATAAAGTTGATTGAATGATTGATTCATTTATCTCCAAGATGGTGAACGCTATTCAAACAAAACAATTAGATTAGATTCGCCAGGAATGAGACAGGCAAAAGAGTTTATCAAAAAACCATCGCCAACATTCACAGAATATCTACTAAGCCAGAAACGAAGTTCAACTAGAATACTAGTGGGACTTCTCACAGGGCATTGTAGGCTCAACAAACACATGAGTACGATAGGTCTGATCGAAGAACTGCTGTGCAGATTCTGTCAAGAAGAGGAAGAAACAGCAGTACACATACTTTGCCACTGTGAGGGCTTGTCAAGACTAAGGTTCCTTACGCTGGGTGAGGAAAAACCAGGAGCCCAGAGATACACAGGAGATCTGAAAGCTAGCCTATGGAGTCTCATAGAGAAGGCGGGGCTAGCCGAAGAACTCTAATCGATTTTGAGGACAGACACAATATATCTGAAAAGGTCGCAGTGTGGAGGCAGGTAGCCCGAAGGCCCCATTCCATATCTAATCTAATCTAACTAAACAATAGACCCATTTTCAAGTAAAAATGATGATATTTTCATATTGCATAAACAAAAAAGCTGGAGGAAAAATTGCCCTAACCCCTAACTCCTATTTCCCACGCCTCTGATCAAAATTTCTAAGTATTCTAACATTTTCAAACTAGGCATGAAAAGTTAGGTACGAAATTGGTCATTTTATACCAAAGGGTTTCGAATATATTCACGAAAAACCTCCATCTCATCTGCCTTCAGATGATTGTAACCCCCTAAGGGACAATTTCTGGGTCCCCATATTTATATAAACTTTCATTACTATCTTTATTCCTAGAATCTCCAGATAAAATATTTCTATCTAGTCGGGACACCTTCTGTATCTTAAGGCAACCTTTATTCTCTTGGAAGAGTCACAAATCGATTGTCAGTGGAAGTAATATGTCCTGCCCTCTGTTCGTTTCATTTCTTTTAGGACTTTTTGGACCTTTGTTGAAACTACTTGCCACCCATTTTCCCCACCTGACTTTGGTGGAAGACTGGCTGGATGATATGGCGCTCCACACAGATTACAAACCGGTACACTTGAGCGAATTGTCTGTAGTGGAAGCTTTCAATGAAATTGAAAAACAACCTTCCAAATGCGCCAAAGTATTGCAAACTTTGCTGAAACGAGAAGCTATCGACATCTGGCCATACGTGGAAGTTTTCGCCCAATATGCGAAAAACTTTTTGGGAGACAATGTGCCGCGATATCTGCAAGATTTGTACAGGGATGTTTGGTTCAGACTGAATACTGTTTTACCTAGACGACTGTGGGTTCTGACTGTGAAGAATCTAGTGGACGATTTTTCTAATTTTTCTAGAATTGATGTGGCCGAAGATCCTCTACAAGTAGGTACCTATTCATTCGAATCATGTGGAGCTAAAAAAACCAAACTATACAGGGTGTTTCATAATATATGCGCACGACTATAGGATGTGACAGCTCGTCCAAAAATATAAAAAAAATTCTAGTATCTTACCTTCTAAATGCCCCATTGTTAAGAAGGTGTTGAAATTAAGAAAAAATCCATTTTTGCTAATATCTCTGGAACCGTTTATCGCAAAAAAACAGCTTCCATAAACAATATTTACTCACAATACTCTATGTTTTGTGCGGATCTTTTTATAGTCATTATTGTTGAAGGTTTAAAGGAGTAGTGGGTGCTTTCCAGCTTCTACGCCACTGGAAAAATTACAGTTTTTGAGGCGCCCATTTGAACCGTCCCTGTTTTCTATACAAAAAAGATGGTCCTAGTCATAAGCTCTAAAGTTGAAAGTTGAACACTTTTGAGAAAAACAAAACATGGTCAATTTTTTGAAGTAAATATTTTTTCACCAATTAAACAATTCAAACTTCAAAACATGAAGTAACAAAACCTAAAGTTGAGTCCATAAAACAATAAAAAATCGTACTCACTTGAAATAATTGTTGGAAATGTCCGCCGTCAACTGCAAGGCACGCAGCAAACAATTAATTTCAAAAAATTTCCTATATATTTCAACATAATAAAAGTTGATTCTACTCTAAAACGGCCATCTTGAGAGCTTATATGACCATGAGCACTATTTTTGTGTAGAAAATTTTGGCGGTTCAAATGGACGGCTCAAAGAAGTACCTACTTTTTCCAGTGTCATAAAACTTGGAGAGAAAAACAAACACTACCCCTTCAAAATTTGCGCATATATTATAAAAACCCCTGTGTAATTTTGATTCCTATGCTTCAAATAAATAATTTGATTTTTCAGATAATGAGGTGCGATGAAAGGGTTTTTAGATGTGCACCCATGTACGCCATAGTGTTGAGAGTGCTGAGAGCGAGCTTAGCATCTTCCAGAAGCCAGTTAATGCAACACCTTCAATCGAATTTGCGACTGGATAATAATGGTCAAGTAGTTAATGAAACTGACAGAGAAGATATGTGTCGTGCATGCATTGCTGCACAGGTAAGCTACTTTTGATTCAATGGAGACGGGGTGATGTGACATTGAAATTGAAACGATGAAAATTGTGTACGTTTGGGGCAACCAGGATGAACAGAAGATGGTGTAGAAACTCCTATCAAGTCCCATCTACTGTTTTCGGTCAAAGTTCTTGACCTATGGCCTACTTGACAGAAGGATTCTTTTCAATATCGCGGAATATAGCTCGCATTTTACCCGTTAGATGGTGAAATCTCAACTAAAATTCAAGGTTGTCAGAGCTGATAATAATAAAAATTCCCCAAAACTTCGGTATGTAAGCGCCGTTTTCTGTTATCTGTAATGAAAGAAATCTGTAAAAAGTGTCGTCATCTTGCGGTCAACTGAGCACTAATATGCCATTATTGCGGAATCTGCGGTCAAGCAAGTGTTTTAGCAGAAACAAAACACTGTCTGTGATTACACCATATTCTATCCACCTTGGGACTCTTGTGAGCAACTACTGATATTACCTTTGTTCATATTTCATTGCAAAACCTGCGCCTACTAGCAATTCCACCTACTAATATTAATAGATTGGCGGCATTGTGAGTGTTGGATCTCTATCTGCTTAGGTGCCGAGGTGAGGAAGAACTTTTTACTCTTCTTCTTCTTTTATTTTTCCTAACAATTCTAACCTCAATAATCCTACAATTTGTAAATATTATGAAATATTGTCTAATTTTAATTATGTGATTACAAAAATATGGAATCACGTAAACGTTACAGGCGAAAGTCTCGATCGAGATCTCGGTCCGCGGATCGTTCTAAAAAATATCGAGGTCGTCAAAAAAATATAGAAGATTACAAGTATGAACTCCAGCAGTTTTTGGAATCTCGTGCTGGTATACAGAATTCAGATGACTTCTGGAGGTTCTACCAAAAATATTCTTCCCTCAACGCCTCCAAAAAGGACGAGACTATTGATAGAAACAAATTATTGAATGTGACTTTCATAGAGAAAACATCTCTCTTGTTTGACAAACTGCCAGTCCTTGATAGAAAAGGAGATAAAGTGTCTATTGCTTATGAGGATTTCAAGAATTTTCTTATAGCTATCAGAGTGTACCAAGACTTTCAGCAAAAATCATCTTTTGCAAAGCTAAAAAAGTTGCGTTCAGCTCAAAAAGATTTGCCAATTGTTCAACACAAAACTGAGATCCTTGAGAAACTGAAAGACTCTAGAGTCATGTTGATTGCTGGAGACACAGGTTGTGGAAAATCCACACAAGTTCCTCAGTATGTCTTGGAAGCAGGTTATAACAAAATAGTTTGTACACAACCTAGACGTATAGCCTGTGTCAGCTTAGCTAAAAGAGTTGCCTATGAAACATTAACAGAGTACAAGAATACAGTTGGGTACCAGATACGGTTTGAGAAAACCAAAAGAGCAGATACAAATATTGTTTTTATGACTGAGGGTTTGTTATTGAGGCAGGCTTCTGAGCAAGAAACTCTGGGTTCTTATGATGTGATTATACTGGATGAAGTACATGAAAGAAATTTACATGGTGACTTTCTAATTGGTAAGTAAAAGTTGAAAGGCTTCCATCTTTGTAAAAATTATTTTCCTAGGAATAATGAAGTGTCTTTTACATCAGAGAGACAACTTCAAGCTCATACTAATGTCTGCAACAATCAATATTGAGCTTTTTTCTCAGTACTTCAAAGAAGAAAATGTGCAAGTCATTCAAGTACCTGGTCGTCTATACCCTATTGACATACAATACCGTCCTATAGTGAAAGACCCCTTTGAAAGAAAGCGTGATAAGTTCAATTGTAGTCCATATCTACAGATATTGCAAATGGTAGATGAGAAATATCAGCCAAACCAGAAAGGGGATGTGCTAGTATTCCTGAATGGGTATTCTGAGATATCTACTTTGGCAGATGCAGTTACAGAATATAGTCAGTTGAAACAAAACTGGATTGTCCTGCCTTTACATAGTACTCTTTCTTTGGAAGAACAAGATAAGGCAAGTTCTACTAAAATATGTGTGTTGAAAGTACAAAAAATATTGATTCAACTTTATCTTTGTATGATTCAGGTTTTTGATTTTCCTCCAGAAGGTGTCAGGAAATGTATAATATCAACTAATATAGCCGAAACTTCTGTTACAATAGATGGTATAAGATTTGTCATAGATTCTGGAAAAGTTAATAGAATGAGCTACAATACCAATATGGGTGTTAATAAACTAAGTGAATGTTATATTTCTCAAGATAGTGCCAAACAAAGAGCAGGTAAGCACTGTATTTTCAGTTATTAATATGTTGGTTTGTTCCATAGAAGGGGATATTTTCAAATGAATCATCAATATCTTAGTTTTTATTATAAGAAGTTTTTTTTAACAAAATATTCAGTACAAAAATTCATTAAATCTATCAAAGAAACCAAATAATGGAAAATAATTCATTATTCCTGATTTTTTGGGATTCTCTCTCCTCCAATGGAAAAATAACTCTTATATAAACATATCAACCTGTAAGCACTGTAATTTTAGTTGTAGTTGAAGAGGGATATTTTTCAATGTTTGACAATTTTCTCTAGGAAGAGCAGGCCGTACAGGGCCTGGCACATGTTTCAGAATGTACTCAGAAGAAGACCTGAACAATTTTGAAATGTTCACGCCAGCTGAGATTCATCAAGTACCCCTTGATTCCTTGCTGTTACACATGATTTCTTTGGGTCTCAGTGACATTGCGAATTTTCCTTTCATTGAGAAGCCCTCTAGTAAAAGTTTGGAGGAGAGCATGGAAAAACTGAAGTTTATGGGGGCATTAGAACTGGACAGGAATTGTCTGGCTTTGACTCCTCTTGGGGATTCTCTCAGTCAGTTACCAGTGGATTTATCTATAGGTATATAAAATGAACGTTATATGGACTTATCTGAGTTGGGGTAATTTCCTTTCAGAAATTTTTTCACTTATTTGGTCCAAACATTTTTCTTAACAAATAGAAAACAATATGTTGACATGAATAGTATTTGTAGTTCCCTAATGAATACTACATGTGGTATACCACACGGGTCAGTTTTGGGACCAATTTTATTTTTGATATACATAAATTTGATGCCAACTTTGGAATTGAAAGGGATACTGAATTATTTGCAGATGGCACAAAAGTGATTATGGCCTTGGCTTGAAATTCATAAATTAGCTCTCAATTATAACAAATCTTCATATATCTTTAACTCAAAAAGACCATCTGACACTATTCTTCAACAACAGAATCATTCAATATACAGATATTTGATACCAATTTGGGGAATACAATTATTACATATTGTTTGATACCACTTATGAAATGACAAAATAAAACAATGAATTGCATTTTCAATTCAGATTTTCTACAACCAACTAGGAATCTATACATACCTTAACCCTACAATGCATAATTTTTTAGTTAAATATATTTCTGAGGAGCAGGCCAGTGGATAATTTTTTTTATTTCTTAAATAGAATCATCACTCAAATACTTTTCAATTTCATATTTCTTTAGAATTTTTCGGTCGAATTTTAGGTGCTAAAATCATCAATAATGCCATGGTAATTTTCAAACGGTTAGAAATTTAGCGCGAGTAAAAACTGACGTCACGATTTCGTAGGTAGGGACAGTCCATAGCACAGTTGCCATATGTTGAAATACGATTGGGAACTTCAGAAATATTAGTTACTGAATAATCCTTACATTCTCCATTATGTATTGGTAATATTCCTAATTAGCACTAAAAAATCAATTGTCTCAAAATATTCCCTCATGTGTTGTGGCTTATTTTATTTTCTGTAAATAATAGATATATTATTAATTCACACTAGAGGACATTTGAACCGGTAAACGCTCGGGTAAACGTGACGCAACACGGCGCATGACTTGTGGGCGTGGTCTTGTCAGTTCTCAGCATTCTTTTTGAAATTGAATTGATGTGTTCTGAAATACAACTGGAAAAGTTGTAGTCCTTCTCATTCAGTTGTCCTATTGTCTTCTAGGAAAGATGCTCATAATGTCCACGGTTTTCGGTAACATCAACTCTGTCCTCGCATTAGCCTCTCTCCTGAGTGTCCAAAGTCCCCTGACGCAAAATGCTCAGCGCGACTCGAACGCTCAGGACTTGAGACAGCCCCTCGAATCCAACCACGGTGACCCCATCACGCTCCTAAACTACTACAAAGCATGGTTGACGATCAAACAGATTTCCGTGCCTGTGCAGGGCCGGAGAAAACAAGGGGAGAACTCGAAAACTTGGGCTAGGAAACGTTGTTTGGAAGAACAGCGATTCTACGAGGTGACCAAGCTGTTGGAGCAGTTCAGAGATATCTTGCAAGACGCTGAACTGTTGTCGAAGATGGCAGACACTGACTTGAGTAGCAGCGAGAGGTCCATCAGACATGGGGAGCTGAAGCAGTTGAAGTCTATTAGGTTTCAACTGAAAAATGAGGGTAGATCGAAGACGAGGAAGGTGCTCAAATATGAGATGTATAACGATGATAACCAGGAGTCTGACAAGTCTGATATCAGGGATATAGAGTTTCGAATCGCCAATGATTTCAAAAGGTAATGATAATAATTGAATGAAAATTAAAAAAAAACAATTTACCGCATCTTCAAGAGTTGTTCAATTGAAAATTACAGGCATAAAAGGTAAGGTTTCCCTATCTCTCCTTATTTTCGAGATATTCGCTAGCAAAATTAAATTGTTTTTATGCATCATTCGTTTGCCCCCTTATGAGCAAGCCTCAAAAGTCTTCAAGAGACTTGTGCGAGCAAGAAATGACGGGGGTGGTGGGAAGGGAATCGAACCTACTTACCGGTAATCCAACGTGGATAGAAACTGAAACTTCTACCACGAGGCTACGCTGGCCATCTGGCTCAACTTTCAGTTTTTAACCGAAGTCTTCTAGGTAGAAGTCACAAGGGATTCAAGTGGAGTTATCTTCAGTGATATGCACTGCTCGCCGACAGCCATGGAACCACCCACATTTCTGGAAATTGATATTAGGCGAAAAGATAGGTTGAAAATTTGAAATGTGGACATCCAATTCTCTAACTATTCATATTCTTCCTGAAAATGTTTCAGTTCTGAAAAATTGAATTTACATGATTCGCTAGTGAATATCTCGATAACTATGAAGATGTGGGACAAAGCCTACTGTTACAATTTTCTAGACAATTTTATCAGCTACAATTTTGAATGAATTGACTTTTTTGCTGTAATGTACCGTTCTTGAGATATGAACGATAGATCAAAGAAGGGACCTTCTATGTCGCCCCCTGCACTTGGTTCACCTTGTAAGTTCGCGGACTTGAGGAAATTTCAATTCCTATCTACTCCAAACATATCCCTAGTCTAAAATAATTGTCCTCCATGTCCTATTAGGATTTCAACAAAGATTATGAATTTTATTATTATAGACATCAATAAAAGAGAAGAAATTTGAATACTTACCTTGTATCTCGGAAACGAAGCGTATTCGGACATATGTTTGAATTAACATTTTTTCGTATTCATGTCCAAACAATATTATTCAGTTGCAATCCATCCAATTCTCAGATGTGTCTAGAGTTTGATTTCCAGATTTAAAATCGAAAGAAATTATGAATTTCTCAATTTTGACAAGTAATCCGTTTCCATCGAACACAAAAAAATTTTTTTTTGTCTTGAAATTCATTCAACTTCAATGTCGATATAAATTTTCAGGCGAATCAGACGAGCAATGACAAACTTTTTCGCTATCTTCGAAAAATCATTTCAAATTTTGAACAAAAATTCTAAACATTCAGTAGAAACGGACGAAAAATGACAAAATATTAATTTGAATCGGACGAGAAGTGGCAGATTCGTCCGCCATCTTGTATACGTCATTTACTAATCGTCTCATCGTCTCGGAAAACTATATAGACCGCCAGGTAGTGACAGCTTTTCGTACATGATTTCACCCAGTTTTATTTTTGGAGATCAAGATACTAGGAACTTATTTATCAGGTCAAAATAAGACTTTTTTCTGCAATCGACACACAAGTCGTACATTTTTATACCAAAGTTAGTTCTTGAATTGACGTTTCTGATAGTGACACAAACATAGGTATGGTGCTTGGCAACACTTTTAGTGAACTGAAAAGGATGTACTAGGTTATCAAGAATAAACAACATTGTTATAGTTGGTTATTTGGGACGGGACGCATACCTGATTTGTTCCCGATTTCGGCAGATTTGGCATTCCATGCCCATGCTGGAGATATAAATACACCATATTATAGTTGAGTATTTTTGTTTTGTTCAGGAAAGCCTTCAAGATTCGAATACTTATTCTCGGGATGGATAACTTGTTTTTGAATAATCACGGCCAGCAATAGTTTTTTGTCCCACACAACGATATTGTTTAGCTTCATTTGATTACCGAGCCAAACACACTGGAGTATGGAGAGAAATGAATAATCGCCATTATTATTGTTCTTTTTCTTCTCCCTTGTTTCTTTAACGTCGGCATTTTCTGCTACTGAGGCTAATCACCGACTCCGGTGAACACACTATGCTCACTAACCTAACTCAAACAAAGTGTCACTTTTGATCCTAATGAAACAAGCTACCATTATTTTTTCTTCTGTAAACTGAAAATTTTCAGGTTGGAAAAATTACTCAATGAGAGCTCAGCTGATAGCTTCAAAGATCTCATGATGCTCAAACTGGTTTTAACCAGTGGGTTGTATCCGCAAATTGCAGTTGAAGATGAATTCAACTCCTCCAAAACCGTGTCCGAGCGCTTGTACCACACCAAAAACAAGTGTTATGTGTTTTTGCGACCATTGAGCTATTTCGCAATGAACCCAGAAGTGCTCGCCTTGCACAATGATGATATCGATGTACCGCCCCCTGGGTACTTCAGTAAAAGGCCTATAAGTAGGAAGCACCAGCTTTTGGTGTACCAGTCCATTTTGGAAACGAAGAAGGTTTATTTGGTGAATACGATGCGGATACCGGCGCTGCAGACTTTGTTGTTGTTTGGTAAAACTATTGGAACCAATGGGACGTTGACACAGTTTGTGATCGATGATTTTTTGCAAATTGATGTTCCATATTTGGGTCAAGGTGGGATATGAAACATTATTAATCAGCTAGTTTAATGCACTTCATTGGTATTTGCTGTACTCGGCTAGTCCAAAGTATTCTGAATTGCTATTAATTCCATTCTTCCTTTGGTGGTGTAGCCCTATTAACTTGAATACAGCAGAAAACGAAAACGTAAAGTTTTGCTTCAAAAAAGATGAAAAATAGACTACTCGGTCGGGGTCACGTGATTTCAGCATGATGTCAAGCTATATTTTTCCAATTGATCGCTGAAAATAGGCTCATTTGTTTAAATTGAAAAAGAAAGGTCACTAAGAAAAGTTGTTTCTACTCCAAATTTACATTTATGCCTCGAATTTGAACGTCCCATGACAACTTTCAGTTTAAATATGATTTTCTTCAAAAAATAATAATCCCTGCTTCAAATTTCTGTTATGTTTGATGCAAAGTTGATCATCAATCATTCAGGAGCGAAATTCATTTAAATTGGTACTAAAATGATGCCAACGTTATCTCTATAAAAAAAATAATTTAACTATCTAACCAAAGTTTAGAACAGTTTTGGCGAAATTACAATTAGAAAAAATCAAGAAATATCAAGAATTAACAGTTGCAATAGATCGTTCGAACTCGAGACACATGTGTTGATTCAGAACAGAAAAAACTTTTCTTAGTAAACTTTTTTGAAATTCGAACATTGAAAAAATTCAACTTTTGACATATCGTGAAAGTCACGTCACTTTGACCAAATAAGCAATTTTTCATCTTTTTTGAAGCAAAACTCAACGTCCAAGTCGAATTTTAACTCTATGAATGACACTGTATTATATCTGAGAAGTATGGATATTCAATGATTTTTTTTATTGGTTCTTAAGTGACCTACTAATTGGTTCATTATATCCCAATGGAAATATTTCAGTTTATGGTAACAAAAATAATAGACAGGGTGTCTGTAAAATTCATATGTCAAAAATATACTGTGAAAGAGATATCTGTTTCAAAACATCCAAATTATTCCAAATGCTAAATTTTACGAAAATAACTTTGATAGTTCTTGACTTCTGACTTCTACTCGACTTTTCTTGATAATAATAATAATAAGTATGATAATAATAATAATTTGTTGCAATTCTGAAATATTTCAGGAAAAACGTTGCTTCTACGTGCAATATCACTGAGGAAAAAATGGAAAAAGAAATTGCACGCAAAACTGAAAGACCCAACAGAAAGTCGTGAAAACAAAAAAGAAATGTACCACTTTGCAGAGGATCTGGTGAATTTCATGAACACAGAAATTGGCTACAACATAAAGAGACTCTTACCAGCAGATCTGAAAGGCTTGTACACTTACAGCACGAATTTCTTTGAATGCGAAAAATATCTGGATAAAAATGACAATCCCTTTGACATAGACTTCGACATTGTCAAAAACTATGAAATCGGCGGAGTTAACGTAACGGAAAATGTTGTTTTCGATTGTTTGGTGCAAGAGCAGTGGTCAGCTACCATGGAGGAAGAAATCTTCAACACAGGATTTGAATGTCCTCACTGTAAAACGGTCATGTTGGGATGTTCTTTCTTCAACGTTATTCACCATGAGACTTCTTGTGCAGATAAAGCTGATGGGGTACATAGGGAAGAACAAGTGGTAGAAGAAGAAGTAGTTATCAAACCCAATTCAAAGCCATATCACTGTTCAATATGTAAAAAAGATTTGGTTTTGACACCTGTTGACATATTGAGACACAAAAAATCTTGTAAATAAATATACATTATATCCATTTTATTTTATTTTATATGTCTAGACTCTAGATGATCCACGAAAATATGTGGAAGAAAAAACGTTGTATTCATGATGAGCTTGGGCTCATTTTCGTTAAATATCTTGAGTTGCCCCAATTGTGTATAATATGTTAGTATTATTGACCATTCGAGGCAATAGTTGAAAAAACAGTGATCCTGTAGTAGTAACTTATGTTTTCACACATAAGTCATTATATAGAGCCTTAGAACATTTACATTAACAAGGTAATCCACTTCCAAGTAAAATGTTCAAGCCAAATTTGGCATGGCTGTTTAGTCTAGCGAAACTGATCAAAATATGGATTTGTCTATACATATCATCCAGTGACACTATCGGAATCTGTTCGAGTCCATGTATCTGCGACTTGCTGGACTATCTAGAAATATCCTTGCATTAAAATATCTAATAATGAACTTCGAATATATTCTGAATCACCGATCTCTACCCTTCGCTACTCAACAAACAGTAGTTCACTTTGTCGCTAAGATACCGCTTCCTACTGAATAGAATTTCTCGCTTCATTGTTCTCATAAGGATGGTTCATCTTGGTAGCGTAAATGATCAAGGATAGTTCTCAAGTGTTTGTAGCTATTAGTAGTAAGTGGAGACCGGTTCCAGCTGTCCCTCAAGGTCATAGATAAATTACCTCGGAGAAACCTTCAAGATATATTTGGGTAGGTTGTGGACACCTCAGCCTTGGGGTCTTTGTCGTCATAGATGGGCGTGTACTATTTTTCAAGGCTCGTATGTCATTCTCCGCCTACCCAAGGCCATCATTGAGGAAGGAGGGATGAGCTAGAACCGGCCTCAACATACTACTTCTATGCTCTTTCAACTCACCAGTACTCTTTCAAGATTTGATTGTGAGTAACCAAGGCTGACTGATTTCTCTATTCTTTTAATTATTGTTATGATTATTACAGGAAGCTGCTGCGATTCAAATGTTGATAGAAACTTGTTCTGAAACTGAGCAGGACAAAACCATTCCGGGGAGACAATGGGCCCTGCAAGAGGTTAGGTCTTTAGTGTGCAGCTATTTGCATCAGGCATTTATTGCTGATACAATGTTGTGCAAATTGGTCCACTTCCAGGTAAGAAGATTCAATTTTTTTGGGTTGATAAGGAACTACTCTTAATTTTCTGATGCATAGTTGACTTGATCAATTTTTCAGACATATCCTAGTGAACTTCTAGAAGTTGTCGTGAAGGGAGTCCCTTCGATGCATATTTGTCTCGACTTCCTTCAAGAATTGATGCAGCAGCCCAGTCTGACTAAGCAAATATTTGGGATTCAACTTCTTTCACAGATCAGCTTGCAGTATGCTTTACCAAAAAGTTTGAACTTATGCGTTTTGGCTCTGAATCTTCTATATGCTCTTCTTGGAGGTAAGTCTGAATTCACAAAAATTTTATCAATGATTATATCTTCTCGATAATATCATGATCCATTAAATACAGCTGAAAGTTGATGTCCCATGCAAGATTTGAAATAAGATAGCATTATTTTTTTCACCCCAATGCTGATGATGTATTTAATAAAACTGGTATGTATTCAGTATGACCAAGATCAGGTTGCACAGCATGGGGTTCATTTTCCATTGTCGAACTAGTTCGCTCTGCTAGGTCGTTAGTTTGTTTGTCATGCAACGACTGCAGCGCAGAGATCAGATGCTCGAGAGCAAGAACGGGAATTACTGCTTGACTTTGTAAATGCAGATAGCAGAACTTCGGTCAGGAGCGGAGCCGAGATCACACGAGCGGTTTACTCGAGGGTTCACTGGTAGCGTGAGCGGTGAGTCGGACTCGTGACATGATGAGAATGATGGCCAACATTATTATTGTCCACCAGATCCCGCTACTGAAACGTGAGGTCGGAGTTGATTTGGCCTCTTCCTACGATATTTTCTTCGTTGATGTAGAAATTGGTCGTAAAGTTTCACATTGAGAGTAAAAAAAACGCAAGTCTGCTCAAGTCTTTCCATAACTGACCTTACGTTTAAATAACGCCAACTGGTGAGCCCTCATTGATCAATCACGTCAATCGTTAGCCGTGAACCAGAGTCAATCACAGAACCGTGAACTAACAAACTGAAACAGAGATCGACAACGAGCTAGTTCGCTCAGTTCACTTCAGGGAGCGCTTTTTTGAACTACACGAATCTTCCTCCCATATTCCAGGTGTTTCAAGTGCGCAAAGGGTGAAACTGTTCAAACCAGTCCTGCCAGCGTTAGTGAAAGTGAGCGAGGCTAGGGTCCCTTGTCTCTCGTCTCCTCTCTCATACCAAAGTTCCATCTTTATCCATTTCTGGGGATTAACACTAGATTTCTGACATTTGTTGTTTTTTAGGTTATATTGAGGACATTGGCGTATCATACGTAATTTCCACATGTAATTTATCATTAAACTCTACATATTATATCCAAATGATGATGATAATTTTCGAGTTTTTTATTTTTCAACTTCAGCATAATCTTTGTGAGGCAGTGAGCAAATTTTTCTGAAAGTTCGATACGTTTTACCAAATGGGACTGTTCTTAGGCAGTACCTATCAATAAATGAATTATGATTTCAGACTTAGCCTTATGGTTGAGAAATGGTAAAAAATGTTATGTAGGTATTCAAACTAATGTGCTCATATGTCATGTGTGCTGTATATATTCATGTTAGGAATCATTTTTGCAGTTTTTCACGAACACTTAATATCTCCGGAATGTAGGTATAGGTACTTCTTCAAATGGTAGGGCATATGTATTTTGTTTTAATCCTCCGTTTTAATCAAAACTGTTCCTTCTAAAACGCATTCAAAAACTTCTGGAGTGGAGAATTATAGGCACAATGAGAAAGTACCTATAATATGTGATTTCGAATATTTAGCTGATTCATCTACCAATTTTCTCTATTCGGTCACTTCACTTTCCATGTGCTAAGTTCATTTCCATTTGATGGAAAGCTGACAAATTCAAATTTGCCATCCAACTGATTGATACAGCCTAACGTAGCACATTTTACCATCCTTCCAAAACAGAATTGAATAATGTCGTATTAAGATAAAGTATGAAATTAAAATTTTGTAAGATCTCGTTTAACACCTATGAATGTGTCGTGACAGCAATATCATGTCAGGGACGCCAATACACGAAACCAAAGTCACTAGATGATTAAAAGAGAAAAAAACTATGATTTGTCCGTACCCTAGACAAATACGTCAGTTTGCATCAAGGGACCCTAAGCGAGACCTTCCCGCAGTTGACAGATGACATCGTTGAACTGCATTTCGCGCTGCTAATGAAGCTCGCCAGGGTGTGTGAGTCGCAGGAGTCCTTGCTGATGGCGTAACTTCCATCCCACCGATAACGATCGCATGAGCGGCAAAATAGTATCCCCAGTTCTAATCAATATCATTTATAGCTGCTCGATAGTTCATTTATGAGACTAATCCCTCTCATATTGTCATATTGCAGGTGTTTCGAGTGCGCAAAGGGTGAAACTGTTCAAACCAGTCCTGCCAGCGCTGGTGAAGGTAAGCGAGGCCTTCCCGCCGTTGACAGATGACATCGTCGCTTTGTTGATGCAGCTGGCCAGGGTGTGCGAGTCGCAGGCGTCGTTGGCATCGCATTTCGACGCGCATCTGGGCAAGGGTCTGGAGGTGGCGTCACAGGAGAGCGCCGAGCTGTGCGACCTCACGCAGAGGACGTTCGCTGAGGTGCTGGACAAGGCGGTGTTGCGGGCCAGAGTGTACAAGCAGGATTGAGTAGGTGTGAGTTTTTAAGAAGACGTTTGTTTGACAGATGATATATTTTGTACTTGAACTGTTTTTTTCGTACGGCTATATTGCTCTTGTTTTACTTAGAGTGGCTTAATAAATAGAGCGACGACAATAATAGTGGTACACTTTTTGATTGGTAAGACCTTTAATATGGAGGTGCATCCGACTGTCTTGTTTTCTCTTTTCAGTTCTACGCATTCTATTTCACTTTGTCAATGCATTGTCTCTGTTTTTTGCTCGTTGGACACAAAACATCCAACAATCAGACAGGAAACTCTTTACGTCGGTGCCATGGATATCAGCTATTAGAATCCGACTTTTTGGACTCGTTGAGTTTTTAGGAAGACTGCGTTTGTTTGACAGATAATATATTGTGTACTTGTACTGTTTTTTCCTGCGGCTATATTGCTCTTGTAATACTTAGAGTAACTTTATAGATAGAGTGACGTCAATAGTGGTACACTTTTTGATTGACCAGACCTTTAATATGGAGGTGCATCCTACTGAATTGTTTTCTCTATTCAGTTCTATGCATTCTATTTCACTTTCTCAATGCTTTGTCTGTTTTTTGGTCTTTGTACACAAAACCTCCAACAATCAGACATGAAACTCTTTACGTCTCAGATTATTTAGATGGAATGAAAATATCGAACATCTAAAGCTAACATTAGGTGGGCACTTCGAAGGCGCAAATTCATTACTGCATGTGTTCGGATTTTTAGCTATTCACTGTCTTGACCAACAATGCGCTATTCCGGAAAAGGCAGCCATTTGGAGGTCTATTGTCGTCACTCTATTCAATCTACTCACTTTAGTTTTAGCTTTGTATGTATTGGATTTGGCCCCTTTTCAGGGTGCTCCCCTGTAGTATGAGGCAACTTGACGACCAATTATACCTTATAACAATTCATCACTGTTGAACTTGTTTCTCAGGAGGTAATATTTGCATTAGTACCTATCAAGTAACTCAGAATCAAATATATTTCAATGTAGATTTAAAATAATTAAGGATCTGCTAGCCTGGACACAGATAATTAATTCCATAGGTTCGTTGAGTAAAACAAATCAATGTTTGGTTCATATTATGGATATGGTACAAGTTTCATCTTGATAAACTACTATGTGAGTGAAACATGTATTGAGCTTGCCATCGATATATTAAAAGAATACAATAATTGCGGTTTTCATAAAAATATTTGTTCTGATCTGTGAGATTGAATAGTGATTTCCCATTCGAGACTGCTGGATAAAAAGAAAAAGGGAAACGCCCGTATTTTTATAAAATATATTACTATTCAGTATTTTTCTATTTACACAATTGAAAAATAAATAAAATGTTTAATATATACATAATCCGAGGTTAATCAGAAGTAGAAAAACCTTGAATGGTTTCAATTATATCAATATAAATCAATCAACAGTTAAGGAAACATCAATAGCCTTGAAAAAAGGTCATCTTTGCAAAATCAACAAAAATATAAATGCTATATACATATTATTATTATTTGTATGCAAATTATGTCATCATAACTTAGGTGAGAAATACTTCAAAGTTAAACTAATTATAGGTATCTACAGTTAAATACTGTGTGCCCCCCTTCAAGTGTAACTATTCTCGTATTTAGGAGTAGAAAGGGCTCATCTGAAAATTTGAGGATAATCATCAAGTGGTATGTAAATTATTGAAGGAAAACAACCCTCAAATAGAAGAAAGTCTATTAAAAATTATTTTTCAATTAACAATAGCTTCTTTTGGATATGTTTCATATTCCCAAATAAATTTCGTTAAGATCACATAGTGTTTTTGGAGGTTATGAAATGATTATTCAGGAATAATGAGGGCTAATACTTTCAGTCTCACCAGTTAGCGCAACTGGGGCATCATTTATATAATACTTTATGTACGAGGTTCGTTACACTTGAAACGGGATACACAGTGAGTATAGTCAACTTATAAAATAATAAATATCACATTCAACTTTTGACTTGTGCGTCATTCTCCAAAAATTTCAAATAATTCAGTCTAACGAATCCCGCCTGGTGGCCCGTAGCAAAATAGAGACTAGAAAAGCAGTTGGGATTGAAGGAAATTTTGGTGACGGTCTGTAAAGGATACATATTGGGTGAGGACAGTTTCATCATTTCGAAGTTCTTATCACGAACGCGCGGGAAGTCTTGAACATTATCCTAGAAAAATAATACTGGGTTAGCAAAATAAATGGAAACTGCCCAAAATGTTCAGAAAAACTTCTTCAAAAAACATTGGAGGTGGTTAGCTCATATGATATGACCAGTCATCAACAATAACGATATCGCTAGTGTTAACTTGTCTGCAGTTTAGACCAATCAAAAGCGAGGTCGAACAAGCTTTGACTCACTACACGCTTTACTCTTAACTGGAATGTACTGTAATGTCAGGTGCGCATACTCACCCTGCTTAAATCACAAAAAAGTAATCCATATTTATCAGTAGTTTCCTTATACATCAACGATTCGTATATGTCAAGGGGTTCTAATTTTTTCACTCCTCCCTTTGTATTCGTTAAATATTTCGCAATATCCTGCTTCTTCAGGTGATGGGCTATTCTTTCTTCTATAGATTTGGTGGTGTCGATCAGGTATGTGGAATTCAAACACTGAAAATGGTCAAAAATCTATTGAACTGAATGATGCAATTGAGATCAGTTTGCAAATTTGGATAGGATACCCTGATGTGCTGGCTTCAAAAGTCACCATGCGTCATAGTGGAAAATAATACTTCCGTTGTACCAAGCCCACTTTGTTTCATGTAAGTTAGGAATGAGTTAATTAAAAGTAATAAGCGCAATTTGTGTTTTATGTTATGCGAGATGAGCGTAATTTGCATGTGTATGTGTTCAAATTTCTGGAACATGCGTATTTGAAGAACACAACCTTGAGCAGACCAATGAATGGACGTTATTGAGTGTCAGCAGTTACTCAGGGGGCTGAGTAAGCTGAACGAAGACTGAATGAAGACTGGAGGAGGCAGTTCGACTGAAGAACGAGAAGTGGGGAAGAAGAGTCGATTCTTAATTCATCAATAGGTCACGTGCACGATGACCGACCCTGGAGGTAAAATATTGAAACACAACCTCACTCTTCTGTGAATTATTGAAACACAACCACACTTTTTTCATTTGTTCACAGAGGAATCAAAGGATTGAAATAGTTTTTCACAATATTTTGGCATACGAAACGTGTTTTTTGCTCTATTCATTAATTCAAGCATGCCTTCGCATTGTGTTGTTGTACAATGAACAAAAAATGCAACGAGAGACGAAGGAATATGATTTTTCAGGTAAATAGTTATCTCACATAGTTTTCATTATGAAATGTTGTCATTCCTAATGAAAATTCCTTCTGCCACTTCTGCAATACAAGCTAATACTGCTTATAGATTGAAAATGTCTACAACACACACGATAATATTTCGTCAGCATGTCAGACCACCCGTTTGATTGCATGATCCAATCTTCTTGCATTATTTTGTAAATTTCACGAGTATTTCTATTAGCCCCTATTGCAGAAGGAATTTCGATGAGAAATCAGAGGAATTACCAAATTTCAAAAATGAAAACTAAGTATGTGAGTGACTATAGTAGGTACTTACTTTTGAATCATAATGTACAAACCGGATTCCTTCGTCTTTCATTGCACTTTTTGTGCATTGTACAACAGAACAATGTGATGGCATGACCAAATTAATGAATAGCCGAAAAATACGATTCGTATGCCAAAATAATTGTGAAAAACTATTTGAAATATTTGTTCACATCCAGGGTCGGTCATCTGACAGTTCTTGCACGCAACTAATACTTCCATTAGCAAAGAATTCCAAAGCTGCTTTTGTTCACTTACATATCTGAAAGATGGCAATTTTGCCACGTCCATGCAATACAACATCTGTGAAGGCAAGTAAAGGCATATCTCTCCTTCTGAAGTGCTCTGCAAGCAGGCGTTCAGCCAATCGTTGAAGGAGAACGAAGATATTGTGGATTGAGATCTGAGCATTGCCATCGAATCACTCAGAAAATTTCGATGGGGATTCACTATGCCGTTATTGAAAGCTGAAATAGAAAATGATAACTTCATCTCAACAGTAAATATCAATCGAAAATAAATATACAGTGTGAGCAACAACACCCTCGAATTTTCTTGCTCGTTGACCAATTTCAAATTTTGTTTTTCTGATGACCAACTATAATCGATAATATATTAGGATTTTTACCTGTAAGTACTTGTCTTATCACTTATTTACCAAAAGTGAACAACCAATTTAGGATATATTACTAGGGTGAGAGATGAAAAAAAAAAACGATCTGTATATGTATTTATCTAATGAACTAACTGTGGGATATTGATGAAGATTGATTCAAGTAGCCTTTCCTATGGTGAAATAATGATATAAAACATATTATCAGCTTTAAAAATGATATGAAGCAGCTGCAGGCGCCCGCGAATACGTTTCATTATTACTGCACATCATCGGTACAGCCTAACCATGTTACAAGATTTTTCAAACTTAGAAGGAAATAATGAATAAGATGCACTGGCAGACCTCAATCACAATTTCATTCGATTTTTGAGGATTTGTCCACTAATTTGTTCCATGTCATTATAAAACTTCCCCTTTTCGCCATTTGAAAATAATAATGCATATGTTACCGTTCAGGGAACTACTTTCATCATAAGCAGTTATAAATGCCACCCAATGTGTTAGCCAGGAACCGCCAGTTATTATCCTCTTCACATTCGTTTGACACGAGCTGTCATCATTCAAATCCCACACATTTGCGCACTTGTCGAATGAACCAGTGAACAGCCACCTTGCTCCACCACTCAAATGAATCATCGTAAGAGCTGAAACATTTAATCAGGTAGCTTCAAAAGTATATTTTTGCACTTTCGGGATTGAAGTATGCCTTCGGTCCCTCCACACCAAAGAGACTTCTTAATCCCTTGAGTGATCAATTATACAGGGTGTTTCTTAAGTACGTGTAGAAAATTCAGTAGCATGTTGCTGACGTCAAAATAAGAAGAAAAGTTGGTATAAATATGTGTCCGAAAGTTATTCGTTTCTGAGATACAGAGTGTCAAAGTTTAATTTTTATTTTTGTTTTTTGTTGATAAATTTCAAAATAATTGTGATATTCGAATGACGTTTGGTATCTAGGGGTATTTTTCAATAACAATATCAAATTTTATGTTAGTTTGTCTCTCTCGTGGGGGTGGCGCCACCTACAGGTGTTTTGAGTTTTTTGAAAAGTCATAACTTTTTTGTGCGTACCTGTATCACGTTTTATAGTAGGAAAATGTATTTCTAGAACACTTTTGTGTGAAAAATATATTCTTGGTAGAGGTCGCTGCGAGCAATCGTTTTTGAGTTATTGGGATTAGAAATAATCTATGCATTCATTTCCATGGGGCTCGTAATATTTTGCGCAATTTTTCTCGTGCTTGTCTGTGGATCTTTTTCGATTGCCTTCAATTTCTAGGGTCCTTGTAGTCAACGGTCTGCCTATCACTGGAGCTTTTTTAAAGGATCCAGACTCTAAAAGACGCTGAAAAAGGTTTCTCAATGTCTGGTGATTCGGCAGTCGATGATTAGGGAATCTTTCATTCGATTGTTATTTTTTTGAATTGAAAGAGTCCAAAACCGTAGGCACAAAGAAGTAAGAATCATTTTTTGCTGATATTCCAATGTCGAATGTAGGAGAATATTGAATGGTGAAGAAAAATGCACTGGCATATCTTTTCGAATCTCAATAACTCGAAAACAGTTGCATGCAGCGACCTTTACAAGGAATATAATTTTGAACGTAAGTGTTCTAGAAATCTATTTCTCTACCATTAAACGTGATACAGGTACGCAAAAAAGAGTTATGACTTTTCAAAAGACTCAAAAGACATGTAGGTGGCGCCACCCCCACGAAAGAGACAAACCAACATAAAAGTTGATAGTGTCATCGAAAAATACCCCTAGATACCAAACTCCATCCGAATATCACAATTATTCCGAAATTTATTAACAAAAACCAGCAACATGGTCCTGAATTTTCTACAATTCTTCAAAAAATAAACCATACTTCTGAAATTTGTCTTCATCGACTGAAGATATCCCTATCAACGAAACATGGGCTTGGATCTAATCATAACAATAATATAGAAACACAACATTCAACTTTTTTTTTATCAATTAGGACTGTCGACTTACCTGTTATGCTATACTTATGTGCTTTTATAACCCTGTAAGGCAATAACACATCTACTCCTTCTTCATCTTTGAATTTCAATAACTGGGAATTTGTTGCCAAGTCGAATATGCCTACCGATCCATCCGTATAACCTACAGCCAAGAGTTTGTGTCCTTGAGCCTGCAATGATTTAGATATTTGAGGTACTGACATTTCAAATGAATCACATTCCAATCCGAGCCGACTGAACACGAATCCGTTTTTTGACTTCATCAACGACTTATCCTTTTTCCGGAAATCCAAAAATTGTTCTAAAACTCTGGCTCAACTCCTTAACGTGAGGATTGGGTCTTCAAGATACTATCAAGTGTGTATACTCAATGCTATTGGTTCTGTTTTCGAAAGGCAGAAATTACTAGATTTTTTCTTGAATACATCAAATTTCAAATAATTGACTCATCTGATTTATTGAAGACTGTAATTTTTTATACTGTGTGAATTATAAACCGCAACAAATACAAAATTCAATATTATAGTACTTCGACGATGCAATATTATTGAAATTTGCAACCCTATACTTGAGTGATAATGAATTCAAATTTTTACTCACAAAATTGCCTGATAGTAGTTTTTGAAAATTCGACCTATACAGCAATCACTTTTAGGTCTTGATGATGTGAATTTTTCAGGTTTGTCCTCATTATCAAAAATAGTTTGTTGAGTAATATATCAAAGAAATTTGTTTCTGGATATCGGTCAACAGGTCTTTAAATTAAGGTGTTGCGGTTATTTGATCTTTTATACAGTGTCTGAGATTTGAACCGTAAGTTGCAATTATTTCAATTCGCCGAAAAGTAATTCTAGAAAAGGGAAAGCATATTACTTCTATGTCAATTTGATTCATATCAATTCCCACTTACTAAAAGACAGTAATTCACTTACCTTGCTCCAAGACATTTTACTGGGATACGTCTCTCTCTTCATCATTTCAAGTTCCAAAACCATTTGCAACTTCAACAAAGGTTTTACCTTGTATATCAAATTCCTTCAAATAAAAAACTATCAAAACATGAATCATCAAGATAGAGCAGAATTTATTCAGAGCTGGATACATTACGGTTTTAGGCATAAGTACAAAGTCTTTCAAGTCGAGCAAAGTCCATATGTATGAGATTAGTTTCCTGAAATTTTTAATACCGGGGTTTCTCAAAGTGCTCGTTTCAACTGAAATATTTTTTAGCTTCATGTTCTTCCAGTAATATCGTAAATAGACATTAATTTCGGTATTAGCAAAATAGCAACATCATAGTTCTAAAGTAGGTACGCCATTTTCGAGTTATTCAAGATTTTTAAAAATGTTGAAAATCCTTAATTAATTAAAATCCGTAGTTTGAAAATGCATCATCGCAGTAGTTTGTTGTACAGACATAAAAAAATGAACACCGTAATAAACAAAAAATGTTAATTCAGTTTTTGGTGAATTGGAATGCAGCAATTGCTCGATTGAATATATATGCAACATTTATCGTATAAAACAAATCATGAAAGAATAAAAAAATGTGTTCCAGATGAATGCTGATATACGATTAAGACGACATAATTTCAAACTTATGAAGGAACACTTCAGGACGTAAAAACGGCAGAACTTCATAGTTAATCGTGATTTCTCGCCCTGGATCAACTTGGATTCATATACAGTTAATGCACCCTCAATATCATCATTCAAAACTCGTTTATCGTACTACCGAGTAAATTGTTTTTCCACTTCAAATTGCACTATATCTGTTTATTTTATTTTGAAATGTTCAATTCCTATTTAATATTTGAATCGTTTTTTCGATACTATTTTACTCTGATTGTTACTCTGTCTGGTAGCTATTTCAATATATATCGTTGCGACGATTTTCAAATCACCCCGTAAATGAGAAGAACGCCTGAGGAATGCCTTATAACAAGCGGCATCGACGACTCATCGATATTCGTAATCATCGTGTGATCGAAGATTGAAGCAGGTTTAGTCATTCGCATCGTAGCATCAGAACGAATCACTTGTCGATGTTGTATTTTTATAAACGGTCATCTTTGTACAAGCCGTCCTGAGTGAATAAAAATGTGTTTGAGTGTTGAAATTGTGTCTATCTACGATGCCTCCATGTAGAATCTTATAATATAATTTTCTTTATGTGTAGCATACACCTATTTCATGTATAAATGGGCTTATATAGGTTCATGCTCTGAAAGCTAATACAGAAGACACGTGATCATTACCTCTGGTCGTCCGGCAAAACAGGAACAGCGTAGATGTGAACCGAGGGCACGGACCCCGAAACGGCCAGAACCCCGCTCCTGGCCAAACCGAAATCCCCCGAAAAATTTTGATCGAAACATCCCGAGGGGCACCACTCGATTTCCCAAACCGGTCCGAAATCCACGGCCAAACAGAAATGCAGTTTCGGCTCGGGCACCTGCGCTCGATTCCTCAACAAGCCGAAGTTCCAGAATTGTATCAAGGAAGGTTCGTGGCGGTACTTGAACCTGGTGTAGTTTTCCTCGAAGTCTTTTAGAGTTGCCACCGCTAGTATTTGCTCGCATTGGTGCACGCTGAATGGAGTGGGCATCCAAGCCAAAGCCGATATCGGCCCTCCGCAAAAGATGGTTGTGTTATGGGCTATAAAGGGAATGTTCTGAAGTTAGGATTCATTCATTCATTGATTCATTAGGCCCGTTCCTTTCGTGAAGAAGTGTAATAGTGAAGTAAACTCTTTTTTCCAAATATAATTCTTTTAATTCAGTGTGTTACTACAGATAGATAGATAGATAGATAGATCTTTATTTAACTACGTGATGTATAAAACATTTGTAGCAAGTCAGGTAGCAAGTAGATACAAAAAGTACTGTACAATATTCAAGAAATAAATAAAATAACAATGATAGTAAAATAATCACCCCTTTGCAACCATTGGTGAATATCTCCACCGATGCTGTAGATCACAACTGACAAATAATGATTAGCCATTCTTGTTGTTTGAAGGAAGAGAAGTTCAATTTTCAAATGATGGACATTTTTCATTACATTGATTTACATTACATTACATACACCTGAGACTGATAATTGATGAATACAAATTTATTTTCAGTGGCGGTGTAAATTACAGTGGAAAGCATAGGATCAAACCTATTATCAGTGTGATTTCACTCATGAAATAAATGAAGAACAATATCCCAAAAAAAGTGGACCTAAAAAATTTCTGGAAAATATTTTCAGGTTTATAAAATAACCGCTAGGTGGCGTAACGGCTATGAGTAAAGAGATTATTGAAATTTTCTATGTATTTAGTAGTATCAAGGTGTACTGATAATATATGCAGTATGATCCTCCTTGTTTCACACTTTTTGTCCCATCTAAAAAAATAAAGTGGTGGGAGAACGTCAAATTATGTTTTCTCTGAACGTCTATAACTCTGGTTATCTATATATCTAGAAAGTTATCTATAAAGAGAAAATTGAAATTTACTCCGTATTTAGTAGTATCAAGGTGTACTGAAAATATATTCAGTTTGATCCTTGATAAATTCCTAGTTTTATTTGTTTCACACTTTTTTCGAATTGGTTTCATATTCATAATCGTTGCCGCTAGAGGGCGTGATCTAGAGTATTAATAGATATCGTGATTTTGAAAAATCGAACGTAATGATATGCATATTATTCGAAAATGAAACAGAGAATCAAAATCTACCGAACAACATAAAACCGCAACATGATAGCTTTTCGCTAACGGAAAATATTAACGATCAAAGGAAGGATGATTGACCTATATTCAAAATCAGTTTTTTATGATTAATGTCCGTCTACGCCCAATGTACTTACTATAAGAATATATGAAATACTTTGAATTCTAAATTTCAACTCACCATCTTGCATGTATTCAAAAAGTTCAAATTCTTTGAAAGTTGGTTCTTCATTGAGAACACATGTTTCACTTTTCACTCTTTTCCATGCTACTCTGCAGGATTTTGTCGTTTTTGGAAGATATTTTTCTATCAGATCCTCTTTCAAAAGACACCATTCATTATTTGAATAACGAAGGTCGTTGAAAAGATTAGGATCATTGTAATGTTTTCGATAACTGTAACAAAAAATTATAATCATTAATATTTATCGAGAACGAAAATATATCCAAAATATCACAATAATATTTAGAGGTCTAAAAACGTATTTTGACAACTACGTTGCCATCTCCACCTCCAGTAAAAATGAAAAGGAAATGAAGATTATATGGTTATTCTCCAGGTATTACCTGCAAAAGTGATTGAACAAATTTGGTGATATCCTACCCAATTATTTCACAGTTCAGATAGCGGTTTTGTATCAATGAACTTCGTGTCAAAGTGAATTAATAAGTTTGAAACTATGAATGGGTCCTGAATTTTGATTCACTATATGATCTCAAATGCGATCAATGTAAAAACTTATCTGAAGTGAGCCAAATGTTCTTTAAATCTTTTGCAATTGCTTTTACGTGTTTGCCCAATATCATCAAACAAAACAACTCTCTGAACATTGAAATAACTGGATATGAATAGAATATTACCAATCTACATATCTACAATCAATTTCGCTGGTGGAATATCTCAAAAGATACTAGATAGTCAGCTAATCCTTTCCAGTTCTATTTAGTTCTGAAATACCTATTTTAGGCTTTTCTGAATTTCATTGTGAATCATTGTGGTATTTTGAATATATTTTTTATAGCAGTCTCCAAAGCTTCACTTTATCAATAACTATAATAATAAAAATTAAATCCGTAGAAATCACCCCTACTCAGATGGTCAACCCAATGATGTTTAACTTCTTATGATTTATTGTGTCTTTATAAGGTATTGCAGTCTGATGATGGCCGTTGTGCCGAAACCGGTTAGTTTTTAATTGACTAATTTTTACATTAAGTGTGGTAGGCTGACTTCGAGTAATTATTTTCATTGATAATGGAAATTATTCATACAAGTAATCAGAAGTGTAAGGGTGATTTGACTGGATTTAACGCATTAAACTAAATAAGATATTGGAAACTTCAAAACAAAATCTTGAATCAGATGTTGTTCTCTTTCGAATGATGCCCTCCAAAAATCTCCATTCCATATAAAAATGTTTGATTTCTTCATATGGAACAGCCCATATTTTATTGCATATTATAAAAGTGATTTTTTCTAATTTCAAAAATATATAATTTTTATGCACTCCATGGAGTAATACTGGGTGGATGGAACGAATATAACTTGAAATTGATTGAAATTGTGGTAATAAATTATTCATTTGGATTCAAGTTTGCTGTCAGGTCGATAATCTCCGGGTTTCAGCTCAATCTGAGTTGAATTCAGATAATATCATGGCAAAAATCACAATCAATCTCAAGTTTTATTTTCGATTCACCCACAATTATACTCCAAGGAATGTATTAAAACTATAAATTTCTGAAAAATATGCGATAAATATATACTAATTGAAACAATCAAACAAATAGGAATATAATGTTTGGGGGGCACCATTCCAAACAGAACAACATCTGATTCATGATTTTATATTGAAGTTTTCGATATCTTAATCAGCAGATATTAAGTGTATATCAAATGAGTACTTACAAGTTGAAGGAATATTCGTACGCATTTGGGAACAACAAAGACGAGGCCGATTTCTGACGACAATTCATAATACACTTCGGTACTTCTGTAGAAGAAAAAATTTTTGACTTAATTTACCTATTGAAATAGGGCATAGAACTGGACAGGTTTCAATTTGATTTCCCCTGTACACCACCACCCCATACATATTTTGAAGTGATTCTTCCATATACAGGTTGTTCCAAAAACATACGATAACCTTTCAGAAGTGTTTATGGGCTCAAAGTCATAACATACATGTTTCTTCAATTTAAACTCATATACAATGTTTCGAAATAGACAGTTCAAATACTTTGATTTTAGGTTAGGTTGGGTACTTGAACTTCTTTTTTCAAAATATTTAATTGCTGTAAAGTACAAACAAGTGATCGACGACAAAAAAAATGATATGGTTCAGTATCCTTCACATTTTTAGAATGAAAATATAATTAATTAATAATCACCGATAAAAAAATGAGTCCCGAAACCATTTTTCATTTTTTTCTGTTGAACATTTGTGGGCACGTTCATTTCAAGCTGAAAATTAGTGTTTTTATGTTCTCTGCCACCCCTGAAAGTTTGTCCGTTTTTTGGGACACCCTGAATAAATGATATTTGATGAACAATAATGAGTAGCAAAACCATATTTTCGTTCATTCTGCAAAATCATTTACTGGTATGTCTATTTCAAGCAATAATTAGTGTAATTGTATTCCCTACCACCCCTCAAAGTTTGTCAGTATGTTTTTTGGGGCCCCCTGTATAGGTTGAAAAACTCAAAAAGCTTTGAAGAAAAATATTTGTTGTAGTGACATGAATCATGGCCAGAACTTACTTCTAAATACGATTTCTTTTTCGACACCGTTGACCAAGACCGTCTTTGCCGATACCCGTTTCCTTTTAGGTTTCGGATTTTCTCCTTCACTATCGCTGAGTTCAAGTGTGGTATATTCATCTTCTGAGAATGTTATATCGTGACATTTTTCCAAATGTTCTTTATTCTCTTCTTTAGATAGCACAGACAAACATTTTGTGCAGGTGTAATACTGAAATTTCATTATTATCTTCAATAAGAATTGAAATGACTTGCAATGATATTTGTAATTTAAAATATTCGGTTTGACACCATCGACTCTCACCGCATTTGGTTTAGATCTGCATGAAGCCATATGATCTTGTAGAGTTTCTATATCACCAACTATAAATTCACAATTTTTGTATTTGCACCTCAGAACTCCATGTTCCTTCAGTTCAGTTTCTAACAGAGGCGCTACGAAACTGTGTTCTTTGAAATTCATTTGGGAAATGAAATACTGAAAGGAAAAATATTGGTTTTTCATCCATCATTTAATGAAATAAATTGTTTAATGTTTCATTGTTAAATAAAATGTTTTGCAGTCAAATACAGAAACTTCTTTTGCCTCTTAGTCTGTATGTGAGCAAATAGCAAATTCATATACACAGTGGTCCACAATTGTCTTCCGGTATTTCTCGGGCAGATACATCCAAAAGTGAAGTTTTCTTTCAACTCATTTCAGGAAACGAATGATATATATACATCTTTGAAGGGCGATGATGGAGTTTTTCAGCAAAATCTTCTGAGAACACCGGAACATTATATTCATAATATATTTAACCATGTTGGTTATCTAGATACGTAGCTTTTTACACACTATCAGTGGAACGTTCTCTTCTACTTATGGGGTATTTTTACAGAATACTCAGTATTTTACGGTACTTTACCACTTACTTTTTTATTTTTGAACATTTCTAAAAATTCGTATGTGAAAATCATTCTTAAATGATTAGGAATACAAAAGGTCATTTGTTTTGCTATATCTAAAGGCTGTGGCCTTGCTTGGGACAGATCAATTTCAGAGAACACCGATTCCAGTGGTGTACGCGGATTTCTCCTGAAAAAATCGCTAATAAGGATTCTGGATGTGATCTAGTAGGCCTTGATTTTCGAAAAAAAAAAAAAAATTGAGGCCACTTGACTCTAAAATACACCTTTCTCCCCTCTACATTCCAGAAAATACTTCGTGAAAATAGCTCCATAAATTAAAAATGAATGAGGGTGGCCCGTTTTCAAATAGATCACTCTGTAGAAGGCTTTGACATATTATTTAGATATTTATCATACAGTCAACTGAAATGTATCTCAAATGTTTGAGTTTAGTATCAAAGAAAAGAATGGCACTTGAATGTATCAATATTATCAATGAAGGTGATATAATAGGAGATACGATGTTAATATGTGTATATGAAGCTGATACATTGAATGTAGATATACAGTATTGATAATAAAAAAATCTTAGATACTTACAGGCAAGGTCCCTCCGTCACCATTGAGTTTTTCCAACATCGATAAGGCACTAAAAATGAAATTAAAGTTATGTTAGAAGATTAGAAAATGAAGAAGAATTCTACATTTCTCACTTTTTTTGGAAGGGACAGTTCTTGGGTTTTCGATTCAGTAAAAATAATGTTTTTATTGTATCATGTGAAACGTTTTGCCTATGGCCATAGGCTTTTTCAATCTTCATTAAAATTAACTGGTACTAGAAAAAATAGAGTAGATAGAATCTCGTGCGCATTTTTTGTTTTTATTTTTCCTTTTTGTTCATAATTAATAATTTGTTTTCTCTCGTTATCTTCTATATTGGAAATTGAGGAAACGTGTTCAATGTAATTTGTTCCCTGTAATTTGTGTATTTTTTGGTTTGGATGTGTGACATTCAAATTCTGGCATGACATGTGACATAGGACTATACAACATTGTAATATTTAATATTGGCTCTGGTTGAGCTACGTACCTAACAATTTCTGCCTACTGATAGTCCTACAAAAACTATAGAATGCACACAGCACGAGAGTCTATCTACTGTATTTTTTCCAGTTCCAGTAAATTTCATGTAGAAAATTAAAAATAAGGATTGAAAAAGCTCATGGCCATAGGCGGAACGTTTCACATGATACAATAAAATAGTTATTTATTATACAAGGAAAAAAAGTTGTAGATTTTAGCTCCAGGTTGTGTTGTCTCCCGACGCGTAGCGGAGGAAGACAAAAAACCGTGAGCTAAAATCTAATATATTTCCCGTGTATAATACGCTATTTTTTTTCTGTGACAGAAGAAAGGACGATTCAATATTGAGAAGATATTATGTTATTTTGAAATCTGGAAATTATCGACGTGAAATTTTTTGTTTTTAACAGTAGGGACACCTGCGTTGTAGGCATCTATCATTCTTTTGAAGTGATCAAATATCTGATGTCACTTCTGTCAGTCTAATTCTGTGATTTGATTTCAAAAAATTGCGAATTTAGTAGTTGTTTAGTAATATACGTAATATCACCGCGAAGTCGAATGGAAGATAAAAGGACTTGCAGTTCTTTCTCGGAGACGGTATTATTGACTCATTTTTCGGAACTATAGCACAACAAAAGCCATCAAAAGTGTATATGTGATATATATTCGGGAAAAAAGTACTCACTTTTTTCCTACGGGAAAAAAGTCATTTATGAAAAGTGACATTTTATAACCTGCCAACAGAGATGAAATGCCAAACTTTTTTCCCGTCAGAGAAAAAACATAATTTTTACTGATTCCAAAACCCAAGAACTGTCCCTCCCCAAAAAACATTGAAGGATTCAATATCTCATCGAAAAAAAGAAATTTCTCACTTTGCTGCTGCCTTTCTTTTCTTGAGAGGGGTATCAATGTTGACATCGAAGTAGTCCGATTTTCGTTCCTTAGGTCCGTGTACGAACTTGAGGTGCGTCAACATGCTGACGGGTAACATTTTTTTCCCACAGATTTCACACTCGACATGGGCTTCCTTTGTACCCACCCCACACTGGGATCGATGCGAGATGTATCCGATCACGGATTTTTTCGTTTGCCCACATTTGTCGCAGTACAGAGGCTTTTTCGCCTTGTAGAGAGAATTCAGAACAAACATCACGAAATCTTTGTCATTCAAATCCTGAAATAATTGCTATTTATAGCTGTATCTAAATATCACCGAAAATAATCTACTTGCACTAGAAGAAGCTCCATATTACTATTAACAATACCACAAGGTTTTATTGAAATTGATGAAAAGACAATTGAGAAATGAATAGAAAAAAGATTTTTTATGGAAATATTAATACCCTGTATCTCGAAAACGACACATGTTTATATGAACTTTATTTCCTTGAATATCACAAGAAAACACCCCTTGAATTTTTGTTATTTAGATACAACCTGTATATCAAGGGAGCAAAAGCGAAGGACATTAAACACACATGGGAGATGAACCTTTGCTTTTGCCAAGATATATAAATGAGAAAAGAGAATCGATGATTTATATGAATGCAATCAATACTTAGTATGTAAGACGGGCGTTAAAGGAATTGATTTTTTGTTTGTTTTTTTTTTTGTTTAGGTTAAATATGCTTCAAGACTGTGTACCTAAATGTAAAATGGCATTTTTATTTTTATTTATGTTAAACTTGTCTACTTATTAAGTTCAAGTTCCATCACCAGCATTATTGCTGATTTGTAAAAAAAACTATTAATTGTTATAGTCTGAAAAGGTTTATTTGTTTCAATAAAGTATTTTTCTGAAAGAAAAAAAATTTACCCACGAACGCATATATTCAAGAGAGTCGTTCTTAAACTTGTGCTTCAGGCGGTCTATCTCTCGATAGTCTAAGACTTTTACCCATCTGTTTATTGTATTAAAATTATTTTATAGGTAAGTTTGCATGTTAAAAATTATGAAAAATGGGTTGCCTGAAAAAATCCTGGCCTACCGATGAGTTCAATGAAAACATTTTACACCAACCGTAAGCACAAAGCCGTAGGGTTGCCTATATTTTGCCTGGTCGAAATATAGGGTTGCCAGGTTCAAACAGGTATGTTGGTCCTAGTTATCTTCACCTACTTGTTTGATCTATTATTTAAACATAAAAATAAGCGCTTTTTTTGCGCACAATATTGGATTGCCTTAGAAATGTCTGTCCTGAATGACGGTTGTCGAATTTAAAGAAATAAAATAATGGTGCAACTGAACGTGCGACAAAGATGTCCGAGATAAGTATCCCGTGCGATAGACGAAGACAGAGTTGAAGTTGCAAGCAGCGCGACCACAGGATGTAAGAGAGTACGCATGTTAGTAGTTCATGCAATAGAAAATGATAGCGATAGAGTAGTAATCAACAATATTTTGGAGCAACTGGTAGTATACTTACGAAAGTAATATGAAATATATGATAATTTGGAAGTTGATATAATATGTTGGATAAATATAATAATTTGAATATATACAGGGTGAGACAGTTTTTCGTTATTTATCCAGCATAATCTTATCCTTGCATATTTTTAAATTTCGGTCTGAAATGTTCTTACCGAATACTACTCTAGCTTCAATTAAAAACCGATATTCTTTCTCTATCACGAATATTTTAGAAAATTCATAGTCTCGAAAAAATTTCCGATAATAATTGAAGCTCTCGTAGTATAAGTGAAAATTTTTTTCATAACAATGAAGGATGTTTCAGATTGTGGTTGAGAGAAAGCCTGAGGAAGATTTGGCAGAGCAATATACCGGGTGTCCCAGTATACCTGTTCCAATAGATTATCTAGGCCATTTTAAAAGATGAAAATTTGGGAATTACATGATCTACTACAATTTTAATGATTTGAAATCATTATTGAAGTCAAAATCAAGATTACAAAAATACCGTAGCCTGCTGCAATTCCTTCAATTTGAAATTTCAATTGTCGTTTTCTCCATCAAATCAAATTTGAAATACAAAGTGTGATACATCGTTGGAACGGTAATTTTGAGTAGAAATCAAAAATTGCAAAAAATATACAGGGTGCTATTTGAAATAAAAAAGTTAGAGTCACTTCCGGTCAAACCGGAAGTGACTTTCAATTTTTGTTTTTCTCACTTGAAGCTTCCTTGAACGAATTGGAGATCATGAAATTTTCGAATTTTTATTTTTCGAAATGGCTGAGATAATCCATTGGAACAGGTATACTGGGACACCCGGTATAGAAAAAAAGTTCTCATGAACATAGGTATGAAATTTTTCATCTACCAGATACAGGATGTAAATAAAAAAAAAGTTTTTCAATGATAGCTCAAGGCTTTAGCCCATTTCAATTAAATTATCAAGGTTAATTGAAACAAGTATTAGATAGATTCTGGACCAATTGAATTCCAGTCAGAATAATTATCAAGATCCAAATATTTTCATTTCAAACAATTCATTGTATTTTAAATAAGCCTTACCAATGGTACATCTCCAATTCTCCATGCCAAATTATTATGTCTCAACTTATGAAGTAACCATCCATCTCTCTCCATTTTGATGTTGCAAACTGCACAAATCACCATCCCACCCACAAGTATGCCTCTGCATTCTTCAAAATGCACTAAATAAGAATGCACTGATGTTGAACATTGGCCACATTTATAACAAGTCAGTCGCACCTCCTTTTTATTATGTAATTTCAATACTTTTTTGACATATTTTTCATCATCTATGGGCTGAAAATCATCAAGTTATTATCAATCAATATTTGGATATTAATTACCAGCATCTAGAGGATTTCCAATGCATTTAATTACTATATTTGGAAATATTTAGAAATTTAGATATGATTTATGTTTTTTTTTGTTGATACGGATCAACTTTCATTTGCTGAATGAATGCAATCCTATCACCCAAAACAGCGACATAATTAACACACATTGGAATCAAAATAATTGTGCAGCTTCATGTTCAACTTACAATATCTGAAAAAATAATATGACTTTATCGCTATAAAGAAATAGTATGATATTTACGTAGACAATATTGGGAAATCAAAAATATTTGTTGAAATTTCAATTCCGCAACTGGCGTAGAATTTGGGAAGGATCAACCAGTCACTTGCCCCTATCGTACGCCTCTGTAGTAGCCAGAAACGTTTATTTTATCTATGGTCGGATTCTAACCAACAACCCCTCTAGCAATGTGAATGGCGATCTAGTGAATGGTTTCCTGTTCTGTATGTGTTCATATTAATATGTACATATCTATATCATTCCGTTATTTTTGACCTATCATTTGTTCATTCAACTACTTATTACCTACCATTCTTGTATAAGCGAAAATATTCTATCTGAATTAAAAGTATGTTTTATTGGTTGTGATTTACCCCATTCTGAACTGAACTGGAATAATTTTCTAATTAATTTATCGTACCCTCTTCCTCATTCGAGGAGACGCTATGCACTCTCATTCAAAAATAAAAGACTAAGAAAGATATATGGATGTACTTCTTCCCAGGACATGTAGAGGAAGCGGGATGCGAGAAGCCCCTATCTAAGCGAAGAACATATTCTTGTCCTTGTCTGACAAAACATAGGATCTACTTCAAAATCGTTTTTTGATACTGTCACTGCTTGTCCAGTGTCCGTATTCTAAATAGACAAAAACGTCAAAACAGCAGTGTCAAGAACATTAAGGCACAATGTATAGTAGTCCAGTTGGATATTTGATTATCCTTCAAGTGTATCTGTTAAATTTTGAGCTGGTCGACTGATTCGAGGACATCTCGTTCTAATGCATTGGAAATAATATTACATCTGCTCAATAGTCAAAATCAAAAACATAATTCAATTCAAATTTTCTCTTATATGCTCATTTGGGCTATTGAGATAAAAAAAATAAATTTACTGAACTACCTTTGACGATAAAAATTTAGATATTGTTTCTTACCACTATATCCTGTCCCTTACACCAAGATAGATTGTAGTGTTTTGATAGATTATGACTGTCCCAATCGGCAATTGGTATTTTTTGTTCGCAAATAACACAGAGAACATTGCCTTCTCCATCCATAACCATGAAAGGTGCATTTGATCTGATAAAAAAAAGTACAAGGGATACATCCGGAAATTTGAATGAACATTTTATTCTATTTCAGAAGAATATTTTGAATTCTTGTTTTTTTTTATTACTCTCAACCACTCTGTATTATTAATTATTAGAAGATTATTTCGTCACCTAAGTGATAAATATGAAATTTCAGTGGCCGTACAAAGATTTGAAAAGGGTCATTGATCTTACGCAATGCAAAAAAACACTTGAAGCATAAATTATCTATTTTTTTAAACATAACATATCAGAGCGTTAGAGTTGTTAGACCGATCAAATATAATATGGTTCGCGAGTTTGGAATAATCCATTTCAAACGTTTTATAAATTAGGTATACTTTCTCTAGAGATTTCAAAAATACGAAAAAAAAAACAAGAAAAACAGTTGAAGGAATTCTTGGTGTTCGAATAACAATCTCGTAATAATAGCAACTGCGGCTAATATCCGGAGAAAATTATTCATTCTAACACACATCATCAGAATCACGTTTGTTCCGAAATAATATGACGTTGTCGAATGTTCAATTTCTACAATAGTGTAATTTTAAGAGAAAAATGATGGCGGATATTTACCTACGAGGTCCCCTGTTGCCTTTTGCTTTCGACACTGGGCTAAAAAAAACATGGAAATATATTAAAAAATCAAAGTGAATAAAAATATATGATATATGAATGTACAGGGTGGGTCACGGTCGATGGTACCTTAGACGTTTACGGAGGACGGGACATAAGATAATTCTGAAAATCTGGGGACTCAAGTAGTTGCTCTTGGTCTATCGATCTAAAATATGTTCAGCAATGCACCGTTGCCGCTGTAGTTAGACTTACGGGGAGTTGGTTTCCAACTTCGAAATAGGGACATACAATTTTATTTACAATGGAAAAATCTGCATTTCATTGCATTTTTAGATTATCCTTGAAGAGCTGATTTCATCAATTCATCACACTTGGAGTCTAGTGGGAATGATTATCGACATTTTTCAACGGCTTTCATGTCCCTATCTCAACTTTTGATTGCAACAGATACAGGGTAATCAGAATTCTGAATCCTGAACCACCCTGTATTTGTTCCAATTAAATATCAGTAGTTGAAAAGTAAATAATGAATAATTTCGACACAAAAAATCCTAAAATTGAAAAATTTCGTTTTTTTTTCCTGTAATCATTCCCGTTAGAAGTGTATTGCATTGATGAAATCATCTCTTCAGAGAAAATATGAAAATGTAATGAAATTCAAAATTTGAAATATCAAAATTGCCACTACTTTCTGGTATAAGCGGCAACGCTGCATTGCTGAATTCAGAATGATCCCCTGTCCCGTTCTCCGTAAACGTCTAAGGTGCCATCGACCGTGACCCACCCTGTATAAAATAGGTACTAACGTTGATTGTTGTTGGGTTTCTAAGGATTCTTGAATATCACTGGGTTTGAATGCTGCTGAAAAAATTGAATTCAGCATAACTGTAGTCTTGCCATGAAAAGTGTACTTTTTCACAGATGATGGAGTAGATTCAAGTGCCATCGAATCAGCTTCAGCTGCTGCTGCGTCATGAACAGACATCAAATCATTTGCATGATGAATGAATGGCGGTTCACTTTTCTTTTTTCTTCCGCGTTTATTCAATGGTGTAGGAGCATTCAAACAATCCAAAATTTCCCCACTTTTAAAATCCTCAGTAGCACCGAAATTGTCTGTGTTCAAGGATTTCGCACACTGATTTTGCGATTCCATTGAGTCAGCTTCACCTGTGGCTGCAACACAAACAGACATCAAATCATTTCCACTCGTTGCTTTAATGTTCATTGACATCGAAGAATTTTCAGAGGTTGATGTTATTTCTGACTTAAATATCATATTTGATTGGTAAATTGGCACCTTGGGAGGTCTGGCCTTTACCATATTTTCAATTTCCAAGTAGTTCACTTTTCGACGCATTCTACCACTGCTTGATTGTTCCATTTGATGGGTTAAAGGCGTTTCAAAACTAGCTTGATGAATAAATGACGAGTCACTGTTCTTTTTTCTTCCGCGTTTCTTCAATGGTGCAGGAGTATTCAAACAATCAGGACTTTTTCCACTGCATTTGATATCTTTTAAATCCTCAGCAACACCAAAATTGTCTGTAGATATGTTCAAGGATTTCGCACACTGACTTTGCGATTCCATCGATTCAGCTGCACCTGTTGCTGTATTATGAACAGACATCAAATCATTTCCACCTGTTGCTTTAATGTTCATTGACATCGAAGTATTTTCAGAGGTTGGAGTTATTGCTGACTTGATCATCAAATCTGATTGGTCAATTGACACATTGGTAGGATTGGCCTCTACTATATTTTCATTTTCTAAGTAGTTTACTTCTCTACGCCTTCTACCACTGGATGATTGTTCCATTTGATAGGTTATAGGCGTTTCAGAATTAGCTTGATGAATAAATGAAAGGTCACTTTTCTTTTTTCTTCCGCGTTTCTTCAATGGTGCAGGACTATTCAAACAATCAGGAATTTTCCCACTGCATTCAATATCTTTTAAATCCTCAGCAACACCAAAATTGTCTGTAGATATGTTCAAGGATTTTGCACACTGACTTTGCGATTCCATCGATTCACCTTCCCCTGTTGCTACATTATGAACAGATATCAAATCGTTTGCACCTGTTGCTTTAATGTTCATTGATATCGGAGATTTTTCAGAGGTTGGTGTTATTTCTGACTTGAACAATGAATCTGATTGCTCACTTGGCACGCTAGTAGCATGGGCCTCTGCTTTATTTTCATTTTCTAAGTAAATCACTTCTCTCCGCCTTCTACCACTGGTTGATTGTTCCATTTGATAGGATTTAGGCGTTTCAGAATTCGCTTGATCAATGAATGACGGCTCATTTTTCTTCTTTCTTCCGCGTTTCTTCAACGGTGCAGGAGTATTCAAACAATCAGGAATTTTCCCACTGCATTTAATATCTTTTGAATCCTCAGCAACACCAAAATTGTCTGTAGATATGTTCAAGGATTTCGCACACTGACTTTGTGATTCCATCGATTCAGCTGCACCTGTTGCTGCATTTTGAACATACATCGAATCGTTTCCACCTGTTGCTTTGATGTCCATTGACATTGAAAATTCTTCAGAGGTTGGTGTTATTTCTGACTTGATCATTGAATCTGATTGGTCAATTGGCACATTGGGAGGATTGGCCTCTACTATATTTTCATTTTCTAAGTGGTCCACTTTTCTACGCCTTCTACCACTGGATGATTGTTCCATTTGATAGGTTATAGGTGTTTCAGCATTAGCTTGATGAATAAATGACGGGTCACTTTTCTTTTTTCTTCCGCGTTTCTTCCCACTGTATTTACTTTCTTTTAAATCCTCAGCAGCACCAATATTGTCTGTAGATATGTTCAAGGATTTCGCACACTGATTTTGCGATTCCATCGATTCACCTTCCCCTGTTGCTACATTATGAACAGATATCAAATCATTTGCACCTGTTGCTTTAATGTTCATTGATATCGGAGATTTTTCAGAGGTTGGTGTTATTTCTGACTTGATCATTGAATCTGATTGCTCACTTGGCACGTTAGTAGAATGGGCCTCTGCTATATCTTCATTTTCTAAGTGAATCACTTTTCTCCGCCTTCTACCACTGGTTGATTGTTCCATTTGATAGGATTTAGGCGTTTCAGAATTCGCTTGATCAATGAATGACGGCTCATTTTTCTTCTTTCTTCCGCGTTTCTTCAATGGTGCAGGAGTATTCGAACAATCAGGAATTTTCCCGCTGAATTTAATTTCTTTTAAATCCTCAGCAACACCAAATTTGTCTGTAGATATGTTCAAGGATTTTGCACACTGATTTTGTGATTCCATCGATTCACCTTCCCCTGTTGCTACATCATGAACAGACATCAAATCATTTGCACCTGTTGCTTCAATGTTCATTGACATCGAAGATTTTTCAGAGGTTGGTGTTATTTCTGACTTGATCATAGAATCTGATTGGTCCATTGACACATTGGTAGGATTGCCCTCTACTATATTCTTACGCCTTCTACCACTGGATGATTGTTCCATTTGATAGGTTATAGGCGTTTCAGCATTAGCTTGATGAATAAATGACGGGTCACATTTCTTTTTTCTTCCACGTTTCTTCCCACTGTATCTACTTTCTTTTAAATCCTCAGCAGCGCCAATATTGTCTGTTAATATGTTCGAAGATTTCGCACACTGGTAATTTTCATTGGAATCATCAATAACATTCGAAGAGCATTCGTATATTTGATTGTCTGAATGAACATTATCTGAACCAGTATCAAATTCAACTTTAGTTCTTTCTGACCTACCTCTTTTATTCATTTTGCTAAATGAATTTTCCTCCGCAGTAATATCTATTTTAGACTTGCATTCCTCCCAATCTTTGGAAAGAGCCAATGTTGGTTTGTGTGACCCGTCTTGTTGGTTACTAAGCTGAACAGTATTTAAACCAGTACCACACACAAGTATATCTTTTTTAATTTTTTTCTTGTTAGGTTTTGGACAATCTGCAGCAAACTCCATGTCAAATTCATGTCCTTGCTGATTTTTATCAATATCGACAGAACATTCAATTTTTTTCTTCTTGACCACTTCACAATAATTCAACTCGGAATTACTCTTTGCTGAATCGTTTTTCAGTTCAGAAGGCTCATTTATTTCATCAGGCAGCTCATTATTAACATCGCTGAACAAATCACCTTTAATTTTTTTCTGTTTTTCTCTTTCTTTAACGGAAAAAGAAAATTCCTCTGTAGTCTTACATTCCTCCAAATCTTTGGAGGGTGCCAATGTACCTGTTGATTCTGTCTGATTATTCGAACTTTCTCCAGTATCAAGTTCATCAGAACATTTAGTTTCCTGCTCCTTAGCAACAGTGATTTCCACGTTTAAATTACAATTTTCTGAATTCCCTTGTTTGACGAATTTATTTACTTCATTAGATTGATCATTAGTAGCATCAGTATGCAAGTCAATTTTGATTCTTTTTGGCCTTCCCCTTTTTTTCTTCACAACGATTGAACTATCCTCTACATTTTTGACGTTGAAATGACTCCCTTCTAAATTCCCTGGAATAGAATTTTCAATTTCAATTTCATTTTTAATATTGTTATCTTCTGCTAAATTAACCATTTCAGAGTAATTAACTTTTTTACGTTTTCTTCCACTTGTGGATTGTTCCATTTGATAGGAAACAGGCGTTTCTACATTTGATTGATTAAATGATGGACTATTTTTCCTTTTTCTACCTCGTCCTTTCATAGGTGTTGATGTATTCAAGGAATCCAAATTGTCTGTGGATATAACTGTTACATTCATTATGTTGGACTGATCTTCATCATTGCATGTTGAATCAGTCACTGTAGTTTTGTCTGTATCTTCCTGTTTTGATAGCTCATTTGTTTGAACAGCTTTCAGACCATCATCGAAACCTGTACCCAAATCCGGCAAACTTTTCTTTTGCATTTCTCGTTTGTATTCCCTGTCAGAATGAGTCTCTTCAAAAATGTCTGAAGAACCAAATTTATTTGTGGATATATGCGATGCATTAATAGTATCTGACTGATTTTCAGATAGACTGTTATGTTTTTCATCGTTGATACAATCTGATGGGACTCGTTTTAGGTGCTCATCTATTTGATCAATTTTCTGTTCATCATCAAATCTAGTACCCAATTCTGGCATAATTATTTCCTGCATTTCCATTTCAGATTTCGTAGAAATTAGACTATCATCGGATTTACTTTCTACTAAATCATTTATAGAGACCACTGAACTTTTTTGTGAATATTGCCTTTTTGAAGAGTCATCAATATGAAATCCTGCATTGATTTGGTCTGATTGCGATTTTGTGTTTGGAAAATTTGATTTTTCATGAGATTGCTCTTCAATTTTACCAATATCCAATGACACAATCGCGTGTTCTCCAATATTAAGAGAAGAATCATCCAAACATTGACTTTCTGAATTACTGCCTTTCATGTCATGTTCTAATGTACGCATATTTGTTAGATTCATGTTATCCACTGGGATACTACTATTTGAATCAGTGGATGTTTCAAGTCTGATTCCTTCTTCCCTATTTTTGAATAGTGAAATAGGTGACATAGGCTCATCCTCGGGCTCATCGAATAAAACTTGTTCTGATGCAACTATAGATGCACCAACATTTGTGAGCACAAGTTCTTCCTGTTTTGAATTTTGAACTTGTAAGGATTGATTGCCTAAACAGAGATCCAGACTTTGATTTTCAGTCATAACTGATTCTGAAGACATTATGGAAGATTCTCCACATTGATCCATAGTGCCCTGTGCATTTTCTTGTAATCCACATTCTTTCACGTTTTGTTGAACAATTTCACCTGATATTTCATTTGATACATGAGATTTCTGAATTGTACATTGCTCAATTTTGTTTTCACTTTCTACTTCCATTGTGTTATGGCTTGAATTTTCTGTCACAAGTTGATTTTCATTCATTTGTTCATTTAGAGAAAACTCCTTGTTTGATTTATGTGTTGACTGTCCAACAATTTTAGGTCCACAAACAATTCTGCTTCTCCTAATTTTTTTATTGTCATTTGATCTGCTGTTCTTTGCACCTTCTACAAAGAGATGATCATTTTTTGATGAACTCTCTTCTAAAACGGTTACCCTATTTTCTATCAATTCTTTTGGCTCTTTAGTAGATATATCAAGCAATTTTTGTTGCATTCCTGTACTACTCTTACTTTCAATTTCAAGATTGGGATCTCTCAAATTTTTATCCTTGAATGATTTTGACGATTTACTTGATTTAGAACACATTTTGTATTCTTCAATTTTTTTTTTCAGATTGTTACGAATTTTTTTTTCTTCAGGAGTACATTCATTTTCATGAGATGTATTAGGCAATTCTCCTTCTTGTATAACGACTTCTGTAATAGGTTCCAAAGAATCTCCAGTATCCTTGGTCATATCCTTTTGGGAAAGCATATTCTCAGAAATGTCTATATGTTCTGAGTGTTCTATAATGTTAGTCGTATTTTTTCCATCATCATTAAAATTTCCTGTAATTTTCTTCTCACCACAATCAGGTTGTTTGAATAGGCAAGAGTCATCTTCATGTATTGATTCGCTGGATGGTATCTGATTAGAATTATTAGCCTCAACAGTTGTCTCAGAGGTTGTATCTTCATCTAGGTTCCTGATTGATTGGATACTAGAAATCATCTTCATTGGGGCTATAAGGTTTTTCAGTTCTTCATGAGAAAAACTCACTGCAGTATTGCTCAACACTATGACTCCTTTGTTTATATTTTTTGCAGGGGAAGGAGAAACTTCAATCAGAGGTGATTTGATTTTTTCAATTCCCAGTTGATTAGCTATTTCACCAGACAAAATACTTTCTTTTTGGCTCTTGAAAATTTCGTTCTCCAGGATAGGTTCATGTTTTCTAGGTTGTTTTTCTATATGTTCTTGTTTTATGCCTGCTTCTGTGGTATTATTTTCACAGGTTCTTATTCCCATAGAGTTATCTGAATCAGTTCCTATTTGTTCACCTGATTCCTGTAGGTTCGGTCTCTCGCAAATTTCTTCAGGTATTGATTTATCAATCACAGTTTGTTCAGGTTGTATGATACATGTGTTTTTGCTGTTCTTTTCGAACTCGCGTGTCTCTTTTTCTGAATGAACTCGGTGATTTTCAGATTTTTGTGCATCCAAAACTGCAGATTTATCTTTCAATTTCTTTGCTACTATTTTAGCTATTAAATTCGAAATCGGTTTTTTGAAACGGACTTCTTCGACATTCTTTGTTGGCATGATTTTTTTTGATTTAGGTACATTGTAATCTTTACTTGTACTCGGCGGTTCGGCCGAGCTCTTATTACAGGTGTCTTTGCTAATTTTTTTAGGCCTGCCTCTTCGTTTTTTTGGAAGGATGGATTCATTCTCAGGAATATCCTCTGTTAAGTTATTCACATGAGAATCTACTGACTGTTGTGTTTGCAATATTGCTGAGCTGCTCGAATTGGATGATTTGACATTGTTTCTTACTGCATGTTTTTGTTTTTTAGAGTGGGATGCACTAGATTGTGCATCTTTTGAGTTTTTTCTTGACTCATTAGGTACTAACAAATTCAGTCCTAGTTTGGCTAGATCTTCTGGAGATAGTATAATAAGGTTTGAACTTGAACTCTTTGAATTTTCACTATCCATGTTTGAGAGTACATAAGAACTGAAACAAACAGTGGATATTTTGAATGAATATGAAAAATTAAGGGAAGGGTAGAAGGGTAGACGTTTATATAAAGTAACAAAAGTAACTGTTGCTGGTATAAAGCTATGTATTAGAGGGAGTATTATGAAATTTTATATGGATGTTTCTTGAAATCTGACACATCACATGAATTTTTTTTATATCTGACTCTCATAGAGGGCTCTAGTTACACGGTTCGTACCGAGTAGTTTAGAACATAACTTTTTTGAGGTAAGATTTTTTAATCCAAATATGATATGAACTTGAAGTAATAACTGATGCTGGTATAAAATGAATTTTATTGAGTTCAATTACCTATTTATTCAGATTTAAAAACAATGAAATTATTGTTGTGCTGAAGTTATTGATGGAACAAAGAATCATAAGTAGAAAATTAAGAGAAATTTGACTCGAAACATGAAATATTGAATCAGTTAGAGTAAGTGTTCAAAACCTCCTACGTTTCGACGAATACACGATTCTATATTCTTCAGCTGTTAGGTCATTTAAGTGATGTTCAATTATGTCTTACAACTCTTGACGTGAATTTATACCTATGTAGCATTATTGTTGTTTTCGGTTTTCAATAAATATGTGATAATTTTTTATAATACTCACTCTAATACATAGCTTTATACCTGCAACAGTTATCACTTCAAAAAAATCTAACCTCAAAACTACTCGGTACGAACCGTGTAACTAGCGCCCTCTATGAGAGTCAGATATAAAAACAAATGCATGCGATGTGTCAGATTCCAAGAAACATGTTTACAACATTTCATGACAATGTTGCCAGTAGTTTCGACATAATCTTGAAAAATGTGTAAAGAAATAATTTTTTCAACACCTTGTATCTTTTTTTACTGAGTAAACCCAACTTATTTTGCCTACCTACCCTAGTAAGGCGGTCATGTTTTTCTGAAACACCCTGTATATATACAGGGTGTCCCATAAGTCATGGATCAAAAGAAGTGGGGTGGTAGGGCAGATCATTTCCAATCAAACTAACCCTATATGTAGTTATCCACTTGTTGATGGTTCGAAAGTTATCATTTTTTTTGTCATTTTTATAAGAAGAATTTGTGATTTTTTCTTTCACAAATTTCAGCAACAATGGTGCACCTTTCCCCAGAAATAGTTTTATGACATGTGTTACTTCTTATCAATTACCTGAGAAAATGGTTATTTTCCTTGAGTTTTGTCATTGAATGAAAACTTAAGGTTGATTTTTAAATGCCGATGGCAGATTCGAAAACTACCACATGAAGATAAGCAATTATAAGAAAAAATTGCCCATTCAATTAACATTCCGAAATGATATAACATATGGGGATATTCAAAACAGCCTTTTTGTTATGAATTTGTTTCAAATGGGTCCCGTTTTTCAGAAAAATTTACCAACTTCTGAACCATCAACAAATTGAAAACCACATATATCGTTGGTTTGATTGCAAATGACCCCCCACCACCCACTTCTTTTGATCCATAACTTATGAGACACCCTGTATAGAGAAATACATTGAGAATTCGCATTCTCTATGTGATGAAAATATCAATTCTTTCTCGGTTTATTCAACAGAAAACAACATTGAATTGCATCTATTGAACACACAGGATAAGAAATTGAAAACAAAATATAATATATATTTTTATCTGAAGAAGAATGCAGATTCTCAACTTCAGGAAAATTTGATTTCAAATTCTTATCGGGTGTGTGCAATATGGATATAATTATAATTCAATGTTCGTCGCCGCATAGCCAGGAAAGTAGTTGTTTTCTGTTGAATATACCGAGGAAGAATGCGAATTCACGATGTATTTCTTTATATACTATAAATCTAGTTTTTCATGTTCATAATTTATCGGAGAATATTTCCTTTTCAATAATTAATTTGTTGATATGTATTCAATAATGTGTTAACCTTTGGGTTTTTTCCGCACGCTAGTAGAAAAAATAGTGTACCTAACACATGCAAAAAGTGCCTTTTCTGCCTTTCTGAACGCGTTTGCTGGCCGAATTCCGCCGATGCGGTGTTCGACCCTCTGCAATCGCGTGTGGAAAAGTATCACTTTCCGCACTACTATATTGAGCAGAACTGTACACAGGGTGTCTCAATATTATTTGACCTCTACCTATAGATACAGCTGCAACTATTCGAGGTGAAAGTTGTTAGGTTTACTCCGGTTTACTTAGGCACTAACAAATTAGTTCTTTTAAATGAAACACTCTGTATATTATTTAATTAAGTGATATGTATTTTTCTTTTGTTTACGCATGAATAGGTATAGTTTGTTATGCCGTTTTAAACCAACTTGTTGCTGCACTACTGAATTTTTTTCAATATTCTCATAGGTATACCTATACCTACTATTTCCTATTTTTCCTCTATGGAACCCATTTTGATTAGAGAAACCGACAGGGATGTCAAAAAAGGCCTGTTTTGATTCAAAAGCATTCTGTTGTATCCACGGCCATCTAAAAATGTTATTGGCTATTTTGCTTCAATATTGTAAAAGTTGAATTAGTAAAAAACCGCTCAAGGGAATATTAGCAAGCTATATGTATTTGTGAAAAAAAGAAAAATATTTTTCACTAGTGTTGAAAATATACAAGGTGTTTCATTTAAATAATCTAATTTGGACCCTTTTTCCATTTTGTAATTCACATCTATTTGTTCAAGGAGTGCCAAAACATAAGTACTACAGATGAAACCCTACATCATGTACAAAGTTTATTCCACTATCATTTGGAAATTAATGTATAGGTACTAGGCATTTAGCAATAACATCATGTACAAAGTTTATTCCACTATCATTTGGAAATTAATGTATAGGTACTAGGCATTTAGCAATTCTATCCATGTGTATTTGCTATTTAGATCGATTTAGATACCTTTTAAATACATTGCACTGTATTTTTTTACACAACCAAAGTATAGGACCTATATATAATGAGAATAGATTGATGATGAAATCTTGGGACTAGGTATAACATATTTTTTTTTTTTTTTTTTTTTTTTTATCGATGGGAGCGCACGAAAGGGAATCCCTATAATGTTCAAAGAACATCGTGCGTTCCTAGGGAGGATAGGGACAGGAGGTAGGTATTGGAATTTTTTTTGAATTTTTGGAGATTATATGTTGTTGGGAATACTTCCACAGGTAATGAATTCCAGAGCCTAGCCGTTCTATGGATGAAGGAGTCTTCATAAAGTGCTGTTCGACATCTTTCGAGGTTGACAACGAAAGGATGTGCTGACTGGGCTTGTCTTGTTCGTCTGGTTGGTATTGCTAGTGAAGGGATGATTGCAGAGATTTCCGAAGAACATTTCCCGTGGAAGTATCGATAGAAAAGTGAAAGGTCGCCGACCTTTCTACGGTGTTCCAATGATGTCAAAGAGTGAGTGAGTGTGGCGTCACCCACCAGGCGAATGGCTCTTCTCTGGATGGAATCTAAGAGCATCAGCGTATGTTTTGGTGCTGAACCCCATATGTGGGAACAGTATTCTAGAACAGGCCGTATCTGCGCTTTGTAGATCATGAGAAGCTGTTGAGGTGTAAAATAGCTTTTCGCACGGAACAAGAATCCGAGTTTTTGTGTGTTTATTTTCAAGACAATCCAGATTCCAGATCCATGATGAGATTATCAAGAATGATGAATTTCAGCAAAGAAAAATGTAGAATACCTACCTTGTTATTATAAATGCATGAGAATGCAGTATGATACCTTAGAACTCAAGAACTTTATGGAATTAAAGTCCTTTTTTTGTTCAGTATACAAGGGCGTATACCTACTGATAAAGAATTACCAAATTATCAAGTTTCATAGCTGGAATAATATCTGGTGTAATAGATATACCGATACCTTATTAAAAAAAATAAACAGGTAGCACTAGGATTCGAACCCCAGACCATGCCAGACCTATTGACTATCAAGCAAACACATCAACATTTTGGCTACTGGATTGAAATTGATATTGTCGTGTAATAACTTACCAATCAATACAGTCACGTTTTCACTGAAATAATCAACTTCTATCACTGGAGTTTACTTATTCAAGATTGGTATCGGTATTATACACGTTTTTTACCAATTATTACGCAAAAACATGCAATCATCATCATAATTCTTTCCTATTTCCTCTAAAAATTTTGTCAAATTCAAATTGACAATTGATGAGAAGTCAATTGTCAAATGTCAAGTGTTATTAGTCATTTCTTTTTGGTGGCGAAGTAAACTGTAGGTTTTCGTTGAAGCAGAAAACTGTTAAATGTCAGAGAAAATTATGGAATTTATGTTCAGGTCCACGAATCATAGATGTCACTAGAGTATCCGACAAGCAAGGTTGGTAGAACTGATGATTATGATGATTATTTGTAGAGAAAGGTACAAGAACCCGTAGGTCAGTGGCGTGTCAGTGGCACGAACGCACAAATAATCAGCTACTTAACTAGTATTTACGATTTACGTTGTAAAATGTATGAATGTGTTCAAAATTTGGTTCAAAATGAGGTAAGATCGAGTTTGTTAGATAAAAAGGGAAAATGCCAAACGTTCTGACATTGCAAAAATATAGAGGGTGTTTGTGTGAAATATTACTTAAAGTTTTGCTCTTTTATTACCTGAACCATTGTCGTTCTAGATGACAACCTAGTACCTCCTCGCACTAGGACGCGTATTAGGTTTTCATTTAGATCGACAATGCCTGAACAATATATCATATGTTTATTTTCGGTAGAAACGGGAATTTTAATGAAATAATCTTGAAAACCTACCAAAACAGACTAGTACCTATCCAAACCAAAACCGCATGTTAGATATGTTAGATACCTCTTCAATTATTGACTAGTTTCGTTATTTTTTATAAGAGATGATGGATATTCACTTCTAGTGAAACCGGGAACGGTAAAATATCGGTCATATTTTATTCAAAAAATGTTTTCGTATGCGTACTATTTCAAAATGGTCCAAATTTCAAGATTTTATCTCAAATAATATAGTAGAGTTTTGAAAACTAAAAAACACGCTATTATAGATGACCAAACTGAAAAGAAGTAGAAAATAAAATAATGGAAGTGTGTTGACAAATACACAACATAGAATATTTATACTCTGATTATACTTTTCTATGTGTTGTGTATCATCAGATCAGCATTGAGTAGAAGGCAAATCGAGAGGTAGGCTTCATATTTTCTGATAGGTGTTGAAAATATGCCATCAAAACGTTTTCGGAGAAAGAATTCACCTTATTCTTTAGTCTCCAGTCAAGCTCCAGTCTATATGAATCTACTGTAACAATGCTAGTAACGTTCGTGGGATTTACTTGGCAGTTGAATCATTCTTTGCCATTTCTGCCATTGCCATGATATTAGAAGGAATTTCATTCTCGTTCTCACTATTACTTGACATAATGAAAATGTCGGTATTCTTCCACAAACAGTCTGTATATTATTGATTTGTATTTTCATGGACATTTTTTGCGAAACAAGTGCGATGGCACTTATCGCTCAACAGCTTTATTCATCTCCTCACTAATCACATTTTTATTATATTTATTATTCATATATTTTGTTGAATAAAGGTTATTATTATTATTATTTCAAAACGATTTGTATTCTTTTTGTTATTGACAGTTGCTATATGTATACACTGTGTCCATAAAGTCACCCCCCCCCCCTGGTTATTAACTATTGAACGGATGGGATTTTTTTTTTCAATTTTTTTTGCTTCAATGGTAGTTTCAGTGCTATATATTGTTCCAAAAAAAAGGGCGCCATTTTGGAAGATTTTTTTAAATAGAGTGGGGGGTCGAAAGTTACCTCGATTGAAAGGTCTTTCGATTCTCTATACAACCTCAGAATCTCAGACGAAAATATTCATCCAAAACAAAATGGCGGATAATAACGTTTGAAATCTCACACCAGAATTCTTTCGACTAGATGGCTATTGAAGGGCTCGCATGTGATCTTCAAATCTCTATTGGCGTAAAGAAGAGTTCTCTATCCATGAAGATATCAATAGGAAGCCATTTTGAAGAGAATGTAAGTTGTTATTCAGGCTTTATATTCATTGTTGTTTACTCATATTTATAATCACTTCACTCATAATGTTTCATGCTATTATATATATTGTTATGTTTGAATGTAGTCTCGTACTTTCAGTTACCCCAAACTATTAGTGCCTATTTGAATATTACCTCTCGCAAACTATTAAGCCAAGCATTACCCCTTATAAATCGACATGGATGGTCTGCTAACCACCTACTATGTCGTGACACTATTTACTGAGTCTGTATTTCGTGTGTTTCTGCCTATTTCCTATAGTGGCCGTAGGTATATAGAGATATTTCCAAGGAAAAACGAACATTTTAATTTTTGGTGAAGGAATATTTTTAATTTTTGGTGGTGGAACATCATTCACCATTCAAATAGAGAAAATGAATCGATCATTAAATTAGATCATGCTATTGTCATCTGATCTTGATAAGTTTGCGAATAGGTTTCAATTAGATTCGACATTTTTAAGTTGGTCAAAATCAAGTTCGTAGATTCCGCGTTCAGACAAAAATAGTATGCCTTCTGTGCTTGATCACCCGGTATAAGCTAATGGTAGCTGATGGACAATTAGAATTGACGACACGTTATTATCAACCTAAAACCTATTAGATATGTAAAATGCAGTGGGTGCCGGACTGGTTTCTTTTTGCACGTAGAGGTACTTAAAAAATACTTCATGCTAACGTGTCTTCAGCAGTTCAGCACCGCATACTATTGTCGACAGCAGAAGCGTGAAGACACAGTAAAGTCGCAAGAATCGATACCGGTATATTTTGGGTCATTTGAATATTCAGATAATGAACAGTAATGGTGCCATTTGTGTAATCTTTGCTGGCATTTTTATAATTTGTCTTTATGGTGATGGTGAGTTTGTCGAACTTTGAGAATCATATATATTATTATCTATTTTATCAGTAAATACAGGGTGTTTTCAGAATTGGGGCCATGAATGAAATGAGTGATGTATGAGGCATTTAATGTATGACAAAAAAATGTTACTCACATTTTCTGGGCAAAGTGTGCGCTCTCACCATATTACATCTTTCAACTATTATTGAATGTTCGGCAACATTGCAAAAATCGTGGATAATTCAGGTGCTTCTGGTTAAACGCTTAAGTATGACAATTAACCACTGATTAGTGATTCAAAAATTAGAATAAGGTACGCCCTTATATTATTGAGCAGGTTGAAAATATCATCAAAATAGCTATTGAATATGATTGAACATTTTTATTTGGAAAACCTATACATACAAGGTGTTTTCGAAATAATGGCACATATTCAGCACATTGATATGATACAGTCTAAGGAATATTCCCCATGATATCAGATTTTTTTAAATTCTTCTAATTAACGACAAATTTCATCCCAAAAATTGAACAAAATACGAGAAAAAAATCAAGTACGCCACTTTAAAACAATTTAGATGATTGAACTCCGCGTGATTGTGCCTACCGCATGGAAATTTGAACAGAAGTGACGTCAGATTTGCTACCTCAAATTTTATTTTGATCCCTAAATTTTTTTATATTAGTGCCTCGAGCTTTCTCAGTGTTTGAAATATTCGCACTTATTTCAATGCCACCCTGTATAGGAATATAATAAAATTAGATTTTTATTGAAATTGAAAAAATTGCTCTCGCCGATCTGCGTGGAATAATATAAATTATACAGTATGTGGAAAACTGCATGAAGCATATATTTGCACTACTGAGAGTTAATTTTATATGTTTTCATTGTTTTTCCAGATAAAGCAATTGGAAACATAACTTCTTGGTGTTTTGTCTTTTTTTTACTTTTTCTAAAAAATAATATTTCAGAGAACATGTTATGTCGTTTATTTCGAATATAAAGTAGTTTGAACAAAATAAAGAAACTGAATAAAAGTTGTGTTTTTTATTGGTTTATCAAAGAATGCAATCAAAATTGAAATTAATGTACAGGGAGTTATTTCTTCGTTCTCTGTGTTTTAGCAGACTATATAAGGTGTCTCAGAACAACGTACTATAAATTCTACAGGGTGATTGAAATCAACTTACCTTTATACGAAAATGAGCCGTGAGATGGCGATGAAGAACAATTTTATTAAATACTGTCTGTAGGTTGATCGAGGAGGTGGTACATTCATTATTTTAGATTTTTCGAGATTTTCTCTCCTCGTTTCTATAAAATAAATATATGGATATTATTTTAATATACGTGTATATAGTAAGGCCAAATCAGATGATTTTTCCCAAAATATCACTGCGTTTAAAGAATTTTCCTATCAAAGAGCCTAAAAGAAAAATTCACTTGCTGGTCAGTGACAATTTATATTGAAAAAAGTTTGGAGAAGAGAAATAAAGGTATATAGAAAGAATATTCATATTTTTATTTCAGAGAAACGAGGAGAGAAAATCCCAAAAAATCTGGAATAATGAATACGCCCTTATTATTAGTGAGCAGGATGAAAATATCACGAAATTAGCTATTGAACTTGATTAAACATTTCAATTTGTGGTTTTTAGTGATATTTGAAAAAAAAACGCATATGCCGATCTGAGTGGAATAATATATTATACAGTTTGTGGAAAACTGCATGAAGCATATATTTGAACTACTCAGAGTTGACATCTTGTAGAATTTCAGATGTTTTCATCATCTTTCCAGATGAAGCAATACATAACTTCTTGCTGTTTTGTCTATTTTTCCTACTTTTTCTAAAAAAGAATAATTCAGATAGCGAGAACAGGTTATTTCGTTATTTTCGAATAAAAAGTAAGTTAGAAAAAAATCAAGGAACTAAATAAAAGTTGTGTTTTTCATTGGTTTATCAAAGAATATGATGAAAATTGAAATCAAGTTACGGGAAGTTATTTCTTTGTTCTCTGAGTTTTAGCACAATATACAAGTTGTCCCAGAACAACGTACCATAAATTCTACAGGGTGCACTAGACACCAAAATAGGCCGATTGAAATCAACTTACCTTTATACGAAGATGCACCGTTGACCCGTGAGATGGCGATGAAGAACAAAAAAACTGCAGTTTAAAGAAAAAAGTGAGATATTTGATTTTGTCATCCCTTAAAATATCAAAATGTGGTCAGTGCTGTACTCGATAAAAGCATTGAGTATTCATAATCAAGGATAAAAGTTACATTGATTTTTATCAAAGAGAATGCGAAATACCTAACTCCCTGTATATTGATTGGATCGGTACGACATGTTTTCCATGCACATTCACTATAGTAATTTGCTCTACGAATTTCAGAGCAGTACCGTTCAAGGATTTCGAAATATTGAAGACAATCTGAAATAAAATTGATTCTCATCGCCCTATCTCGTATGAAAGTAAGTTGATCTCAATCGGCCTATTTTGGTATCTTATCCACTCTGTAGAATTTATGGTACGTTGTTCTGGGACACCTTGTATATCTTATATTTTCGGACGAAAATGTAAGGTAAACTTTATTTATTCTTACTAGGCTCATATCACTTGGATTCTGCGAAGCACCCTTTGTATATCTTCTTAATAGGTTTCCTCAGAAAACCTTATCGAATACGTTTGTTTTACTAAATATAGGTATTCATCTTTCGAATTTTCTTTCAGTCATCGAAATTCCTTTTTCATCCCCATACTACAACCCCGACACAAAGAAACCCTTACGGATGACATCGATCGAGAATATGCTAGTCAACAATACCAAATATGCCACCAAACAGGCAGGGCCATTGAAGATATCCCAAAAAACTTTGAGGAGAGTTGGATTTAGGAGTAATGGTTGCAATTGCCAAGCGCTCAACTGTGGATGCTGTCTCGGAATCAACTTGAACCAATTCAATTTCAACAGAGAAGGTGATGATGATTTATTTGTTCTTCATAGGGTTTGTCTAGGAATACAAGTCCGAAGTCATAACTTCCATGGTATACACTTATGAATATGACGGTCTTATGGTACGCGGCACCCGTGACGCGAGTTTACCGTTTTACTCCCAGCCGTCGTCGCATTTCAACATAATATACAGGGAGTCATTGAAATGGGAAAGTGAGATAACGGCTTCGCTCTTTGAGATAGATGAACAAAAAAATGTGTGATGATCTAGGCTCATAAGCAGCACATTTCCAAAATATTACCCGTCGTACAGGGTGACTCAAAAATGTGTGACGTATCAAAGTTACTCTTTTTCTTATGGACACCCTGTATTTCATTGCATTTTCGGATTGTCCTTTGTGAACTGATTCCATCAATGCATCCCACTTTGCTGGGGTCTAGCGAGAATGATTACAGAGATATAGGGTGTTCAACATCGAGATTATTCAACTTTAGGATTTTTTTGTCTCGAAACTATTCATCATTAGTCAAAACGGCTAACATGTCCCTATCCAGAGATCAATCTCTGCCCTATTTTAACTTTTGATTTACTATCTACCGATATTTAATTTGAACGAATACATGGTGGTTCATAATTCTGAATTTTGAACTAATATTCGTCTTAATTAAATATCAGTAGATAGTGAATCAAGAGTTAAGATGGGGACATGTGAGCCGTTCTGACCAATAATCAATAGTGTCGACACAAAAAAATCCTAATGTTGAAAAATTTCGATTTTGAACACCCTATATCTCTGTAATGATTCCCGCTAGATCCCGAGTGTGATGTATTGATGGAATCAGCTCACAAAGGAGAATCCGAAAATGCAATGAAATACAGGGTGTCCTATAATAAAAAGTATAACTTTGATACGCCACATATATTTGAGTCACCCTGTGTACGCAAAGTAATTTAGAAATATGCTGCTCATGAGCCTAGACCACCACAAAAAATCTTATTCATTTATCTCAAACAGCGAAGCCGTTATCTCACTTTCCCATTTCAATGACTCACCGCGTACAGGTCTTATGATACGCGGTATCCGTGACGCGTGTTTGCCGTTTTACTCCTATCCCAGAAAGTGGTGATTTCATTAATGAATGTAGTAAAACGAAATTTGGGGGTTGTGAAATATAGTTCAATTGACATTTTTTAGTAAAAATTTCAGAAATAATTGTTTTGAATTGATTTTCAGGTTGCATGAATTTTACGTATGACCCGAACGAATTTGCTGTCAACATGAATATGTATATGAACAACAACAATATATTCTCCAATTCTTTCTCAGGTGAGTTAGTTATTGCTATTCTTGAAACAAATCAATAGAATAACCTAGTTGAAAATACTTGTCACATCTTTATCACATGAAGAGAAAACATCAATTATCGTTCATTGCATCACATCACAATGTTATGAGAAATGCCCACATGAATTTGCATCAAAATGGGGTCAGGTTCGTATAAAAAAACAGTATTATAGGGGCTGTCATCTCTGTTGCAGAGCCTCAGAGACGGTCGCCGCAATATTATAGTACAGAGTGGGCAAAATTGGGCGTTTTCACGGGCTCTCTCAACATCTAAGGGGTTTATCGAAAAAACCGTATACATGTTACGGGTTCGATTTTTGAGGAACTTAAGATGGCGCAATTGGAATTTTGATATCTCCATTCGTTTCAGAGATACTAGAATAATTTCTAATTCAATTTCTCACCAAATATATTTGTCTGCAAATACAATATTTAAATTGAATTTCTATCGGTATTTATTTTCCTCCTTTGGTTAATGTACTTACTTTTCTCCAAGAAATCAACGCACCACCAAAAAGTAGCCCAAAGTTTAAGAAACATTTTGGTCAAAAGTATTTTTGTTCACAATGGGATTTAAACCCAGGCTCCGAGCTGTTTTCATATCACAGTCGTCTCACAGTTTCTATATCACAGATTTCACAGAAGTTGGTAAAAATTAGCTTATTTCGAATGATGTTGGCGACCTTATAAATTTGGGAGTCAGAAAATTAGGAATATTATTTGATGCAAAGTTTTATGCACTTTAACATTGAATATTGATTTTGCAAGATATTAGCGGAAAACCGTAAAAAATCTGAAAATGTCGAGGTTTTTCGCGGTTCTCGACCGATACTGATACGAGGCAGCAAACTTCAAATAAGTATCCAGCCGTATCCAGCACCCCAAAAACAATATGAATACGAGAACCCTTCTAAAGTACCATTTGATCAGAGTTTTAACTGTTTTGCTCAGCTCATCCATGACATTCTTGAATTCAGTTGAATCTCTACCAATGTAAATAGAAGCAATATTATGAAAGTTTTATTACTCAAATTGCTTTATTTTGATGAAATCTGATTGTAGGAGTCTACTCAGCTCACAAATAGAATAACTTTCAGAAGAAAAACTATTTATGCTTCATTCATTCTGAAATATGTCATATTGTCAAGAAGTATAAATGCCTATGAATTAACATCACTCAAACTCCCGTTCATTCCAAAACGTTTTACCATAAATAAACTTTTCCAAATTGAAACATTCAATACATTGTAGTTTCGATCAGGTCAGCGGAGTTCATAGACGTCAGTTCCTGTATAATTTGTAAAAAAAACCGCTTACCGCGCGATAATACCTAGGTAAACAGTATCGAAAGGTAAAGATCATTCCCATTGCGGAAAATTGCGAACCTAGCATCGATTCCGAATATAAATAGTACCCGAGTCGATAAGGCAATCATTCATTATCAACACAAGTCATTTAGTGATTATCAATTGAAAATGTTTGCCGTCTCCCCAACTTCAAGCCTGCTGGTCAACCCCCTGCTAGACGTTATAATGCCAGTACTATTTTTTTTCAAGTGTTGTTTTCCGTTGTGTTTATTTGGAAAGCCATTATGTTCTTTTGCCTTTGATAACCTGTCATGTTGCAGCATTTATCCATGACCTCTTCATTTAATCAATAATTTTGTACGGCCTCCTTATTTGGGGATGAATAGGGTTGAATGGTGAAATGATCAAACCTCTCGTCGAAAAGCCAAGCGAGTAGCTAAGTCACGACCTAAAGTAGGGACAACATCTGAGTTGCGACAATATAGTCGTCAGTTTTATTACTTGTCACATTTTTGTTACATATTCAAGATTATTTCATTTGTGGACAACACTATTATTTTTCATCATTCTTTGGTATTTAAAAAAGTTTGATCGATACAATAGGAAATAGGAATATATTTCATTTGAGTGCTAAAAATCGATCCAAACATGACTTCGTTGGAATAAAATAATGAAATTTCAACCTCTCACTGAAATGTAAAATTGAGTGGATGAAGCCATAACTGTATGGAAACGAAGAAAAATCACAGTCGATTTCATAAATAAAAATACTAACATACCTAATAATAAGCATTCTCCTAGAAAAAAAAATAGGGAAGAGAAATCATTCAATAAATATGGCTCACCTTGGTTAAAAACTGGTCAAAGTTTCCAATAATAGAGATACATATCACAAAAGTCGAAATATAACAATATCAAAATATCGAACCTTTATTGAAATAATTAGTCACAGATACTTTGGAAGTAGTTGAAATCACAAGACTATTCGAACATCACAATATTTATTATAGCATGAAATAAAGACCTAATAACAATGTTATGTTGATCACCATTAGGACGAGTCGAGAGTTGCCCCAGACCCCAGACCAGATAACTTTGGAACCCTGAAATCCAGTAGGTATATATTATAAATTTGCACATTTCTCATGAGAGATCTTCATCTTTGATCGAAGTTCGAACGTGATTCAAACTTACTGATTTAGTGCTTTATTGATACTGTAATGATATTCCCCTTAGAGGGGCTCTAGAAACATCAGCAGGAAGGCAGGAGTACAACGATCATCCTGTAACACGCATCCCAGATTGTTCTCCAACATCCCAATGATTCCTACATGTACCAGTCTATTTCCGAACACTCAATATATGTCGCCGGGACAAATAACGTGACAAAAGATTCTGGAATGTTCTAGAAACAATCGATGGAACAATTAGAGAGAGAGGTATTGTTCCAAGAAGCTTCTAGAACAGAAAGAATGGCACGGAAGATCATTCGAGAAAGTTCGAGAAGCAAAGCCTACCGAGGGACCGTCAGTCAGTCAAGCAGCGAGTGTCAAATAGACATTCATATACGGCGTGATTTGAATCGTTTCACATGAATATTTGTTTTCAAGTTCGATATGAATTAGTGTTCCTATGGTTAAAATAAATCAGTTCGAAAATAATTAGTGTCGTGTTCGCTTCTGCACCCGAATAACGTCCAATATAACATTTTTTACTCGTGACACTACGGACACTATTGAAATTATTGACATTTCAGTCTCGACGTTGCGCAGATGCACGCACCATCATGATTTTCAACCAGTCAGATGAGACATTGTCATTCTAAATGATAACCTAATTAGGTAGTAAGTAGGCGAGAGCGTGCCCCTTCGCGTATTAGGTCGCCTACTAGGTTCTCATTTAGATCGACAATGGAGGAGGTGTTCGCAAAAACTAATTTCCGTTCTGAATAACTTTCGTTAGAAAGCTGAGAGTAGACTCCTACAATCAGATTTCACCAAAATAAAGCTATTTGAGTAATCAAACTTCCATAATGTTGGTTTTTGGCAACTTGGAGCGAATTCCCCATAAACTTCCATTTGCAACTGTGTAATATAATGCAACTAGATACAATTTTCACTATTTCCAGCTAAAAACCCGCCTCCATTGTGCATGCCCATACCGATACCGTACATCCCCATCCAAGTCCACGCATGCGCGCGCGTGTTCAACATCCACACCCCGGGCAGCAACCTGCACCTATGTCTCGACTTCGAGACGAGAATCCAGAATGCTGCCGTCCTCGTGCTGCACTTCGACTGCATCCGGATGGGCCTTGACGGGGTGGCCGTTTTGAAGCCCGAGGACGGGGGTGGATTGCCGCCCTCGCTGCCCGTCAGCCCCTCAGATGAGGATCAGGTCGATACGGACATTTACGACGAAGTTACCGAGATCAAGTTGAGTTGACGTAGCTACTTTGTATATGAATTGCTCAATAGTTGAAACGTAACGATGCATAATCAGGGGCGGATTATAGTACAAGCCTGCAAAGCCAGGGCTTGTAGCGGTAAATCACAGAGAGCGAAAAAAATTCCAAATACCTACTTTAAAAAAAATTAATGGGATCAGAAATCAAATTATATATTTCCTTATGTGGGTACTTTAGACTATGATACTTATCTTATAACTATACAACATATTTTTAAAATCGCACTGTTAGTTTGCGTCTAGCTAGACCAGTGAATCTTTGAAACATCGAGGTCAGGTTACGTCACCCACACTACTACGAGTAAAACGATAGCTTTGTGGTCTGTGTATCTGATTTCCATGGTGGTGACTGGGGTTCAATCCCTGCAAGGCGTCATTTTTTTCTCAATTTTTTTCACGAGTAATTTTTTTAAAATTATGCTGATTTTCTTCAACTTGAGGAAGAAAGTATTTCAATGATCTTAAACTGATAGGATGACTCAATAAGAAGAAAATAGCATTTTCATGAATTCACATGGAAGTGGAAAGGGAATACTCTTTGAGACAACACAATCTAACTCGGGTAAAAGAAACCTTTACTCTGGAAAATTATGTTGTCGAAGCTTTTTCTCAACGAGTAAATGCCTCCACACAGTACCTTTTTCAGAGAAGAAGGAGAATATTCCCCCTGCAGAGAAAAGTACACTACTTTTTTAGACCATCTAACCTTATTACTTGGCCTAAATGAACCTTATTCCTAAAGAGACAGTAGGTATACTTTTTTCAGGGAGGAAGGAAAATATCCCTCCTGCATAAAAAAATTATAAAATGTAAAATTTTTGTACTGGAGCCTCTGGTAGTGCCCCTAGATGTCCCTCCGCGTGGCGCGGAGGTAGCTGGTGTTGGGCCAAGGGATGTGAGAGGATTTGTGGAGTGTTCGTCGCAGAGACCTATCTCCTAGGGCTAGGCCCTTTATAAAGGTAATCTCACTGTGGGTACCCAGTGGGGTGGGGGAGTTGCTCATACGTGATCAGTGCAGGTAGTGTTTCCGGTTTTTGGAGGAAAAATAACATGTATAGAAACAAAAAACCTCCTTCTAGTTTTGCTCGGACCGATGTGATGTTATCAATTATGGTTTTCATCACATTTATCTCTTCTTTCTTTATATTTGCTTGATTTTGGTTTTTTGATCCAGCTGAGCTCTGAACATCTGCCAGTTCGTGTTTTTGTAGTCGAATATTTTCTTTATGACTTCTGGTGGTTTTTGTCCAAATTCGAACAGAACTGGCAGATGGTCAGAGCTCAGCTCGTCCACTACCTGTAAGTCAGAGATGTCCACCATGTTTTTCGACAACACTATGTACAGGACTGTCGGTGTCATTACATTGATGGGGTAGTGCGTGGGAGTATATTTGGGTAGTCCAGGTTGATATTGGTGGCTTGCAGGTATGCCCTCAGCCTGCTCCCATTCTGATTGTTCTGGACCCGGTTCCCCCAATCGGCATGTCGCGCGTTAAAATCGCCCCCTATTATCACTTTATTGCCAGCACTAGCCAGTGCTTCCAGATCTTGTTCTGTGAGCTTATTTCTGGGCCTGTTGTACGCTGCGAAGATAATTTCCCCACTCCGCAGTGTCACCCCGGCGTGTTCGATTGATGTTTGCCTTGGGGGGACCACGGTGTGGGGAATATTATTCTTGATTAGGATGGCTACATCCCCCTCCCATCTATCTGTATTAGGCCGATCGACCCTGACCGTGGTGAAGCCTCTTACTCTGAGGTTATGGTCATGACGGAGCTTGGTCCTCTGGTCTCGGACAAAAGAATAATGTCCAACTTGCGGCGATATATAAAATTAACAAGCGACGGCATTTTGTTGTCGTCGCCGACATGGGATTCCAACGCACAGTCAACCACGCCACGGGTCGTAGTAGCTGTGGTAGTATGAAGAAAGAATTTAGTCGCTGTATTGTTGTTTGTTACATCCTATCTCTTGGCGGTAATATTCGGATTCGAACGAAGAAGCGATATCTGCTAGCAACGCTGCACTCCCCCATCATTCTAAAATTTATGGCAAGTGTACTCCCCAGACGCTACTAACAACATTCAGTGTATGTCTTCAGCTGCCGTTTGGATCAATACAATTCAACATCAATTTCATTGTCAAATTCTTTTAATATACCAATCAGCTGTTTCCCTACGCCAACGGAAGGATATAAATATGTAGATATATAATTATCATTATCATCAGTATCAAAAGGCAAATTGTATCATAATCTGATTGGCAAATAAATCTAATCTAATCTAAATCTAATCATACATACATGTTGTTTGTCACACAAGAGAAAATCAGTTGATCTGAATCTAAGAAAGATATTTTGGTTCTCATTCATAACATCCATATCATCAATCTCAAAAGAGGAAACTTATACAAGTGTTGTCGGGTAGAACCTATAGTAGAGGGATCAAACAATATGATATAACCGCTATCCGCCATAACTACTGATTTGCAGCTTCGTTCATACCCTTCTTTTGCTCAAAAAACGGAAAAACACAGAGCAATCGGCCCCATCTGTCATTCTCTGCCGAGACGATCTGGCCGGTCTATAAAAGCCGACCATACCGATTCAGGGCGCGGCGATTCATTGTTCGACGTGGCAAATAGCCAGGAAAGTAGTTGTTTTCTGTTGAATATTCAGAAAGATATTACATGCATATATATTTTTATCTGAAGAAGAATGCAAATTTTCAACTTCATAAGATTTTATTTTCAAAATTCTTATCGTATGTGTTCAATAGATATAATTCAATATGTTCGTCGTGGCATATAGCCAGGAAAGTAGTTGTTTACTGTTGAATATACCAAGGAAGAATTAATATTTTCATCACTAGAGAATGCGAATTCTCTATGTATTTCTTTATATATCAATTTCTTCATGTTCATAATATATCTGAGAATATTCCGTTTCAATACCTATATCCTTATTTAGAAAGAAAATATACGTCAGTGGATGAGCTCTCAATATCTTTTTTTTTTTTCGAAAAAAAGCGATATAAAACTACCGAGACAAATGTTGTTCTATTTCGAGGAAATCTGTGAATAAGTAGTTATGCAAATCGGTAACGTAAGGTCAGTAGGTCAGTACCTATAGGTACAGCAAACTCTTCAACAAGGTACTTTTCGATAAATAACGAATCCATTTTCAGAAATCTCTTCTAGCAATAGAGTTAAGGTATTATTATTATAATTGAGAACAGTTTTTTCTTCAAACGGGAGATCTTCCAAATTGATACATACTTCCATTGATCACACGTCCTGTGATAATTCAGTTACAAGGACTTCTGGAAATCGAATATGATATCTCAATATGCCCAATGAAATGATCATCCAGGAACTAAAAGAACAGAAATGAAATCGGTTGTGTCCTTAGAAAGTTATATAATTTTGTGGGAAATTTATGCATCGTTACGTTTCAATTGTTGAGCAGTTTAGATGGTTCATATACTTGGTATCGCAAGGAGACACAACAATTAATTCGTTGATGACGATTAGTTATGTAATATGTTTTACACCTATACATAATGTATATACACATATTTTAAAATAAACTATCTTTCTTTTTTGAGTTTCCTCTGATGAGTTATCTGCTTCTGCGACATTTTTTTTACAGCAATTTATAATTTGATTCAACCCCCAACCACTACTCAAGGGTCAGGTTGACCCGAGCATATCTTTTCAATGGCGTTATTCTTTAACGCCTTACATTAGAGAGTTGAAGTACACAAGTAGACGTTACAAAAATAACGTTTACGGATTACACTTAAATTGTTTTCGGTTTGTATTGGTCATTTTTGGTAGTTTGTTTTGCTCTGAACATCATTTATCGTGTTAAAATAAGCGGAATCCTTGGAAGAAGAACTCTTTGGAGATCCAGGCTCCAATAATCTTGACTCAATGGCATATTTCGGTTGACTTACGTTGATATTAGAGAGTTGAAGTATTCTCTGTACGTAGACCTCCACGTAGACGTTAACGTATAAAAAATAACGTGTATGTATTTTCTTTGAATTGAGTTGAAGTCGCCACTGTCATCGAAACGTAATAATACATTATGTTTTCGGTTTGTATTGGTCATTTTTTGTTGTTTGTTCAGATCTGAACATTTTTTCGTGTTAAAATGAGACGACTCCGTAATGAGGAACTCCTTGATTATTTTGACTCATCGGCCGCGAAATGCACATGCGTAGCTGTCGTTAATTTATTTTTCTTAATTACACTATCGCTTCCACGATATTTTCTTGCTATTCTCATCAAATAGTTATCTTTTTACTCTGTAGAGGTGAAAGTGGATCGTGATGACCCCTCTCAATAAGAGTTGCGTATTCAGAGTATTTTAAATTATTCGAATTCATGTTTTTTATTGGCGAATGTGTGATTTTTTTTATTTTTCAACTTTCAATGTTGAGGCATTTGAGATGAAAAAAATGACACTTGCGGCGCATTTTTTGTTTGCAGCATTTGCTCATGCTATATATTTTGTACCTACGACTCTGGTATACGTGCTACAATATACAATCTTCTCAGTTAATTATATTTTATAATTCGGAATATATAGTTTGGTACGTGTTTTTTGTGTTAATGATTCTTACTCAACATTTGAAATATATTGAAACAATCATCTTCAAGTCGAACGTCATATTCTATAAATAATTGATTTTCCCAAGTTTCTCAGATTTTATCCATAATAAATGAATATATAGTTTTCATAACAAGATCTTGGTAAGTGTCATAGTTTTTTCATTTCTAACTATTTCAATCTAATAGAAATCTAATGCCTTCATGAAAATGCCTGAGGAAAAAAATCAGGACTATCCGGATTCAACTGGTCTGTCAGTAAATCTACTGACTGCTGAAAATCTGTGATCTGGAATCAAAAATCAAAAATACAGTGCTGTAATTCAGAACACGTTTTCATGGTTTTCATCAGTAATCACCAGCAGTTGATCAGCTGGTGAAATTTGAATATTATTCTCAGCGTCAATTATTCTAATAACAGGCATTTTCTGATATTTAATAGGATATTATCAATTTATTATTGATAAGACAAGGCTTTATGTTTAAATAACAACGGAAATGAATGTGAAATTCCCTCCGCCTCTGAAATAATGACAGTTCACTGAAGCCACACTAACTTTTGATAGTCAGCAATTTCAGCAGAATGTTGAGTTGAAATATTTAGAATGAAAATGTCTGCTCACAGGAATCTGTCAGTTACAGTGATTTTTTTTGAATTCGAAATGAAGAATCAGCAGATTCAGTATTGTCAGTTGAATTCGGAATATATATATATATATATAGCCTGATTGATGGCTGATATACAGGATCTTCCAACGAAAACCCCCAGAAATCAGAATACCAAATTTTCATCCAGAAAATCTGCCGAGACCCGTCAATTTCTGCTTTTGTGCGAGGCATTTTTGACAGTCAAACCACCTTGAGGTATTCATTCCCCTAACCTCTAGCAGCTCCAACTCTGAAAATTCAAATGAGATCTCGTCGAATGGCAACCAAGATCATCTGATATAATTCCTTTGGAATATTTCCTGTGGAGCCATTCGAAATCGCGAGTTACGCCACGCATCCTGAAACAATATTCAGGGTGGTCCACCTTTTAACTCCAAAATAGCGGAAGTGATAACTTGTATGGCCGATCACTATTTCCGATATCTTTGGGATAATACGGAGGAAATCTTCTTTGGATTACTTTCTTCCTCAGATTACTTCCTTCCGTGGATTCCTTCCTACTTTGGGTTCCTTCCTTCTTTGGTTTCTACACTTCTCTCGGTTCCTTTCTTCTTTAGTTTCCTTACTTCTCTCAATTCCTACCCCATCGCGAGATCCCCCACCAGTCGCCTGTGTTATGGTACGCGGTGACCGTGACGCGAGTTTGCCGGTTTACTTCTATCCCAGAAAGTGCCTAACAGGCCTATAGTAGTTGTCACTTCAAAAAGACCATACTTTTATGAAGAAAAGTGTTTATAAACATTGTTCGTAAGACGCTTCGTTGTCGAGATACAGGGCGTTCAAGTTGAAAGAAAAAATTGGTTCTCCTTTAATTACCATAATCATAAGTACTAAAAAACTGATTATATGAAGCGGGGAAAGAAGATAGATAGAGAATGCGAATTCTCAGTGTATTCCTTGATACAGTGTGTTACAATTCGCTCCACATGACCCCACCCCTCTACTTTCTTAAGACAATTCAAGAATTTTTCTTTTTATGATATACTGCTCAAAATTATAAATTATACGATCACAAAAACTCCAGAAAAATACAAGGAAAACGGATTATGCATTTTTTTCCAAAAATTTTCATAATGGAAATCGATCCGTACTAGCCACAAATACTTCTATATCAATTTTCAAAACAATATTTCATAAGGGGTGTTCTTTCATCTGAAACTCTTGTGAGTTAATCATTGATTAGAGGTTAACGAATGAACCAAAGCGTTTTCTTTCGGCAAGTTCAATTTCTTCTAAAATAAGATGTTGAATAATAATATTTGAGGATGTGGTATTTTAAGAGCGTCCATATTTTGAATACATTTGGAATATTTTTTCTTGCGATCTATCGTGCCATTCTATATCTATGTCATACAACATCCCATAACATTTATCATTCTATTATGGGAGCACCCAGTATTTGAACTGAAAGTCAACTATCAATAATTTACCTTCCATCTTCCATTGAAGTAGTTAGAACTCCAATACAGCAAATCTTATGGAACTGTTGAAATCGTATTGGTTGAATACCATTTTAAAATGTATTTAATACCTAAAAGGGCTTCATGAGTCAGGACACCATCAAAGGAGATAGTTTGGCTATCTAGAAAAAGGTGTTTCTTATACAGCGTGTCTCACTTCAACCGGCCCCCCTTTATATCTCAGTTATTAGTCATGCGATTCCAACCAAATTTGGTGTGGTATGAATTACCATCAATATGATCAGTTTTACAGAGATGCACATCATTTTGGACAGTGCCGTGCGTTTTTATTGAAATAAAAAGGGGTCGATTTTTCATAAAATCATATTAGGCATGTTGGCTGAAGGACTCAGGTCGATGGCCAGTTGATTGTATTGTACATATGATCAATAAAGCACTTTATTATTATTTCATATTAGGCATTTTTTTACAGGAAATCTAACCCCATATTATTGTTCCTCATGCTTTCGAACCTCCATATGCAAAATATCACCTGATTCCGAATTAACAGTATTGGCTTCATCTTTTTCATTTTCAGTCTCGCATAAATAGTGAATTCAAATCAACTACGAATTTTGGAACGTTTAATGGTTTAGTGGTAGGTGGGAGATCATGATTTGGAAGGGAAAAAGAGTTATAAGTACTTTTTTTATGTTGAACTCACCGTATCCGAGTAAATAATTATTACGTTCGCAAAGATGCTGTTTAGATGTGCCTGTTTTTCTTAAACCCTTCATAGGCATCTTATGAGAATCCACATATGTGGGTTTGAAACCATGAAGAATAATATTATGAGGTCAGTTTTTCTGTGGAAAAATGCCTAATATGATTTAATGAAAAACTGACCCCTATTCATTTTAATAAAAATGCACGACACTGTCTAAAATGATGTTTGTCCCTGAAGAACTGGTCATATTGATGATTATTCATACCTATACAGATTTGGTGAAGATCGTACGACTGATAGCTGAGATATAGAGGGGGGTCGTTTGAAATGCTGAATTTTTGTAGGTACCCAATTTTGACGAAATAATCATATAATCTCCTATCCCGAAGGACACCAGATAATAATTATTGATAGAATCGGATCATGATTACAAAACGCGTCCGCCATATTGGATCCGCCATCTTGAGTTCACCAGTTTTGACGAGAGAATATCCGACTCCGATAACCCCTAGATACCAATTGTGAATAGAATCGCATCATAATTACAAAACTCGTCCGTCTTTTTGGAGCCGCCATGTTGTTTTTTGTTTAAAGAAAATGTCATGATGCATTGCCACCAGAATTAGGTATGTTCACCTGCCCACATTCGAATCAATTGATCCGTTTAAAGTGGGTCAAAATCGAGTCCAAAGAAGTCGGTTACATATATATACATACATACAGGTGAAGCTAATGAAAGAGTGTTCATAAAAATGAGTTTCAATCATTGACTTCATCACTTGAAAGAGGTTGAGTTGATACTTATCAATAATAATTAGTACAAAACATTGATTGTCCTGTTACGTTGTTGATGTTTCGATAGTTTTAAAAATTATTTTCTCAGACCACAGCCGTACTAGCATAAATTCGAATCGTTCATGTAAGTACCTATTGAATTATTTTAAAAATAATAGTTATAGGTGTACCAATTTTATTGCTGATTTAATTAATGGATTGATTCTCCACCGTGACCTGTCTTGACCACGTAGGTACATTACTTGTTTCAAGAAACGTGGAAAATTTAACATCAGAAAATTAGCTTTTAATGGCAATAAACCAATAATTAATCATTCTTAAGCGTAGAACTAGGTACCAAATTTTCCATGAGGATGAGGATTATTGGTTTTTCGATAAGTTGAAAACCGCAACAAG